TGAGAAATTGCTATCGACTACATCTACAAATAACACAGCAATTGGGTGCCCCCAAAATATAGCATTGGCCTACTATTGGCCCCCCTAAAAAGAACACCTAGAATCGCCACTGCTAGCTGTATGAAAATCCACCTTCTGCTAAACTTTGGCTTGCAAGGTTTTAACAGTGAGGATAGTAGCAGCAACTGAGACATACAACAAGTAGAATGAAGAACAAGAGAAGAAGGAGCTTGATCGTTTACTCGATTGTCATACTCAAAAAAGCTAAACTTACACTGCATGGCATAGAACCAACTCCCTTTGACAGAAACCAGGACAGAACTGCAGTGAAATCCACCCAGTATATAAAGACACCCTCTCACACCATTACCATATAGGAAGGGGTAGTGTCTGCAACAAAGGGAACGAGAATTAATGCACACATGATGTACAATGACTTAAAGTTATCGCTACACAATTTTCCTAGAGAGTATATAAACACTCACTCCCCACTCAAACTAATTAATCCCAATCAATGTAAACAAACAATAAACCAAACAGAACAACTCATTCCTAAGACTCCCGCTCTCCTCAGTCCACTTGGTCTGCTCCAGTGAGGCTGACTAAAACCATCTTGCCAACACAATTATGTGTCTGTCTATGACACCAACCCAGAAAGAGATTGATCAGAAACAAGGAAACATGGCCAACAAATCTGCTAATGAAAATGAATTCAACTACTGTCAACTAAATAGGATACATCTTTTGCAGGTCAACACACTAAAATACAAACATTAAACAGACTAAACTTAAGTGTCTGATCTAAACAAAAGCCAAACAAATTAAAGTTGCACTCATACGGATGTAGTAGCCAAATTGAGTTTTGTGTTGATATGTTCTTTCTTGTTATTAGTATGTGGATGTGAATGGAAGAGAGAGTGCATGTGCATGTGTGCCTATGGGAGAATGAATGGCCATAGGTGTGCTTACCCCACCTAGAGGAGACCAGAGAGTCTAACTCTACCAGACTGAGGAAATTGAAGGTGGGGCCCAAGGGGGAAGGCTTCAGAACCAGCTGCCACAGCATCTGGGTGTGGCTGAGGAAGGCAAACAGTTTTTTGACCATGTGGCTGCATCAAAGAACTATCCATCCATCCATCCATCCATCCATTATCTATACACCCCTTAATCCTCATTAGGGTCGCAGGGGGGCTGGAGCCTATCCCAGATGACTTAGGGTGAAGGCAGGGGACACCCTGGACAGGTCGCCAGTCTATCACAGGACTACACTTAGAGACAGACAACCAAGCACACTCACATTCACACCTACAGACAATTTAGAATCACCAATTAACCTCAGCATTCTTTTGGACTGTGTGGGAGGAAGCCGGAGAACCTGGAGAGAACCCACACTGCATGGGGAGAACATGCAAACTCCATGCAGAAACTGCAAACCGGTGACCTTCTTGCTGCGAGGCAACAGTGTTACCAACTGTGCCACCTTGCAGCCCATCAAGGAACTAGGCATTCTTAAAAACTCTTTAATTTAAAGCTTTTTTATTTCGACTTATCTGTACTTCAGTAACAATAAATGCAAAAAATGGTCATTGGGACCGACTGGATCCACTTCTACTCCTCATCTTTCATCTGCATGTGTCAAGACTAAATCAAACTCAGCCATCAGTAGTCGTCAAGCAGCAGAGTAAAGGCTTTGCTGAAATTGCTACTACAGATGGTAAAAACTGATGCAGTTGCAAAAATTGTCTTCTGTTCATAACAAACGAACTTATCTGCACTTATCAATATTTTCTTAAATAAACTATAAAATTATTATTTCAATTCATTCTCTGGCCCTGTGATGGACTGGTGACCTGTCCTGGCTTGCCTTCACCCCAAGTCAGCTGGGATGGGCTCCAGCCCCCCGCAACCCTACAGAGGATAAAGTGGAGTATAGAAAATGGATGGATGGATGGAACTCCACTCTCCCTGCTTTCATCACCTTCATTTCCAGTTGTAGCAGGCACCTGCTGTCATTGAAAAAGCTGTAAAGACCCACTTCACTAACTTGGCATCAATGAACTACAGAAAGGCGAAGTTATCAACTAGCTGGTGACCATACTGGAGCATTTAACAGCAAAAGAGCTAACTCCCTCAGCAGTCAGTGGAAAGCAAAAAAAAAAAAGAGCTAAAAGAGAGTGAATACTGAACTTACATTTATCAGCCAACTATAAATATGAAATTGAATAATCATATAGGTTCCTCAGCTACTGTTGGATGTGTCAATAGAAAAATGGTTGCTAACATGTTCACCAAAGCAGCTCTGTCAACAGCTTGTTCTGCAGCCTGGAAATGCACAGTTACCACACATTAGCATCACTGGTGAAAAATATACGTAAAAACAAAAGGAAGCAGTACTTTGCAAACATTTAAGGTGTAGGTTGTCATCAGTGTGATAGTATTTGAAAATATCTCAAATTGTACTTCTCAAAGCATCTAAAATGTTTGCGTATTACAAACAGCACACCACTTCACAGAAAGATCTGGATTAGTCAAGAACATCACATTCCCACATTAATACCAGCGTATGCCTTGAATAGACGTCTGTCTACGAAAAGTAGTAGTAGTTTCAAATTTGAATGACGTTGAAATGTTTTAGCTCCACATGGGCAACAGTTTTTCAAATAGTGTCACATTGGCGTAATCAACATTTGCGCTGTGATAACCCTCCCTGACTCCCTATCACAGGCCCAATCAGTGCATCCCATTAATTTTTTTTTTTTTTTTTTTTTTGGAACCTCAATTTCCTGCCTGTGTGTGTGAGACATCTTTATGGGAACCAAATCGACTGTTCATTAACGAGGGGAAGCTGTATCAAGAACAAACATCTTTAATTAACACATCCCCAGCACTTCCTGTCTTTGATCTCCCCGTTTGATTTATGCCTCTGCAAGAAAAGGTTGGAGCGGTGGAGGGGTACACAAGAAGTTCGGAGGGGACGAAGACGCTCTATGAGAAAATAATGAAACTGTGGAGCCCCTGTTGATCAGGAAGTCTTGCAGCATTAGGACCTTTTCCCTGTGTGTCAGGGGGGCAGCTCAATTACCAGTCAGCATAGCTATCTCTTTAATAGCCTGATAAGGCAATAATCCAAAATCCATATAGTTTTAATGACTTTCTGTCTAATTAAGGACTGTTTTATAAAAGATGGACACATCAGAGGCCTTCCCATTGTCCAGAAACCTATTGTTAGGGCTATCAGCGTGACCAGTTAAGAACTACTAAATGGCTTTTAAAAGTATAATTATATATATTTTACTTGGAGACTTGCTGTGCATAAAACATCAAGTAATACATCTTCGATTCTACTGTTCAATGTCAGAGAGGTCGGAACAAAGTGGAGGAGTGAAATCTTTTTTAGCATAGTTCTCACACTGGATTTACATCTTACCAGTCGGGAGCATAGATTTGGACTGTCTTCAAATGCTTAAAAGACATTTTAAAAATAATCATTACCAGTATTGGTACCACACAGAAATCTGTATTTAAAATTGAGTTGCATGAAGGCTTGAGTGTTGAAAATCCAAGGATCCCCACGTCATTTGTCTGTATCCTGTGAAATACAGATGATAGGATGTGTGTGTGTGTGTCCTTTTGTGGCCCAGTAGAGATGCCATGTGTTTGTTAGTCTTTAGTCCCCTCTAGTGTTGGGCTGTAACACTGTCAGCGTGTTCGCTGCCATTGTACAGCCTCATAAATTCCCACACGATGTATTTTTAAAATAAAGCAGATTTGACTTGTGCCTTGAGCCATAAACTGATGTATGTTCTATGAACAAAATGAGAACTGGCTAAACCCTGTTGAGTTTAATTGTATATTGTTGTGAACAAGTCAAAGTTGTTTTCTTTATTTCCATTTAGAAATAAATAAGAGCTTGAAGAAAAGTATTTCTCAAGTCACCTAACATTTCTCTCTTGACTCAGTCTGAATTCTAAAACCCCAAATGATGCATATCATTTACTGAGCACTTGAGTGAGCTTGTTAACTTTTCTGTACATTTGTGACTTTACAAATATTCACTTTAACAAACATACAGAATATTTGGGAAGATTGTCAAATGTAAATAGCTTCCATAAGGGATCTATGGCAGAATTTCAAGTACATTCTAATAATTATTGTGTGGTTGAGGAATAAACATTAGTATATATTTATATTGATAAAAATCTACTTTACAGGTATTCAGTTAAAGTCTTTCTATCACACATGACAAAATCACTGTACCACTAAAGGAAAAAGATGTGGATTTATTTCCATTTCCACACATACTTTTGTTGTATGCTGGCACAAAATGCTCCTCTGAAAGAGTTAGCCATGGCACAACTGCCTGTTTTCCCACGCTTACTTCATAATTCATGCTGCTTCAAATGGACACACGATTAGGTTCTGATAATATAAATAAAATATTCGCAAGAACTTGCCTTCTGTTACATCAGACAATTCATTTCAGCATGTCATTCTTGAGAGTAACACTGAGGATGATCTTATGTGTATATAAAATACACAGAAAAATCGCTTTGGGTATTGGGTGAAAAGTAACAGCCTACATGTTGTGTTTATTTGAAATGATGACAAGTGTCATGATTCACACAACCAAAAGGTCAGCTAGTCATCATTACACCCACTTTTTTGCCAGAAAAAAGTATGTTTTCCCATAAGCTTTTGCCAAAATAGATGTGGTGTGCACTATCAGCAAAAAGAAATGTATAAATACCTTTCTAAGTCCTTCAAATCACTGTGACTCATGTTATCCACTGATAAAACTGTCTATGTGACATTCTTCATTCTGGACGTGCTGGTCAAGGCAAGAGGTGTGTTTTAACAGACTGTGATAACACCTGTGAGACAGACCACAGCTGCATACCTGGCTTTTGTCACCGGGGGAAAGAACAGTCACACTTTTCCACATCAGTTGAAGGTCAAGGGAAGGTATAAAAGAAGGGAAGACCTAGTCATTCCTTTGCAGACACGTTGTACTTCATTGCAGTCATGTTCAGGTTTTTGGTGTTGACAAGCCTCGCAGCCATCGGTAAGAAAATGACAGCACAAACTGCACTGTGTACCTGTTCCTTATTGATCTCTGTTGGTCTTTCTTTCTCTCGTATCGGTTACTCTATCTGTCATCCAGTCAGTTGCTCTTTTTTAGTTTAGTCAACACACAGGCGCTCCAGCTAATTGGCTCTAGCAGTACACTCTTGCTCCTGCCATGTTTCCTTACTACTTACTGTAAGTGGAAAGCAAACATTACATACAAATGTGTATTTTTATGTTTTTTAATCAGTGCTGGCTGAGCATGAGCTCAGGTTCGTTGGGGACAGCGTTGGAAGGGTTGTTGGAGGATCAGTGGCCAGCCCCAACTCCTGGCCCTGGCAGGTAAACTACTGTTACTCAGCACTTATGTTTCTATTGAATGCAAAATTAAAAATGAAATCATGTGCCAATGCAGAAAAACTATATGAAATTGTTAAAAAAAAAAAAAAAAAAAAAAAGTGTATGAATGTTTCATACACAAAGGTTTTGGGTCTGTTTCGGCCTTTAGATCTCCCTTCAGTACAAATCTGGCAGTAGCTACTACCACACATGCGGAGGAACCCTGATTGAGAAAGGCTGGGTGATGACCGCTGCTCACTGTGTGGACAGGTAACGCAATGATTAACTACAATCTCAGATACCGTATTCTTTGGCTGTGTGGGTTTTAGGTGGGTTTGTGCATATTTTTTGGATTACTTTGACTTCAGTATCCATAGCCTACTATTTCACAACACTGTGGTATGATCTTTTTTAAATTTTATTTTCGGATATTTTATACGTCACCAATGTGAGAAAACATCCCACAACCTTACTTATAGTTTATAAATGAAAGAATTGTTGATCAGAAAATTTGTTGGATTGGTTCCCTGTAAAAAGAATCCATGAGTCTTGAATGACATGCAACTCTATCTGACCACTGATTGTTCACAATATTATGTTTCTGTTTTTTGAAACATTGCAGCTCCAGGACGTGGCGTGTGGTTATTGGCGAACACGATCTCAACAGCAACAGCGGCACAGAGCAGGTCAAGTCCGTCAGCCAGGTTTATATCCACGCCAACTGGAACCGTAACAGTGTGTCTAACGGGTGAGGAATACTTTTCTGTGAATCTGAAGGCTCTTTTGTATATTCTGAAAGGGAAGCATGATATTTTAAAAACTGTTTTGTTTGTAGTGAGTTATAATGTTTTAAAGGCAATTTATTTCTGTTATTTGTCCAATATTATTAAGCAAACTTTTTGATTCTGAGCTTACATGGAATCTGAATGTGACCTTAAGGTAGTGGTAGTTGAGACCACGGACAATAATGTCTTCACAAGACTACTTTTGGTTCCTCTCCACCTCAGGTATGACATTGCCCTGCTGAAACTGTCCTCTGATGCCACTCTGAACTCTTACGTCCAGCTGGGATCTCTGCCTCCCTCTGGCCAGATTCTGCCCAACAACAACAACTGCTATATCACCGGATGGGGACGCACCTCCAGTGAGTTGATGGCAGTATCCCCTATGGCCTCCTGTCATTGTGATTTCAGTAGTTGAGTCCTTTCGGTAAAACTCAATGCATCTTTCCATTTTGTTTTGTCCAGCTGGCGGTCCCCTGTCTGCTCAGCTGAAGCAGGCCTACCTTCCCCTGGTGGACCATCAGACCTGCAGCAGCTCCAGCTGGTGGGGCAGCACTGTGAAGACCACCATGGTGTGCGGTGGAGGTGGTGCTGAGGCTGGATGCAATGTGAGTCTTAACAATTGATGCAAAGTCACTAAAGCATAATACTTCAATAAGTTAGCAGTTAAAAGGTACGTTGCTGAAAAACATTTTAAAAAATCCAAAGAAGAGAAAGTAATAGTGTAAAAAAAATGTAACTTCCAAATTTGACCATAAAGCCTGAACTTGTTTCTCTCAGGGTGACTCTGGCGGCCCTCTGAACTGCTTGGTCAATGGAAGATACTATGTGCATGGTATTGCCAGCTTTGTGTCTGGTATGGGATGCAACACCATCAGGAAGCCCACTGTCTTCACCCGTGTCTCTGCCTACATTGAATGGATGGACTCGGTTAGTATGAAAAATATGTTTGTCTAATGTAGGTGATATTGAAAAATCCTTCTTTTTGCAGGAATACGAAGTTTTATGAAATGTATCAAATCTTGTTGTATCAGTTAGGTTGCATGTGATGCTTAATCACTTCTTTTGTTTTCCAGGTCATGGCGTAAGCGCAACAGTCATCCATGCTGTAGAACACAAAGACAAGACCATATTCCATCTGCTGTACCCACATAAGGGTCTGGTCTACAAAAATAAACTTGATTCAATTTTGTGTGATGACTTGTTTTTCACTAGAAAGTTTATCTATCAATCAAGTATGTCATTATGAAAGTCACAATTTCATAGTTTTGCTTTCCAAATCAACCAAATCAAATGATCCTACCCTGCAACAAAACATGGATAAAGAACATTTGTAAATTTAATTTATGCAACATAAAAGCACTTATATTAAAGTGTGCCCTCAAACTTAAAATAAATGTTTCATATTTGGATACTGATAGAGATTTTAAGAGACACTTTATGTTACAGAATATTCAGTGTGATGTAATCTGTTGTTCCACACTAATGCAAACTGTGATAAAGTCTGAGACAAACAACAGGTGAATTTCTAACCGCTGCAAAGCTCAGCTGAGGTTTCACATTAATAAAAGGTCACCTCATGGTATAAAAGATTTAGAGGAGAGCATTTGGAAATGCAGAGATGCTTGTGTTTCTGCTATTCACTGCTTTCACAGCCACAGTTGAGCAATGTTAGGGTTGTGGTGTAAATAATCCACTGCTGAAAATTGTAATCCTTCTCACTTCGAAACACAGAAGTTAGCAAAAGGCAACCACATTTAAATCTAAACGTATTTAGGTTATATTTGATAAATTTGCTTCAGCACTGGCTGAGCAGCAGCTTTAGCAGCTTTAAAAAAAAAAGTATTGATATTTTTTTTGTGACTTCAAATAATAGCGAATATATGTGTAATTAAATTTTATTATTTTTACTGATTTAAATGCATTACAGGTAGTGTCATTTTATAAAACATTACATTAGAAAAAAAAATTACCATTTGTAAAAATACAGATTTCTGATGTGGATGGTATTTACAGGTTTGTCTGTTTTTCGGGGTTTCTATGTAATTAAATACTTTTTTTGGAGGGGGGGGAGGGGCGTCAGTTTTGCTCGATATTGTCAGTAATTTAGCAAAATATGTAAAATAACACTAAACTGTGCAAACAACATTACAGTTAAAACTGCTAAAAACTTGTAAAAATTTGTTTTACAGTGTAGTGTAATCAAAAGGTATTAAAATACACCAGCTTATCCTTTCCTCCCACTGTTTTTTTTTTTTAAGATTCAGATTATACACATGACATATCTGTGAAGATTCTGAGTCATCCAGGTCACGGTCATCGACCAGAATACACATGACATACTGCATGTTACTTACGAGCTGTGGAGGTTTGTTCTGTCATTTTTCAAATAGAATTCTGCAACTCCTGGCTGTGGCCTCATATTCAGCAAACAGATATAATAGCAACATATTCTCTTGGCAAGAAAACTAGCAAGTTTATTAATGTCAAACTTCAGGAAAAAAAACAAACAAAACTTTCTTATAGATGTCATAATATGGTTTTAATGTATTTCTTAACTGCTATTCAGAATAGTTATGCTTTGATAAATGCATCTGTTAGAAAAAATGTTTTATATTTACACATCTGCTTAACTGATAAAGTGTGAGGATAAAATAACAATATTGCAAGAACTTTCCTTAAATGTTTTCATGCTGGGAGACAGTAGGAGTTTTGGTAGGTAAAACATTTTGTCTGTGCTGCTCCAAGCTTCTCTCTAGTAGTGCCCTGGCAGCTCTTAAAATCATTTCTGTGGAGGAACACTGATCAGAAGAGTATGGTTCATGACTGCCACTCTATGTGTAAATAGGCAACAGATGCATTATTGTAAATCTATTCTGGTCCCATATACTACACAAAGTTCCATGCTCTTACAGTTTTTTTTTTTTCTATGATATCACAAATATATGGTTTCTGTTTTCTCTCGTCTTACTTATCTTACAATGTGTCACTGCAGAAACAAATAAACTAATCCCAGCTAAAACAGTTACAGCTCGGTGCGAGTGGTCCTCGGTGATCTTGTCTTGCACCAGAACTATGGATCAGAGCAATACAATAATGTCTACACCGTTTGTGTTCATCCTGAGTGGAACAACAACAGCATCTCCTCTGGGTGAGATTGTCTGTTATTAAACTCTTGTCTCTGTGTAATTCCCATATACATCCAGGAAACATTTTTAAAAAATAATGAGTTCTTTAGTGTCTTAGTTTTATAGAAGATATCCAAACTTTAACAGAGTGTCACTTTAGAGTTATCAGTAAATCAGCAAAGTCACTTATGGTCAGCATATTTCAGGGAGGACCATTTTATCTTGTAATTGTATGACATACTTAGACAGCGGATTTTGAAACAGTTTAATTTTTTGGATCTTTGGTAATGACATCACCCTGTCGCAGCTGACTTCTGAGGTCACCATAAACTCATATGTAAAGCTGGCCAACCTACTTAAATTTGGTGAGACAACCAGTCCTGCTATATCACCGGATACGAGAGCACTTCCACTATGTCTCATGCAACCGCTCATCCTCATAGTTTTGACAATAATCTATGCAGTAACTTACACATACTGTCTTCTTAGCTTTCTCATAGAAGTCTGTCTGTCTTCTGAGCACCTTCGGCTGGTGGAAGCATGCCTTCGAGGATGACACAAGCCGAACCCTCCTCTTGTGGACCATCAGACCTGCACTGGCTCTGGCTGGTGGGGCAGCACTGTCAAGACCAGCATGATCTGTGCTGGAGGAGGCGCTCAGTCGGGATGCAATGTAATATTTACACTCCCAAAACAAACACACTCAGCCTTATACCTGCTCAAAAAGAATACATACTGTCTGAGAAATTGTTTTCGAAAAACCACTGTCTGTGTGAAACCACTGGCTGGATGGAAAGAAGAACTCATTCTGTTTAATAATCAACTTTAGAGGTGATAACAGTGGAGAATAGCATATAGATCATATCCTTGTGAGTTGCAAAACTCTAGAAAATGGGAAAATACACAAGTCTTTGATCTTGTTACACAAGTAATTTATATAATAATTACCCATACTCATTGTTAGATGCTTGTGATTTTACATATACAATATTATATTATATTATATTTCTGCGATAGACTGGCGACCTGTCCAGGGTGTCCCCTGCCTTCGCCCTAAGTCTGCTGGGATAGACTCCAGCCCCCCTGCGACCCTCGTGAGGATTAAGCCATGTATAGATAATGGATGGATGGAATATTATTTTATTTAATGAATAATTTTAGAGAACCCAATGCATCACTCACAAAGTTAGTCAGTGGTGAATCTTGTCAGTCTATTCAGGACTTTTGGGGTCCTTTGGTTTAGGTGACAGGTATTGCTTTTTTTTAAAAGATTTTTTATTTTTATTTTTTTAATATAAAAAGAGGGACATTTTTATTTATTTGAAACCAAAAATACATCAACTTATCAGAAAATGTATATAGCATAGTATAAAAGCCTATAATGAATTCCAACAAATAGTTTGCACATATTCTTTCTTGGGGTACAATGGACCCCGAAAGACCTTCTGTGTATGGCAACATGAACGTCCTGAATAGGGTTAAGGAGGTTATTTCAGGCAAAACATTTCCAAACTCAAACAAAAATTCTACTTGACAGATTGCTGGCTTTTTGAGTCATACTGAAGAATTATGTAGAGACAAGCAAATTTCTCATAGTTTTTTTTTTTTTTTTTTTTTAATTATTCTTATTGTAAAAAGCTGCCATGTATCCTAAGAGAGAGAGAAAGAGAAGAGCTTTTGTGCTTTCCACTTCTTTCAGCTGATACAGTGTCATATCTCTCCCAAAAGCTAGTGCAGAAGGTCACATAAAATAGAAAAGAACATATATGAGATTATCTTTGTGTTTGCACAGCTGTGTATATTGGTTTTGTACACAGTCTATAGTATTGATCAGGAAAGGGTTTTTTCGTTTCACCCCAGGGTGACTTTGTTAGTCCCCTTAGCTGCAGAGTTAACCTCAACTGGTATGTTCATGGCATTGCCAGCTTTGTGCCAGGTATGGGATGCAATGCTCCCCAGATGCCCACCAACTTTTGTGTGCATCATATGGATAAACTCGGTCAGTAATGGAAGTTTATTGTAAAACGAAAGGAGAAAAATCAGTAAAACAGTCAATATAAAGTCTCATTATCACTTCTCTTTACCTCTGACAGCATATTCTGTAAAATACGTAAAAATGTTTCATCTTTTGTAACTTTTGAAATAAATATGTTGATGATGAGATACTGAGAAGTATTTCAGGCCATAGAAAACTCTTATTTTGCAACAAAATCTACTCTAAAGTGAGTGTGTTGTTTTTCTGCAAATATTTCCTCTGGTCAAATCCTCCAGTGTTTTAAAGCTATTCCTAACTGCTTTTTATAGAGTCAGATTTTGATGTCATGTCTTAGTACTTCCCCCGGTAATGACATTTCACATGACATCACATCACTGATGGTGGATCACACAGCAACATGAAGATAAAGCAGGAAATTCAGATAAATGCTCAATAATCCACTTCCTCATCAGGCCTCCTAAACCTCCACATCCAACATTTATTAATTCAAAGCAGGGTGTGAGCATCGTCAGCAGCCAGAGAGTTACTTTGTTACAGAAATGGGACAAACACACAGGCAGGCAGACGAAGGGGGCGTACCACGGACTGAAAGATGCACTTATTTGTTTTTGACATAAAGCATAATGTTCTGGTTCTGAACCCTGACAGCCAGCAGCTCCGAGTAAATGTTGACATTCATTTTGCCACCTTTTGTCTTTTTGTTAGCTTGCCCTTTTCCTCCTTTTCCTGCTATTATTCAAATTAAAGTTTGGTTCTGTGTTTGCTCCCTTCAGAAGCAGAATGATTGTGGTACTCTTTCTGCTGCCTCTCCGGTGATTTTGTGACATTTTGGAGAGAAGAGGCTGCGTTGAGCGGTCAGGTGCTAATAGAGGCTACAGTGGATGCATGACAAGTGTCTGCCTATAGTGGGAAAAGCACACATGTTGCTGCTGGGGTAAAGTCAGAATTGAATAACACTTAACAGACACTAAATTTTGAAAATTGTGCCCGAAAATAGACATTGGATTCTGTGTGCCTTAAATGGGTCTTTTTGTGCAGCACTTTCATTTCTCACTCATTTTTATGTAAAATCTGATAAATGTTAGAGAAGCTTGCTTCAGTGAATGTTTAATTTGACCTTGAAACACTGAAGTATCTTCAATAAATAAGTTTAAAGCAGGGCCTGTGGGGAGGTTATATTAGCCATAATCTATGCAGATGTACTTGGGTATTAGTTACATGCTTCCAGCTATACTTTTATTATTACGGGATTGCTGGAGTGGATGTTTCTAGAAAGGCTCTTTAAAGTTGAAAGAAAGAATGTGCTCTACATACTAAATGGATGCTGTTTTATTTATCACATTATTACATTTGCAGTTTAACTGGAGAAACTGTGTGTTTTTGAAGTCAAAATAAATACTAAAAGATCTCGAAAAGTCCTAAAAATATCACGTTTTTCCTCACTCTGCTCAGCTCCAAACAGGAATTTACAAGCATACTGCGAATGTACAAACCTTACAGTAAATTATTTTTGATAATATTATTATAGATGTATTGCATGCTTTACTGTGAGAAAGCAATCTGTGTGTCACACATGCAGAAAACCTTTACATATGTCCTATCTAACCTGCAGTCACCAAGTAAATAGCAGGTCTCAGATTATATGCGCTATCTGTGTGTTGCTCAGCAGTTTGTATGTGTGACAAGAACAGCTGATAGGAGACAACAGACACTCGTTATGCCCATTTCATGGAGTTTTTGCAAAACCTTGAACACAGCTGATTAAAAGAGGCTGTTTTTGTCGCCTACATTCAAGATCTTACATTTCAGACAGTCGCAGTATGAGTGAAGTATATATACATATATGTATATGTCTTCAAGTTAAAGTCACAAGACTCAAGACATAATTTGTTCCCTGATGCCTGAAGAGTTTTGTGTGACTCCATCAAACCAAATTCCAGTGGTGCAGCAACCCCTACCACATATACCTGCACTGAACATACACTCACAACATTACCTCTGCAGGGCCTCATGAATACTTATCAAAGGCTTAAAGTGGAATTCTGCTCTGTAGCCTCAGGGTTGTTTCTGTAAGCCTAAAACAGTGATCTTAATCTATATTAATCAACAATTTGTACATGCAAGGATATATATAATCCCATTACTTTACATCCACTCTCCATGTTCACCTCTATCCGCCGTATAGCTGCCTGTCGTAATGGCTGACAGATCTGAGGCCGTGCCAAAGCATGATTAGATTTATGTCATCCTTCATGCTTATATCAATATGTACACTAGGTCAAAACTATTTGAAAAAAAAGAAAAGAAAGAAACACTACTCTTCAGGAAATCCCTGTCAGGATGGAAGTGGCTTCATCTTATTGAATAATTAATAGAATTAGAATTAGAATAAAACTTTATTGAAATTTATTGAAATTGCTAATATTGGTTTAACACAAACACAGGTTGCAAATGTCATGTTCATGTTCTTTAAAACTACTGCCATTTAAATATATTTCCACCTCATACTAGAGTGAAAATGTAATTATAGTATATGTGCACATGCACTGGTGAAACATGCACAGCCTGCATATTTAAACTTAAACTTTAAAGCATCATATGTGGTATTTCAGCATTAAAATTGCCTAAAAATGACTAGAGCAATGTTAGATATTTTGTTGACTTGAGCATGTATATTACACCAAGCGTATAATATAAAACTCAGGGAAGTTTAGGATTCTACTAAATCCCCTCTGCTCATTTCTGAAGTAGTACATCCTTAATTCCTTTCCTCAACTCCTTTTCTTGTGTCTCAGATCCTCCCACCTCAGACTAGCACCGAGGAGGCAAGAAAGAGACACGAGGAGAGAAGAGTCGAAGCAACAGGCATTTAACAAAAGGAGATATCTATGCCTCGAAGCTGTCTTTTTCAAGCAACGTCAATAAATATGACATGCGACTACATGACTACATCATCTGTCAGTTGTCATGACAACTTAAAGCATATATTTACTGACAATTCTATTCACAACGTGGCATAATTTTTCAAGGATGTGCGGATGTCATACTTTTTTATGTTTCTATTTTACACACACACACTCACACAATACATTTCATATGCACACTTTACACACTCAAAAGACTCTCAAGGGAAGGAAATATCTGTGCATCATTACTCACAGCTACTTGGGCCAGTCTCTTCTCTCGTTGCTCCTCTCTTCTCAGGATGCATTATAAGAATTGTGATATCCTCCAAGATGGCGTGTTAAGAGTGATTTACGGGTCACAGGCAGGAGAGAGGAAATGAGGACGTTCAAAATACAGAAATGAGATGAGCCTAATATGATGATGCGTTTCATTTTGTCTGTGGTATCATATCTGTAGGCCTGCTGTAGTCGGTAGAACACACACTGGATGACACATCAGAGAGTGCAGAAGGTGAAAGAAGTCAGCAAGCTAGCTAGCTAGCTGTAGACTAAGCTGTTAACTACCCAGCAACTGAATTTGCAACATTGGTTGCAATAGCTGTATGTGTAGTCCATCCATTCCTCACTAGGGTTGCGGGGGGCTGGAGTTGTCTCAGCTGACTTAGGGCAAAGTCAGTGGACACCCTGGACAGGTCACCAGTCTATCACAGGGCTACACTTAGAGACAGACAACCAAGCACATTCACGTTCACACCTACAGACAATTTAGAATCACCAATTAACCTCAACATGTTTTTGGACTGTGGGAGGAAGCCGGAGAACCCGAAGAGAACCCACACTGCACGGGGAGAACATGCAAATGCAGAAAGATCCCAGGCGTCCTAACCAGGACGCGAACTGGGAATCTTCTAGCTGCGAGGCTGCTAACCACCGAGCAATCTTGCAGCCCTGTATGTGTAGTCAACTCATCTAATACATGACAGTGACTAACATTACTTGCAGCGTTTTCATTAGAGTGAAATGACTTTATGTGAATATAATTGATAAACAATATAGATAAAATTTAAATATATTGATTTGCTGCCTGATTCTCGCCAGAAGGATTTACAGTGGTGACAACACCACTTCCCATGAACTACTTGACAATTTCATCACAATGCTATCTTTTGCTGTTGTGTTGAATGAGAGGATGGTTGAACCAGAAATGACACACCATGTGTTTAACAGGCTATAATGCCTGATCACAAATACTGCATCTTTCTGTGTGAAATAGTTTTTTCTTCCTAATTCTAGAGCTAGATCAACATCCCAGACAACCAGAAATATAGAGAACAAAGTCATACCTAACTGTATGGAGCCCATCTGGTGACATCGATAAGAAATAAAAATAACTCGTTCCCACGCATTAGTAAATTGTGGCCACGAGTTGTTAATGCGTGGGAACCACAAAGTTAAGTCGTGGCCTTGCATTACGAATATGAAGAAACAAGAGAAGTTGTAGAATAAATTTCACAGTGCGGTCATACCAGATTTCGATTAAGGACAGCAGGCTTACTTGCATGAAACATGAAGCATTTTGATTTGATTTCATTTTATTTTAACCTTGGAATGAACTACACCGACATCCTGCGATCTCTTGCGATGAAACACCGTGTGATAATTATGTTGTTCCCACGCATTAATGTCTCGTGGCCGTGACTTCACTATGTCGTATGAGTTATTTTTATTTCTCATCGATGTCACCAGACGGGCTCCTTAAAACCAGATGCATTTTACTGCAAAGTAAAATGCATCTGGGAGTTTGGTTTTAAAACAAAGAAAATGTCAGAATGAGTGCACTTGTAAATCCCTTTGTTTTATCTTTGGCAAATCTTTGGCAAGACCTAAGTTGCTCCTAATGTGAACAATGATTTGTTCTGCAGCATAAGTGAGTGTCACTAAAGCAATGCAAAATAAATTGCACTTTGCACACCAAAAATTGCTTCACAAAAACATATACTCTAAGAGTTAAGTGTAGCTTTGCAACAAACAGACAGAATCCTGATGGACAATCCTGGCAGCAGCTGCCAAAGCAAGTGGAAAAAAAATGGATTCAGAGGCTGAGTCAGCTTTTCCATGAATGAATCCCCCCCAGTCCCTCTGTAGCGATAACTGTGAGATAGGCACAGGTGGACATGTGTTGGTATTGAACAAGTCGCACACACGCACACACACACACACACACACCTACACACACACACACACACACTGGTCGAGTGTCAAGTGGCCCTGAGGGTATAAAAGAGTAGTGGGCAGCAGAAGTCTCCTGTGCGGAAAGTTCCAGCTTTCACTGCAGACATGTTCAGGTTTCTTGTGTTGACCTCTCTCGCAGCCCTCGGTAAGGCCTGTCTTGTTCTCCTTTGACATTCTGCGCACACACACACACACACACACACACACACACACACACCCTCACACACCTGAATACGTGCTGTCTGACTCTTATGCTTCCTGTGTCTCTGCTTTGCTCAGTGCTGGCTGAGCTGACGCCTCAGCCCAGGTACCTGGAGGACAGCGCTGAGGAGAGAGTTGTGGGAGGTTCGGTGGCCAGCCCCAACTCCTGGCCCTGGCAGGTACCGTATGCTTTGTCTGGCACCACAACAACTATGGTAGAAGTATTCTGACATGTAAAAACAACATGAAAACACTACTACAAGTAAAAGTTCATAACCCATGTACACAAGATTGAAAAAAAAACTTTTTCTCAAGACATCAGGGAATTTCCTGCTAGATTTGTTATGGGACAGGTTACAACTTCATAATTTTTGTCAGTATAAAGTGACCTCATGTAAATCCCAACGTAGGTTTCTGCAACTCTAACACAAAAAGGTCCTATCAAATGTTGATATATAGGGCCTTTAATGTAAAATCGTGCATAATGCATATAAAAATGCTTGTAAAATGTTTAAAAAGTAGTTACTACAGCTGTTAGATAAATGTAGCAGAGGAAAAGATTTAAATATATGCCCCTTAAACATGGTAGAGTTTTAGTATAATTGTATTTAAGTACAGTATTTAAGAAAATGTTCTTAGTAAGTTGTTCTAAATGCCCTTAAGTTACATTCAATACTTTAAAATGTAAAATAGGTCAGTGCAACATGTATTCCGGGTACACACATCACAGAGTTAATCAGATATTTTTAAAGAGCTCTTGGAATGCCTGTAACCATCTTCTCAGTGCTGGTAATGCTGCCAAGACAGATTTGGCAAAGAGAAAAAAAAGGATGAACTGTTCAGTTTCTTGGGGTTTTAATGCTCTCTGTGGTCGTTTCATTAGATTTCTCTCCAGTACAAATCTGGCAGCTACTACTACCACACCTGTGGAGGAACCCTGATCAGGAGAGGATGGGTCATGACTGCTGCTCACTGCGTGGACAGGTGGGAGTTTCATGCATCACAGAGTAGCTAGTGAGCCTCAAACCAGCAGATTTATGGGTGAAGAAGCAGGACATGTGTTCTGACAGAGCTGAACATTTACATGATTTTATTTTATTACATTATCTGGTGGCTTCATTGTATAGCTAAGGTTTCCATTTGACTTGTTTTCATTCCAACCTTCTAATTTAGTTAAATATAAAATTAAATGTATGTAAAACAGTTCCCACATAGAATATTGATTTTGAACAGATATATGTGGGTTACTAGAGATCTCTTACAGTTTAGTGGATAAATAATTTTGTTTTCTCCTTTATTTATTTTTTGTTTTTTTGTATGGCCACAGTTCCAGGACTTGGCGTGTTGTTCTCGGAGACCACAACATCAACTCCAATGAGGGAAGAGAGCAGTACATGAGCGTGAGCCGCGTCTACATCCACCCCAATTGGAACTCCAACAATGTTGCCGGAGGGTTAGTTGCTATAGTTTGACCCACATCTACATACCAAAACAGCAAATACTGGTGTATAGTATATACACCACATATTATGAAGACTAAAACCATTTAGTTTTTTATTAAACAATGAAAAACTAATGAAATCTGCCAAAAGCCATATTTACATGTAATATTATAAAATAGACAGATTGTGTTTTTAAATGTCAATATTTTAATAATAATTAGGTCATACTTCCTGAGAAGTATTTACTGAAATGATATAAGTTGTTTTGCTGACTGGGCCTCACTAGATCTCAACATGTTAAAACACATCACATCATTCAAAACAAACAAAAAAACTGGTTAGTTGATAATCAGAAAATGAGACAACAGCTGATGTATTGTTTGACTCATTTTCACAGTGATAGTGATAAAATCTGTCTAGTTTGTTTTCTGGTGATTATTTGAGCAATTTGAGGATTTGTAAAAAAAAAAATTAAAATAAAAGAAAATTTTGGGGCAGATTACTCTTTTGAAAAAAGAATAAAAAGATAAATATATAATTTTTACTTAAAGACAAGCAATATCCCACTCTTAAAGAAAACTATTACAATGAGCTTGATAAGTACAGGAGAAATATCTCATTTTCCCTGACATGAGGGCATGTTGATCTGACCCTCAGATGGGACATCGCTCTGCTGCGTCTGTCCTCTGATGCTACTCTGAACAACTACGTCCAGCTCGGTGCTCTGCCTCCTTCCGGTCAGGTTCTGCCCCACAACAACCCCTGCTACATCACCGGATGGGGTCGCACCCAGAGTAAGTCTGATATTATGATACATTTACGTGATAAATTATTCACTTCAGTATTTGTATGCACGCGAAAGCAATCCATAAATAGCATCAAACTGTATGTGGTGTATGACCCTGCTATCTCAGGGTTTAGCACAGTTGTAATTTGTATTTTGCTTGCTCGTCACCAGCTGGAGGTCAGCTTTCCGCCCAGCTGAAGGAGGCCTCCCTGCCCCTTGTTGACTACAGGACCTGCACCAGCTACGGATGGTGGGGCAGCACTGTGAAGGACTCCATGGTCTGTGCTGGCGGTGGCAGCGAGTCCGGCTGTCAGGTGAGCTGAAAGAATGACAAACTGTTTCAGGGCATCACTTTTTAATAAGCAACCCTTTATGAAGCTTTGCAAAGATTAGTTGCAAGAAAGAAAATTGTGGTTACCAATAACCTCCTTGGCTTTTTGATTGGGATTCATGACCAGTTTCTTCCATAACTGTGGAAAAGAGTTTTAGAAGAGCTGGACCAAGATGTATTTATTAATAACTTATTACTGGATTACTAAAATGTATAACGGCATCAATACCAAACAGGAATCACGAATACTGGCTTCAATTGTTGTGATTTGATATGACCTGACAACCCTAAAATTTGTTTCATTATTGCCGTGAAACTAATTTTTAAAGCAAAAAGGAATAATTTATGAAACATGAATAAAGTAATTAATTACAACAATAAATCCATCCATCTATTATCTATACACTGTTTGATCCTCACTAGGGTCTTTGGGGGGCTGGAGTCTATCCCAGCTGACTTAGGGAGAAGGCAGGGGACACCCTGGACAGGTCATCAGTCTATTGCAGGGCTACACTTAGAGACAGACAACTAAGCACACTCACTACACTAATAAATATGTATTAGAATTGTTGCCTATTTCAGCAGGGTAGATTCTTCTAAGCTCAGATTTTGAATGCAGTTTTGAAAGTTGGTTCCCAAACCACTTCTTGACACCCCTTGAAAAGTGTTTGGGCATAAACAGACTCCGGAGAACACTGGAAAGAACTTGTCCCGCTTGGCCATGACAGGCTGAACTTGAACGTCTCCCATTGAGCAGTGGGCTGACCCCTTCTTGTCAAGGAAGATATTTTGGGGGACACATGCGGGATTACTTGCTGCCTCAGCAGGGGCATAAGTCAGTAACAATGATCCAAGCAAGTGCTTAAGCTGCACAAAGTGTCAAAGTCTTGCAAGCTCATGTTCTCCAAAAAGTTGCTCCAGGCTGACTGAGATTAGAAGTGGATATGAGAAGCAAGAGGGAGCAAGTTAACTGCATTGGGAAATTTGCTTCACGCTCTGCTCCAAAGTGCAGAAAAAAAAAGCCATCAGTTCTGAATCTCGTCTGTGATGTGTTTTTTTCCTTTTTCTTCCAAATGCAGGGTGACTCCGGTGGCCCCCTGAACTGCAGTGTCAACGGCCAGTGGGTGGTCCACGGTGTGACCAGCTTTGTGTCTTCTTCTGGCTGCAACGCCTACAGGAAGCCCACTGTCTTCACCCGTGTCTCTGCTTACATCAGCTGGATGAACAGCGTCAGTATTCACTAATAACTCACATGATTCATATATATAGTTACAGTATGGTAAAAACAAAAAACAAAAAACACAAAAAGATAAATCCCCCTATATGTGCTAAACCGCACAATCTGGTTTCATAATCAGTTTGTACAGTATTTGGTTGGTCGATTCTTAAGGATAATCACATAATGATTCATTTGTCCTTGCTTTGCCAGATCATGGGTTGAGAAGAAGGATGATCTCCATGGAAACGACAGAACACTCTGGATTCATCTCAGTTTCTAACTCTGACAGAATAAAATGTCCTTTAATGTGCATTCGCTTTGCTTCAGTTATTTATTTATTTTCCTTTATTTTGTGTGGGATACAACAGGCACTGTCCATTAAAATGTTTAGAAGCACAAGTAATTAGAGGTGAAGTATAATTTAGACGAAGGAGCAGGTCAGCAAAAATAAAAGTACACAGTCTATTGAGACGGCACTTTTAATTAACTTTTTTTTATGTGAGGGGATTTTTTTGAGATTGCCTTTTTTCTTCAGAATTCATATCAAAAGTCAACACTGTTTCAAATAGGGATAAAACTTAAACTTCAAGATATCAAAATGAGATGAAGTCAAGTGATGAAAAGAGGCTCCAAAACAAATAAAGGAGCACATCACCCTGTTAACGGCTGAGCAGTTCCACAGCAATAACTCTTGTGAAGTATAATATTAACCACCAAAAAGCAACCCAAATAACAAATATATAGAAATGTAAATTCACTTGCTCTTAGTATCTCTCCCAAGTATTTTCTGTGCATTCTTTTATTTATGCTCTGGTATTTTCAGCAATCCTATTCAAAGTAACAGGAGGCAGAAACCCTCATTTTTGTTGTTGATTTTAAGGGAGATCAGAGTTCCTGCAAGAAACCTACACAAACATAAACAGTGTACATGTATTGAATTCAGTGAATTCAGCAGAGCAATACTACTATGAGGCTGGCAGATGAAAACAATTATATATCTCACAAGCATGAGCAGAACTCTTTACAGTCTCATGTTGGCCTCGAATGTTGTAGATAAGCGTGAGATGGAACACATCTGGGCTTTAGAGAAGAGAACAGCCAGTTGCCACTGAGAATGTAACACTCTGTGTCGGAAGAGGCTTACACTTACACAGTATGAACTCTATGCAGACTGTATGTACAGAGGTTGTCATATACCAGCCCTGACATGCATACACAATCCAGTCTGCTAATGCTGGCTGCTCTGCCAGCTTTGGGGAAGCAAGTTAATGTCATTCCTCATTAGTGTACCTGCTGGTGCTGCGTGACAGGGTCAGACTTTATGTAACAGAAAGCTAGAACTAGAAGATGTGAAGGTAATTATAATTGCAGTCAATTATTTTCATACAGTTACTTGAAGTGCTTGAATGTAACCAACATTCTGTAAGACCTCAGGTTCAGAAATGTGGATGTTACTTTGATAAACACCTGAACATTATTGCAGACCACGTACACCCCCTCATGGCAACAGTATTCCCTGATGGCTGTAGTTTCATACATCATGATAAGGAGTCCCGTCATACTGCAAAAACCTCTTCTGGAATAGTGAGGAATATGACATAGACATCAAAGAACTGACTTGACCTACAATTCCCCAGATCTCAATTCAATCTGGCATCTGTAAGATTGGCTAGAAAAACAAGTCAGATCCATCTCCACCTTGCAACTTGCAGGACTTAGGGAATTTGCGGGTAATGTCTCGGCGCCTGATGCTACAGGACGACTTTAGAGGGGTTGTGATCAGAGCTGTTTTGGAGGTTTTGCAGAGATCTATACAATATCAGAGCAGGTGGTTTTCATCTTGTAGCTGGTTGTCTCTTCATGTCTGCAAGTGGAGGAGTCACAGTCTCACATATCGAGAGATCCAGCATTATCATTCCCAAGATTCTTCTCTGTCTGCTTGAAAAAAAAATTTTGAATACTTAAAGATATACACATATATATGAAATAACAGAATAACAGATACCTTATTTGTTATTCATGCTTATTCATACTATTTCTAACTAAAAAACATATTCCAATACACTCAATGACACTTTCAATATTTAATTTCAAAACTGAATTTCCCTCTATAGTTTCTGTGATAGTCTTGTTGCGTTATTGTGGAGGTGCTCCTGTAACTAACTGGAGACTGGGCCAGCCTTTGCCACTAAAACTGATCTGCCCACACACCCAGCATCCCTTTGTTTAGCGTCATTAGCAACAGAGGTGCTGCTGGATTTGCCCTCTAGGTTTTAGGTAAGTATTAAGATTTTCTCTGTTGTTTGCCTTATTCAAGTTTGTTTTGTCAAATGCATATGATCCCTTGTGAATAAATAAATAAATTGTATGAAAAACATCTGGTTTAGTTTTGCTTCCCTTCCCTTAATGATGTGAGTTGTAACAACTGCAAACATCCACCATAATATTAATAAAGTCAAAAATGTCATACCTATGGTCAAATTCACCTTTGTTGAACTGTTCCAGCCCATATATGAAATTGTTGGGTTACAGATTTAAGACACAACACTCCTAGGTATTGAAGATAGAGCTGTCAAGAAACCTGGATTCGGAGCATGCTGACTTTCTGGTTGGGAGGTACACAGTGCCATATTGTCGCTGTGTGCTTGTGAGTCTGTGAAAAAAACAACTTCTGTGTCTCTGCAGTGGTGTAGCCATATGGTGGTGATGATGGCTCTACATCCCACAGTAAATACCTGTCATATTGGGCTGTTGTAACGCAGGCAACTAATGTAAATTTAAGCTAAGTGGAACACTAACTGCATCTCTAATGAGTCAGACGAACATAAAGCAAATGCATGTTAATACCTGAAGGGAAGATAAAGCTTTCAGGTAACAAGAAATGCTTATGAAAACCCTTTAATGACTATACTGGATTATATATATATCAGTCATAGTGTGTTTAGTATCAGATTGTAGTGACTGCAGTGTATACCTACATGAATGTAATTGGATGTTACCAATGGCACAGCACGGAGTGAGCCACTTCAGTGCTTTTCCTGACCTAATGCTATGTTGCATTCATATGTCATATGACAAATGAGCAAACCCCATCTGTTAACAAAGAGTGTGTGATGTGGTCTGCGAGTATGTGGACCTTGAGTTAAGACTGTCTTGTCAGCTTCTGTTTACAAGGTCAACAAAATCGACGTGCAGTGTTTGAATTTGGAAGCACGATCCAGTGCCAGATATATTACAAAGAATGTTCAAGGTAAAATTTTTGCTAAAATGTATTTCTGCATGCACTGTATCAAGAAAACTTGAGACTACAACCACCAAAAACAAACAAACAAAAAAAGTTACTCGATTCAAGGTTACAGAAAAACAGTACTGGGAGAAGGCTGAGGCAAAAGGTTCAAAAACTTGCATTCTCTCTAACTGCCAGCAGGGGACGACTCCTCTGATTCCTAAAAGAAGTCAGATTGTATAGCAGTCTATGGAAAAATGAACCTACTTTTTACTTGATTTATAACTTCACTAAACATTTTCCTATTGAATTTAAGCTCTCAATGTTGACTATATTTAGTAAACATAGTCCTATTTTGTTGAAAGAGATGATAATACAACCTTGTGATTGACAGGTTGCTACTGTATCCTCATGCTTAGTGTCCTTGAGTTTTCCCTTTGCTTGTCATATCTGGTTTTAAAAAAGCAAGCTAGTAATGGCCAAATGCCAAACTCAGGGATTCAGAACAGTAGTCTGCAAATCACTGGTTCGCTACGTCCATCTTTGTGACACTGTCTATGATGGTGCGTTGGTTTGAAAGGTGTTACTGCAAGGAACTGTGGGATGGCATTATCTCCTCTCCTTTTGTAAAGGATGGACCAGTGTATTATATGTTTGTACACCTTTCCTTAGCATTTAATGAGTCGGGCCGGCTCTTATAATGGATGCCTCTAAGAGATTTCCACGAACCTTCTTAAGAAAAAAAAGACTTTTCAAACCCAGCCAGAGTTAGTGACAGAAAACAAGAAACAATCAGATTGAATGGATGACTGTATAAATGAATTAAAAGAAGAAAACAACCTGCTATTACAACACACTCTGTGTTAAGTGTTGTCAAATGCTTTTGTAAATTCTCAGTTCCTTAACAAACATACTTTAGTGTTTCTGTGATTTTTAATGATCTCAGCGGGAACACCACTTTGAGATATGCAGCCAAGATTGCCAAACTAATTGGAGATTATAACATGAGTTAATCAGCACAAAATTAATGGATAACAACAGTTTCACCACTTTCTTTGCTCGGGAAGCTAAATCAAAAGGTCAGTGTATCTGTAATATCTCTGTGAGAGGATGTTCTCTACTTTAATGAGAAACAGTTAATTTGTAGGATGAATTGTACAGCATTTGTCATTTTTTTCTGCTTGATTAATCATATTCTTCATATGAAAAATGCCCATGTGTCAATTTAACTCACTATCAAGCGTAAGCTACTGTTAATACAAACTCTGTTAATAGTCTCCGAAGTCCTTTCACAGCCTGGTAGTTTGATCCTGATGCAGTAAGTGTAGCTGTTTTCTGTTTGACCCCAGGGTCTCCACAGCCAACAGCCTCTGCTGCTCCATTTACATGACTGAATTCTCACTATTTTCAAGGCATGAAGTAAGACAAACTAGCAGACAACTGCTAATAAGGCTTTGGCCTAGTGCTGGAAAATTTCTTGGATCATTACCTGCTATTTTTGCAAGACAATTGGCAAGTAATTGGAAGTCTTAAATTCTGCCAGAAAGTGCAGTTTTTGCTAATTTTTTATTTGAAAATTATCAAACAGTTTAATTGTCAGCATGAAGCAACACATACTTCATAGCAAGATTAAATCATGAGCGTTCTGCATGCAAACCTGCAAATAGTGTTTTTCAGGAATAATGTTTATCACTTTAACCATGGTTTATCTTGTTAATTAGCACAACATGCAAACTCCAACACAGTCTAACTGGAATATAAGCAGTTTTACATGTGTACATTTAGTCATGAAACTCAAATGGCACAAATTCATATTTTTACCCAGTGATAGTATGAGCTCAGTGTAATGCTCGGAGGACTCCCAAAAGCCTGCACAGGTCTTTTTCCACAGACCATGGATATCAAAGCAAAAAAAATTATTGCAAACCATCAAGTAGTTGTGGAAAAATAGTTCAGTCTGAACCAAAGTGATGGACTACCAAAGGACTAACCCTGCCACCCCTAGAGCTTTGCAAACCACTTGCAAAACTCAGTCCTCAACAAACAACATGCTCTCTGTGTGGTAGCTATGACTGAATAGCAGCACAAATTATATAATGAAACAGAAAAAAAAATAAAAAAGAAATAAAATGCTTATATGTTCACAGAGTTCTGACTTTCTTTATTCTATCTTGCCATCAACGTTGTCGTCGGTTGAAAATCTTTTGGGGTTCAAGTTCATTCCAGTTGCAGCTCATTAGCTTCATTTTTTAAGTTGCTATGGTTTCATTAAACCTCCCAAATGCCTTAAAGTTCAAATCACCTACAAGCGTAAACATCTGCCTGCCATATTGATAAAGAGGCCCAATTTATTTTGTCCAAAAAGTGCCCTGGGTTCAAAACTGTAATTATCATGGAAAGCAGATTGTGTTTCATTCAGAAAGCACAGGTTGATACCTTACCCTCTGTCATCCTTAGAGGAGAAACAGCCCCCAAGCTTCCATGAGGTAGTGACTGCCAACAAGTGATCGATTTCATTGAACGCTGTTGAGAAAACGAAGAGCACCAGTCCACACAGTAAACTGTCCCCCTCCTATTAGTAGCCTCACCAAATCGATTCTGCGCAATGAGTAGTAAATATTTTCTTTAATCATTCAAAGACCTGGATGCCTAAATTTGCGCCACATCTGCTCATAATTAAGTCCACTAAACGGCTTTCCGATGCAGGGGCAACACTGCATTGGAAGAATGTAGTTTAATGCTTGCCGTCTTATTGTGTGTTAGTGCTTAGTGCCTTGTTTCGGCACTGGAGGAAAGTAATGGATCTGTCCGGACCACCAGAGTCCGGTCAGGTGGCAGCAGTCTCTCTAGATGTCAGGTCAGTCTTATGTAAGCCCTTTATTGCTCTTTTTACTGCAGGGTTCTGAGGTACAGTCTTCAGTACAAGTGGTGCTGTAGGTTCACCAGCGGCTATGGACTTTAGTGTGATGGGTGCACAGTGCCATCTGGTGGAGTCAAGAGAAACTCAAGCACATGTGCAGGGTGGTATCAGCCAGCAGAGGCCCACTATATTTGCCTCCATCTCTGCCTGTATCAGCCGCATGAAACAGGTCAGTAAGGGGGCAATCTGTCAATACTGATTAACTCAACATTTATAAATAAAGCATAGCTGAGAGGGGAAGTCTATTAAATTGAGCTAGCTCCACCTCGGCCTGCACTAGCTATATCCTCCGTAGTCACAGCTGAATGTTTCTTATAACATTATTTTATTCACAGTTTGTTTCCCCTTAAAAAATATGATTATGCAAAACACTTTCTTGCAGTAATGACATTTGAAACGGTTGAGTACTGAGCACCTCTCCTGCTGTGTCTTCATCACGTATTCCTACTTTCGGATGATTTACTGGATGCTGGGTGATATTTAATAATAAACTGCTGACACAATGAAGTCTCAACTAACCTAATAAAATCAAAACAAAATCAAACTACAGGTGGCAGATAAAGCATGTTTAATGGATGGACTGAATGTCGAAATATTAAATTACTCTTTAGAATTTCTTGTTTATGCAGTTAAACCGTATATAAATACTATAACACATTCTACAATAATACATTCCTGTATTAGGAATCTATGCATGTATTTACAGGTGAAAAACACACACATATGTACAATAATTGCCACTTTAAGTATACTGGGATCATGTACATCTAGTGTCCTTGTCTCCCGTTTACAATAAACCAAATTTGGGATTTTGCTTCCACACATATTACATAGTTTTAATTATTTAAAGCTTATAACTCATCAAGGCACAATAGGCTAAAATAAAATAGATGACAGTTAAATGTGCTGTTGTAGCTCATGACAAGCCCTTTATGCATAAAAAAACATCTTTTGAGTTTATCATAACAGTGTAGAGACACTTTGTTCCATACAAACTGCATGTTCACACCACTTCTCTTTTCACTGATGTTATGTATCCCTTTCTTTGCTTGACACTCATTCCCTCCACAACAAATATTTCAACTTGAGAGATTGCACAATTGCCCTAACATGTTACAGTCCGAGGACTCTATTTAAATACATCACACCATGCCTTCAATGGTGTCCAGCTTTTGGGGATGCTCAGCTTCACTGTGCTGCTTCTCCTGCTGCCTGCAGTCCTGCTGGTAATCTTTGAGCACCTTTACCACCTCGTCATGTCCAAACTGCATGGCATCATCGACTGGTAGGTTCCCCCACCTGCACACGGTCAGGACAGAGCTTAGCAGACTATGGGGGAGACTTTACAGCAGTGCACAAGTAACTACTCAACTGTAACTGAGAGGTACTGTACAGTTTTAGTTCATGAGGAAAAAAACAACACATTTAAATATCTTTTTAAAATGCAGCAATCCCACTGCGATTAGAAATCACATTTTTAAGAGATAGAAGAGTTGAAGCATCACAACACTGTTCATGTAAGCAGTAGGATCATACATAAAATTATAGTTAAAGAGATTTGTAAGGACTAGAACAAAACCAGAGAATAAATATCCGTTCATCATGAAATGCATAAGGATAAAGAGCAGTGAAGAAAACTGAAGAATACAAAGAAGTTGCAGATGTTTATCTCACCTGTCTTCTACAAATGGATCAACTTTGCAGGTTTCAGTGAGGAACTTCACTACTTCTACGTGACCTGAGGATGAAAAAGACAAAACACAGACTGAAAGTCAAACAGAGTCGGCATTTTTGTGTTGATTCAGAAAATACGGCTTCACCTTGGTGTCAAAAAGCAATCCAACTGCATGAACCCCTTGAATTCATATCACCACAAACTAGAAAGGCATGCATGAGTTACAGTAGCAAACTGGGAAAAGAAGGGAGAAAGATGCTAAAAATATAAACTATATGAAAAAAAAAATCCACACAAAAAAACAACATAAAAACAGGTGTATAATTATTATTATGACATTACTGTTCAAGACACAGCAGTGCACCATTAAATCTCTGCTGTGAATACACTGAGATCATAAGAGAAGACAAATAATCCACCATATGGTGCTCTGTGAAGGTTTATGAGCTGATTCATTCGTGGTTTGTATAATGTGAGCCAGAGGTACTAAACCTCCACAGTTACTCATGAAAATAAATAAAAACTAACTCGGTGCTAATTACAGCTGCGAGCATCAAGACAAACAATTCAGCAAGTTTAAGTATTTTTCTGTCAGTCACAGATGAATAGAAAATCTTTTCTCCAGATGGTACACTGGGATGAAAATAAAGTTCAGAGCAGAAAAACAATGTTTTTGGGGGCTTTTTTTTTTTTTAACAGAATGGCAAAGTGACTAAATGATTAACAAGGTGGGCATGAAGCAACATCTGTAACTGTCACCACACAATGCAAGTAAGATATAATTACTCTTTCAGCTAAGCTCGACAGAAATCTGTTGGCGTGTGATAAAAGTGGTCTTGGATTGCCACGTCAGCCAATCCTCATGAAAAGTGAAGCCGAAATCTGTAACTTCTTGTTATCTTAAAAATACGGCGAGCATGCCAGAACATGTAATGACAAACTTGTTGGGGGCTGCTGGGCCCACAAACTTTGCTGCACTTCACAATTTCACAGATTCTGTTGATGCATGCTTATGATGTATGTTCTCGATCGCTTCCTTTTGCAGAATGTAATCCTTTCTCGGAATGCAGAGTTTCTTTTACATCGGGAACATTGAAAACTTTTCTTACGTTTCTTGCCATAGGCTCTGCTGTACTTCTAGCTGATGTTGCTCCTATTTTCACTTATAGCAAACTAATCATTGCTGGTTGATGTAAAGCTCCCAGTGTGTAGGCATCAGACTGTCCCCACAGACGTTAAATTTAAAACTCTGGTACAGTTTTATCTGGTGCTGGTGGGCTTAATCAGTCAAAATGGGTTAATAAAAGTCAAAATTAATGTAACATGATTATTATACCCCTTTACTGTTATTGGGTGGTGGTCATGATGTCAGTACGGCCACATCAACTGTCTGTTTCTTCAAAGTATTTTTGTGTTCCAAATTACTTTGTGAATAGTCGGGTTAAGGGGCTGCCGTACTTCCTCCAGTTATGTTTGTGTGTTTGTAGGAGCAGCATTGAGGCAGCTGAGGTCTGAGCTTCCCTCATGAGTACTAACTCTTCTTGAAACTGCTAATTGGATGTATTTTATCCATTGTGCCACTCCTTTTGACATTTCAACACCAGCTAAACACAAACAGTTACCGGGGAGCTGAGTAATTAATTGAAAAAAAAACGTTTGCACTACACAGAGTGTTGTGTAGTCCCGGGTCACTATTGCCTGAGGGTGTGTATTTGAGCATTAAAGGAAACACAGGAACTCAGACAGTGAAAGCCGGCAGTGCTCACCCTCTGCTGCAGCGATATGTAGCGCTGTTCGAGAATCATAGTCTTTCAGATCCATGTCCATGGATGAAAGTGCAAATCTGCAGCATTAAAACAGCAGAACAGCATAAAACAACAGAACAAAACACAACAAACATTTTAGATATGGAACTACAAGACATATCAGTTAAATCGTATAAGCATAGTTCTGAAAATTAAACTAATCAGTTCCATCTGGGAACCTTTGTTGAACTTCATGGACATGTTATCTTATTGTTAAGGTAACTCTAGTAACTCAGCTACAGAAATGTGACACATTTAATCGAAATGCCAAATAATAAGAGAATACACAAACACAACTGATGTAGCTGCTTCTGTACTGGGCATGAAAGGTCTAAAGTCAAAAAGATGTAAATCACAACCTTCAAACTACTTGGAAATTTGTTCCAAGCAGCACTGGAGCTGTTTACGACACTTTGCGAAAGTTCATTCTTCATTTTATTTTTCACCTGTCTGTGTGCATTTTTATTTCTCAGGCCTGGTGTAAACATTCTGAAGGATGTTTTGTTTACAGGACAACAATCAGAGCTTCAGGTAATTACCTCCTCAGGGCTGACACGTCTCCACTGTAGGCGGCAAACATCAAGTTGAAAACAGACTTGTTCTGCAAATCCATTAAATCTACGTGAATACAAAGGCTTGAAAAAAGCATTTGACATACCAAACAGAATGCAAAAGGCTCACCCTGTCCTCTCCGTCCTGTCTGCGAGGGTCCTGCTTCTTCACGAAATGCCTCAAATTGTCGTAATTGTGGAAATTGAAGAGTGATACAAGCTCCTGAAGGTGAGAAACAGCAGAATGTGAAAGCTGGTTCTATGTTTTAATGCAGGACAAACTTTAATGAAAACATTTATCGGCGCAGCACAGTCGATGATTCAGAAGAAGATATTGAAGTCAGCGAGTTGTGAAAAGATGAAGCCGTTAAGAGTATATGAAACTGATTTTATGTCATCACACAGAAGCCAGAGAATAACTCTACTCTCGTAATCGCTGTCACCACAAGTCGTTCTGCTCCGTAAGGCAGCTGCAGATTGTACATCTTAAGGATATTAACATTCATAGCTCACCAGCTCTAATTGATTTGTCTAACTAAGCAGGCTGTCGTCGTAATCACCATAATCTTTCCTCAGTAATTAAAGTCACAACTATAAGATTTGAATATTTCAAGACTTTGGAGCCGACAACAACACCATAGGCCATCAGAGTAATCTGATGTTATAATCACATAAAAATTCACAGGAAATGCAGAAGTCCTGATCTTGCCTGACAGAAGTGTATTCCCCGGACGCTGTTTCCAACTCTGTCCAGGGGAGGAGACCAACACATCACTCCCATGACGTTGGGAATCACCAGCAGTATGGCACCAGACACCCCCGATTTTGCAGGCAAGCCCACCTGCAAGATGAGAGCGAGAGGCTGGTTGGATGTGTGTGCTTTCTTTTTCAGGCAAACAGATGAACGTTATTTCTGTCAGAGGGGTGGTGATGTGATGGTCCTGTCACTTCCTAATGTTACTCACATGAAAAGCCATCTGGCCAGAGAAGTCATACATGCCACACGAGTGCATGAGGCTCAGGGTGTCTCGCACCGCCTCGGCGCTCAGCACACGCTCGCCTGTGATTGGACAGATTCCTCCGTTGGCAAGAGTGGCAGCCATGATGCTTCCCGATTCACAGGTCACCTCGATGGAGCAAAGCTGGGAACAAAAGCGGTTCAGTTTATTGCTGAAATGACTGAATGCCTTTTGAAAGTCAAAATCGGGCCACACAAGAATTTTATGGCAGCGAAGCAGTTTACCTGGAAGTAGAAGTCGAGGGCATCGATCATTTCTGCTCCCGGAGGAAAACACTGGTGAATGAAATATAGAATAAGATAACTTTATGGATCCCTCAGCAGGGAATTTTAATGTACAGCAGCAAGATACAAATCAGAATCAGAATGTCTTTATTGTCATTGTATGAGAACAATGAAATTAAAAGTGCCATGAGGCATGGAGGAGAAGAATTACAAAAGCACAATAGGTTAAGAATAAAGCTATAATAAAAACTATGTACAGCTTTCACCTGTTCAGATGAGGCATGATGAACATACATATGGATATGTAGAGATGTGGCATGATGGATAATGTACCCGATTAAAGGACATATGGTGTAGAATTGTACTTCTGCACAGAATAGTAGTGCTAATATGACAAAAATGATTGTCATGACTATTTGACTGACTGAAACATGCTGGAGATAGATTTTAAATTGAGTTCAAACACAGTCTGGCAGTTTGATGATGGTGGAAAAATGGATAAAAGGATTTTTCATTATTTCAAAATATTTAAAAAAAAAAAAAAAGGATGAAGTGATATTTTGTGGTTGGACAGACTGTAGGAGTGTTGAGCTTACGAAAGCCTTTAAAACACACAAGAACAAAACATTAAAATAAAAATAATATAGTTGTATAGCATTATTTTTCCTAGTTTGTGAAAAAAATACATTTTGATGATAAAAAAGTTCAGATTTTTAAAATAGTAGCTCATTATTTCCATCAAATATGTTGTCTGCAGCTGAAACAAGGAATCAATCAAGCAGATAGAAGTCAGCCTACAGCTTCAGGTTGTGTAATGTGAGGATTTGCTGGTCGGTCTGCCGAGGCGAGAGCAGAGGAGGAGAATTGTGATTGATGCTTTTTGTTTGTCTGCCTGTCAGAAAATACCAGACCGAATTTCATGAAAATGGTGGAGAGGTGGTAAAGTAGGCGAAGGAAGAACTAATTCAATTCTTGCGTGGATCTGAATAACGTTCATAAAAACTGCGTGACAGGGCATTGGCTCTGGCACAGGATCCACTCTCTGAACACCCCTTCTAGTTTTCCCTTTTTTTACATCATTGCAAACTAAATGCCAACTATGTTTGGGTTTTGCACCGTTAGTTGGACAAAACAAGACACTGGAAGATGGCACCTTTAGTTTTAGGAAACTGTTTGTCATCTTTAATAGTTTCTTATGTTTCTCAAATTACTATTATTATTTTTTAGAAGCAGAAGCCTTTATTTGACACATATACAACACAGCACAGTGAAATTCTTCTCCGGCATATCACACCTTATTAGGAATCCTGGGTCAGATTGCAGGGTCACGATACCCCAGGAGAAAAAGGGAAAGTCCAGCAGTGGCAGCTTGGCAGCCCTGGGGCTTAAACCGCTAATCTTCTGATCAGTTACCCAGAGCTCTAACCTTAGAGCTCCTTCTGATTTCTAGAATTATCAGTGATGAAAAACCTCTTCCAGGCTGCCCTATCTATATGTGCCAGCTATTTAAAGAAATACTTCACACAAACATGCATGCGCATGCAAACACAAGCATTGCACTTTGTCTTAAAGTACTGCAACAGAAAAAAGGGGATTTACAATCCTACAAATTTTAACTCTGTGCAAAATGTTCTGTAACTGACCTTCTTCTCTTTCATGTAGTATCCAATGGCAAAATTTCTGTCGCCTGTTTCTTTTTCTGACTGGAACCTGAGACAGCAAAGCATAGGAGGTCAATACTGAAACATCAATAATGCAGCAGGGCAGTGGACATGCAATTTGCCTAACACAGTAACTCTTTAAACTTAGATGTACCAAACAGAGATATGTGAAGATAAAATAATTCAAAATTACTTTATAGCACACTCACATGGCATTGCTGAATCCGACATATTCTTGGCCAGCCATCTTTTTAACAAACTCCATAACCTAGGAAATCAAAAGACAACACTGTATGTGTACTGCAGCATTCCTCTGACCACTGAGACAACTGTGCCACATTTTAATACCGATGTCTGTTAACAGAGAGGAAAATCTGAGGCACACTACTTACATAGTCAAACTTCTCTGCCTTATTTGAGCGGGGCTAAAAAAAAAAAGAAAGAAAGAAGAGGGAATAATTTGCTTGTATAAAAACATAGTGATTGTAATTGCCACGTTTATTCAATTGTCACATTCATGACCTACGACTAATTCCACAGTGTGAAAAGCCAAAGAATGCACCACTGATTGCATAATTTACTATCCTATTATCAGCGACTCCAGCAGGAGGAGAGAAAGGCAGTGATCATAAACCACAGAGCTCTGGGAGAGTTCAGGGAATATTTCATAAAACAGAACTCCAGATAACCGTGAAAAATTTTGCTACTGATCTAGAAGACAAACCTGAGATATTCTACAGAAAAACAGTCATATTCAATCACTTAAAAAAAGGCCTTGTCATAAAGATCATCATCATGACAGCAACAAAGTCAATCAACTACCTCTAAACAAGACAAGTTGACATATTGTACATTATGGATCCGAATAGTTTGTTATTTTAAATAAGTCACTATTTGTCAGATGCAGATAGAAAAGGGTCTGTAAAAAAAAGTAGCGATAATACCATTTGCAATAGATGTGTATGCAACAATCTGCAAACGTGTTTTACAATATCTTAACTGTGTGACACTTTCTATCATAGTTAACACATTTTTTTTTCATGTGTATAGAACAGAAAATCTAATTCCAAGACCCATGTTGACCTTAGTAAAAACATAACCCAATAACATTTCAAAAAATACAGTCCACCCCTCCGTGACTGCAAAGTACAATGTTTGCAAACATTGTTGTCATTGACTTTCACTAAAGAGAGAGTGAGTTACTATACGTGCTGACTCAACTGTCACACATCATAGCCATCTGTTTACCTTGATAAGGGAGCTGATCACTATGGCTCCAGCGTTCACCATGGGATTGTGAGGCTTATCTAACAGAAAGGACAATGAGATAAGACATAAAGTTGATGAGGACTTCTGTACCAAACGATGTCTTTGTATCGGGGTCTTCGGTCTTTTTAATTAATCAGATAACTGATTTAGATCAACATCTTTATCATATCAGACAACATTAGGCCAAATATATATAAAGTCACAAAAGGTGCCCAAGATATCTTTCAGGAATGAAACATCTATATCTATACTTCAAACAATAATTATTACTTTTTAAAAGAAGACTACATCACAATTGAATGTCTAACGTTTACTGAAAAATAAAGAATCACCGCAACTCTATTTTAAACCTGCTAAATGCCACAAAAAAAATCAAATAAATATTAAACTGGAAATTACTCAAATGTTTACCTATCGGTCAAAATCAATCTTTTGATCGACTAATTATTTCTGCACTAGAGCTTGCATCAATATTTAATCATCCTCTGAGGAGAGAGATGACCTAAAGTTCATAGCAGACAAAGACATGAGAAAATTAAACCCATATTTCTTACTTGTTGGGTAGAAAAATATATTTTTAAGAGATGTGATGTGCTGAAAATATCATGAACTAACTCTTGGTTTGAGATTGAGGAAGACATAATCCATCCAGTGGGCAATAGCACTGATACAAGAGGGCAGGAAACTATGAAGAGGCACCTAATCCACTGCACCACATGCATGTACTCCTATAGGTTTCTTCTCCTGCCTGTTCGAAATGTTAGTGTTAATTTCACACACTGATTGAAGGGTGATGTATTTTTACAATTTGACAGGCTGCAATGAGGCCACGTACCTTCATCATCAAGTGAGAGCACGTTGAATTTGAGACCACTGGGCTCCATGCCAACATAACGGTGAACCTTCTCTGTTCCTGCCTCATGTACAGCAACGGCGTACTGCAGGGGCTTCACACATGACTGCAGGCAGAATGGTTGCTTGGTGTCACCAACTGAGTGCCTGTAGAAAGAAGAAAGAATTGAAAACAGCATTTTGATTAAAAACATGCATAAGAAATATCAGTGACATTCACTCAAATCAAGAAAGTCTCATCTTTTAGGATAGAATGGATAAACAATCCAAGAAGTTTTCAGAAAAAGTAACATTTATAATTCAGTGACTGCTGGGAGCCGTCCATCTGCCTAAAAGCTTTTAACCAGCCACTGAACGGATCTTGTGGTGAGATTGTTTTGCCAAGTCCAAATCTGGATTTCTTACCTCTGGCCATCAACTGTACACAGAGACACACCCCACAGCTCTGGGCTAAACTTGGCCAGCTGGGGGATGTAGTCTGCAACCTGCAGCCGCAATACACAAGAGAAACGCAGTGAAAGTCAGTGCAGCAGCAGAGCAGATTGTAGTAGACAATACATTTTTCATGAACAGGAAATTGAGTAAGGGTGAGTTGGTGAAATGCAATATGGTCAGGATTTCTCAGTTCACAACTACATTTTTAAATTTGATACATGCATGTAGTTAGCAAAAATAGTTTGGCCATATTGTTGAGCCACATCAATGCATACCAAAACTGGACTTCATATGCAGAACAGAACAAAATATATCAAAATGGAATAAAAATCAGTAACTTTAGCAACAGCGCTATGCTTTGCTACAATAAAGAACACACAAACATCAAAGGAATACCTTCCCATCTCTTTGGTTTTGCACTGTTTTGTAGATTTCATTTATTTTTTGTGCAAACACGTCAAACTCAGGGATGATAAATTTCTTTCTGAAGGCCTGGATCAGCAGGACAATGTTTCCACCAACGCATCTAAGAGGAAAAATAAAAAAACAAAACAAAAAACACATAATGCGGAGTTACTCATGCTTCCTGAAAATGACATACTTTTACCGTGTGTGTGTGTGGGTGTGTGTGTGTGTGTGTGGGTGTGTGTGTGTGTGCATGTGTGTAGTCCTCAGTGTGGCGGTCAGCAGCAGCTGCCAGCTATCAGTCTGACCGACAGACCTTTTCTTTGATCAACATTACAGCAAATAAAGCTGACGTGTTCTGACACACACTACCCACCACTGACTTCTTTTAAAGGACATCTGTCCTGTTTGGTATTATCTATTTGAAGTTTAATGCCAGTTTGACTACAGAAAAACACAAACGTAATGAAACATGACATTACTGAGGTAAAATTGTTTAATACTGCAGTTTCTGTGCTGCACAATGGGGGTTCTGGGGTTTAAAATGACATGACCACCTTGCAATTTTGTGAAACTTAATAAATGGCCACAACACTATCTGCCAACAGAGCAAGCAAACTGTACTTTTACCTATATCCTATGCACAGAGTGATGTCAGGTTGGAACGTTTTGACCTGACTGACGCTGAAAAACGCAGGAAAAACGTAACAGAGCTGAAGTCCTCCACGTGTTGCCTTTGACCAAGTTGCAACATCTCTTTTTAAAACAGCTTGTAATTCCGTATCCGAAGATATCCTTGCCAAAGTACATCGCTCTGTAAAGCTGGGTATCCTCCGCTTTCGTTAAACCTCTTTTAAAGGAAGAGAACCTATTTTAATACCCATAAACACAAAAAGGTACTTACAAAAAATATGATTTCAGAGAAAGTAGTTTATAATCAGCTGAGCACCTTCTTAAACTCAAACACCAAATTAGAAATGTTTCAGTCAGATTTTAGGACACATTACAACACAGAGAGAGTCCTTCTGTAGGTGTGCACAGAAACAAACCTGAAATTTGTGATGTTGTCTTTGATACTGTGGACCATCTCTTACTTTAGCATGCTGGTCTTTCTGGAGTTGTTTTTAACTGGTTTACCTCATATCTTTACAGAAGATGTGTGACCACCTGCGGACAGCCACAAAGATCAATTGTAGGACTGCATTTAAAAAAAAAATGTTTATATACTACCACTCAGCACTGTCACCAGGAGGCACAGCATCTCTCGACCAATTGAATAACTTTTTACAGCTAAGCCAAGATAGAAGAAAAGTGCGGGTTACTGGGTCAAAAGGTCAGAGTAACAAACTGAGCCCCGAACAGAATACATTTGTATTCAACCCAAGTAAAAAAAACAACACAACAGAAATCTAACAGTGACTTTTGACTCTGATTTTAATGTTAAGCCTTATGTGCAGGGTGTCACAAAAATAGCATTTTATCATGTGAAAAGCATCTTCAGAGGTCATTTCTCCCTCTGAACAACACAGAAGAGAGCTTGATAACCAGTAAGCTGGACTACTGTAACACTCCTTTCTGATCTACAAAAAAGCAGCCAGAGCTGTTTTTAAATTCTGCACGATGAACACACATTCTGCCTATTTTAAAGTCTTTACACCTGTTACCTGACAGCTTGAAACGAAATTCCTTTATATGGCATTACATGGCCTTGTACCAGGCTGACTCTCTGAAATGTTATTGTCGTTTAAACCAGGAAAAGCCCCTTTAGATCCTTTGGCTTTTCTGTTTTAGCTGTTCCACAAAGCAGAACAAAAACATTTGGTGACGCTGCTTTCTGCCATTATGCTCTGAGCCACTGGAACAGCCACCAAGATGGTGCAAGAGCAGCTGAAAATATTAATATTCTTAAACTGAAAACCCATCTATTCCGTGTGGCATGTATGTAAGTATTTTTTATTTTTTTATTTTATGGTTTGAGTATTTATAATTATTTTTAAAATCAGCACAGATATTTATTTGATTATATAAACATTTTACAGTTTTAATAGAATCAATTCATTTTTAAAGAAGTTTTCACAATTATATTTTTATTGCTATTTTTTTATTATTCATAATTTTAGCAGCTACACTACCCATCAAATGTCTTTTTTTATTCCATTGTTTTGGTATAAATTAGTCTCTAAATCAAATTTTACCACTTGTGTTTTGTTAATCACTTGTAAAGCACTTTGGGCTGCATTTAATTTGTCTGACCTTTGCTTAATCAATAAAGTTGGACTGTTTAATTAATTGATACAAACCACAGCCTCAAAAATCCCCATACAATTTAATCAACATATTTTAGACAGGGTCTCAGCCACTATGTTGTATTGGATTGCATTACATGAATATGTCCATGGTTCTCTTTTCCTGTAGTTCTGATTTCCTCCGTGACAAATGACAAAGGCAGAGACAGACAGACAATTATGTCGCAAGTCACCTACAACAAATCCTGTATTAAAATGGATTGTTATCGGAAGGTCAGACTAAAAATAGTTTGGTCTCATGCCTGCACATGCCTCACGCCTGGTGCAGGCATGAGTGGAAAACAAAACACCACAAGACTGTCTGGTCCAATCTGAGGGGCAGCGCAGAGGAGCAGAACTCCCAGAAACAGGCAATGACAACTGATAGAAAGATTTAACAACTGTGCTCTGTCTTGTGTTTGATTTTCTGATCTGCTGAATTAAAATACAGCTTATGTAAAACTATGTTCATATTCAGTTGGTTGGTCAAAGGAGTGCAAGAAATAAAACCCTCCTATCAGCATCATCTTTAGAAGGTAAATTAACTTGAAAACTATCTCACCTCTCAGACTGCACTGGCCTTCAGCAAACATCATCAAACAGCCAGAACAAAGAACATGAGGAACTGTATTATCTCTCCAGCACTGAACCAGCAGCTGCTGGACTGAGAGGTAATAAGCCGGAGATACTGACTTGCAAATCACCCCGCCAGGATGAAACTCAGCAGGGTTTGATTTGTGCTAATCAGAGCAGCAAGTATTTACCAGCAATGTAAAGCATATTTCCAAATATAACCACATAGTTGTAAGCAGCTGCGGCTCTGCTGGTAGAGCTGGTTGTCAACTAGCTGCAGGGTGCGGATCCTAAGCTCCTCCTGCCCTCATGAGCGAGAGGCAAGAATTGTAAAGTTCATAGCCCATTAAGGTAGAAAAGCACTTTATACGTGCAGTCCATTTACTCGACATAATTACAGATCATTTGGGAGTTTGTTCTTCCTTTTGCCTCGTGGGTGTAATTCAGAAGAAGATTGCAGGTGTCAACAATGACACTGATAAAGGCTCTTAGTATTCCAGTAAGCAATAACAGTGTGACAGTAAGGACTCTGACACCAAGGCCGCAAAATGGAATTCAGCCATTGTTAATTTCATTATTTACTCATGTGCTTTTCCTGCGGTTAAAATGCACTTCTAGACTAAAAAGCCCATTGTCTCAGTTGTTTTCTGTTTTTGTGTTTATCTATGTTTTGGTCACGATGAATTCCAGGTAGACTGATGATGGCATCATGCTGTGAGTCACACTCAAAGAACTTTTTTGAAAGAAATTGTACAAATGTATTGCCTTGAGTAATCACTTAACCGTCTCACTAGAGCTACCTGTGGAAAAGGTCTCTGTCCATCATCACCTCACCAACAGATTCCTTCATGGCCTGTCGGAGATTCTCCATACAGTCTCTGAGCCGAGGGTCTGACGGGTGAAGGCCGGTTTTTTTTAGGGCCTGCAAACAAAAAATTAGGGGTCAACCTGACTGTCATTGCACTCAGCAAACACAACTAAATACAGTATATATCCAGGTAATGCAAACAGCAACAACAGTGCATATGGAGGTGTGTATATACATAAAGTAATACACACACACACACAAATCAATGCTTACTGCGGTGAAGTGTGAGACGGGCACTTGCTCTTTTCCCTCTGTGATGGTGTAGAAAAGCATGTTCTCCACTCCAGAGCTGGGGGGCTTTGAATGCATGTTCCTAGTGAAGTGAAGGGTAAAGTCTTGAAAAGAGAAAAGCAATCACGCTGATGTGGGGAAAAAAAAAAAAAAAAGTTACGTGATTCGTAACTTTTTAAAAAGCCAAATTATTTGTGATGGCAAAGATACCCAAATCTGTCATTCATACAAACATGCCAGTTGAAAAACAAGAAACAACGAAAAGCCAAAACAATTATAATTTTCTGAAACGCCAGCTGGCAGAAACACAGAGGATTTGTGGTTGGCATGTGCTGTCTTGATTTTGACAGTTTGAACACAGGTGATCTGGACATGTTACAGGTCCCTGAATGCCTCATGTTTCTTTAAAAACCCCTGTCAGAAAGCTGATTGGCTCAGTGAGAGATGACACACTTCAGTGACCCTCTGTATTTTCCATGAAAGGTACACACAATAACTGCAGCGTGTAAACAAACATTCATTCAAGTAGTTGTCATCTACACAATTTGGACAAATTGTGCAACAGTGTATGGGCAGACTGTATGAAGGATTCACCGCCAGCAGGGAGGAGTTGAAACTCAGCAGTTCATCACACAGACACACTTACTTTTTGAGATGGAAACGATCCGACTCGGGTGTTGATTTTGTGCTCAGACAACATGCTGGCTGGATGATGAAAAGCTTCTTGGCTGCGTCTGAGTGTTTGACGATCAGTTGAGCGGAGCTGGACAGACGCAGCGCCCTCAGACAATGCATGGCTGCGACGGATAGCAGCCACGAACAGGCCCCGGTAGTTTGCGAAAAAGAAAACTGCAGATAACGTCGGCTGGTCGGCTTTGCGCTGAATGCCAGCGGGTCGTGCGAGGTCAGTTAGTAAGTTAGTGTCAGGATCAAGTTTTGCTGCCTTCAGGTGTCGTCGGAAATGTTTGTCCAGGTTGGCGGCGCTCGTGTAAAAATGGCATATTTAACGTAGAATTTTCTCATTATCATCATCATCATTATTATCATTATTATTGTTATTATTATTATTATAAATGAAATAAATTAGTCAAACATTTCACACCTGTGTGCTCTTTGCATAAAACCAACAAATTTTAAGTACAAATATATAAATTACACAAACTGTAAAAACACATTTAAAAGCAAAGTTGAACATTGACGCGGAGCACTTGAAAGCAGCAGGGGTGCGTCTAATTAAGCACAGACACACCTCCTCATAGGGTGTCCGTTAGGTGACTGACAGGTACAGTAGCCAATTAGAGGCTAAATATTTATTTCGGAAAAGTCTTCTCCGCCATGAGGTTTATCTTTAATTTTGTTAACAAATGATTTCAAATTTTTATTTTAATAAAAAAGGTCAGACCATAGCAAAGTACTTCATCTTACTTGGCGACAATAGAATAACAACAACACTTCAGGGATGTTAAAGCGTGATAACACTTGTGAACTGGAACACATGTTCAACCAACAAGCTTCTCATTGATTATTATCATACCCTGAGTTGAACCTGTTCAGTAATAGCTGATAACTAACTTAACTAATAGCTCAAAAAAGCAGAGTAATTAAAAAAAACATTGAGACGAATGAATCTAAGTGAACTCAAATGCTTGTACCAGCCTATATGGATATTACATAGATGGTTTAAGTGTTTATGTAGTTTGAGTGTGCAAAGTACATGCACTAAAATAAGCTAAAACAACGCATACTGGTGATCAAAACATCAAGTACCTCCATGTGCATGTTGTTGCTTTATCATCGTAAGTAAAGTTTTAGCACCACCTGGTGAAATTTCCAGTCAGTGGTTTTCAGTGGAGTTTTATATAAGCAGATGTTAGCTATTTGAAAGTCTAGACCCAGTGCTGGTGAAGCAGGTTTGTTTGCTTACTCAAATGGTTCAAATGAATCAGAATATGCTTCAGTATGAGAATATTCACAGCATTTCAGAAACGATTAGTGTCATGCCATAATAGTGTTTCACACTGTTACAGTTGGTTGAAAATGTTCCTGATTTTTTTTCAGAGCAATTGGTTTTGGTTTTTATTAGACCACTTAGACGTTTAGAATTTACTAAATCAGTTTGAACAGGTTCCATAAGTCCATCTGTAAAATGAAAACATGAGATTCATCAATATGCCATGTACAGTTTTACATATGTGCATCTTTATTCACATTCACAAAGCTGTTAGAAACCATTGTGATGCAGCTGTTCATCATCGTAACTCAGAGCGTACACATTTTTTCACGACTTCTTTCATCTGTGTCTACCATAAGCTCATTACTATTACGTTTTGAAAACTTGATAGTAAAATGTTCTTTATTTAGCCACTGATGGTTAAGAGCATCCAGCCAAGCAACATAAATAACAGTGTTAAAAGGCACACTATAGTAATAATCACATGTATACATTACATTTTTTAAAATCATTTTTCTTGCATTGTCTAAAAGTGTCACACAGACATTTCCAAGGTAGATTATGCCATATAAATATAATAACAGCAACGTCAAACCATTGCATGGCCAGTGTAGATATGGAATATGGGTATTTTAAAAGGAAAAGATAATTTTTCTTTTCATGTCAGCCCCGTACTGCACCAAGAAAGGCATAAAAAGGCTGATAACTTTGAAGACATTACTTCAAAGTCACCCCAAGTTACACGCTCTTTGAAGGACGTGGCAGCACCAGCTTTAGTCCAATATCAACTACACAGGAAGGCATGTAAGAGAGGGGGATCCAAAGAAGCTTGGCATCCCAGCCAGCACTGTATCTGGTGCGTGGGTAGGCAGAAGTCAGAGCGTGCTCCATGCAGCTGGTCACCTTGCTCAGGTCAGAGTCGCAGACAGCATTCATGATCAGACGCTGCACCTTAATATCTGAACAGGAGAATCACACATCAAATTATTAAACTACATAAATGAATTTCAGTTCATTTTTACCTAATTCTAAAAAAGCATCTCATGTACACTCAAGGATTCATGAACCTGCCTCCTACATCCTTAATTTCATTTATTTCCCAATGTATCTTTATACTTCATTGTCAAAAACAATGTAAGATACTTATTTTTGTACTGGAATTTTTATATAGAAATTCAGTGAACAGAAATGCTTTCAATATTTTGCCACATTTAGGTGACATTTTATGGTACATTTTCAATTACATGTCAAAATGACTTCAAAGCTTAGACTATAATTAAAGATTCAAAACCTCCAGCATAAGATTTGGTTGTTTTGAAGACATTACAGTAATGAAGCACTATAAAATGCTTCTGTTAACTCAAACAATGAGCAGCAGCATACTGTGCTTACACTTATCGAGGTACTTGTCTCCATAACTTGCTTGTACTTCCGGGCTGAGTTGGTTCCACAGGCGATGCAGCTCCCGCTCAATAGGCTCGAGGCTCGTCACTGCAGTCTTGAAAAAGCCCGGCTCGATGATGCACACGTTGATTCCAAAGTAGTTGATATCTCTCCTGAAAACAAAAATGCCATGCAGACTAGCACTGTATTGATGTTCATATTTCACACCAGCAACAGAAGTTCACATGACTTGGAGTCCAACTCGCAAACAAATCACACAAATTGTAATGAATGGCTTTGTTTATGGTTAATAAATCAATTACACGTGTACTACAGTTTTGCAATACAAAACAACTTTTGGGTTGCCAGATTGTGAAAAGTCCTCTCTGGGCAGTGTTTCTCCAGTGTATTTGGCAATGATGCCAAATAAATGTTGGTAATTCATAATTCACAGTGGGATTTGAACTTTAATAAGTCATCAGGTTTGTTAATATGTAGTTAATAAATACATTTTGGTCAAAAATTCTACACAGGTTTAGTGAGTTTTCCTGATGAAGTCTTAAAAAGACCTCCTGCTGGAGAACAGATGCCCTTTTGACAATTTGGCAACTGAGGGTCTTCTTATGAATTGCCATTGCCGTTAGTTTCCATCTACATACCTTTAATGTGACTTACTAGTGGATAGTATGTATGCTTTTGACACAAACCGCAGTCTTGAAAAGGCTTGAAATGTTTATATTGTCAATAAATGAAAACACAATTTGGCACATAGTGGAAAAAAATTGATGAAAGTTTTGGTTTGGATAAGACACAAAAAACAAATTAAATCTTTAGAAAGCAGTTAGTAATAAATGTTATTCCAAGTTTGGTCTCTTTGCCAGTTTTTGTTTGTGTGTGCTGAGGCCCAGAGCTTATACTTATGCATATTGTTGGGTGGAAGGTGTTTTATTGCTATTCATGTATTTTATTGTTTGTTTGTTATATTGCAGAAAATGAAAGATGACCAAATCTACAAACCAACTTTCGTTATCAAACATTAAAGACTGTGGCTTGTGTTACTGCATGTCCTTCACAATAAAGGCCTATTAATAAAGAAAAAGACAAGACTAACTACGCTCAGAGGAGAATGTCTCTGTGGTTATTTAAGCAATGCAACACACACATTGTTACAGCAACCTCTTATATGTTTTGATGAGCGTGTGTCTGCTCACCTGAGGCAGTCAGAGAAAGATTCCACTGCAAACTTGGAGATGCAGTACCCGCCACCGTTTGCAGCCACCCTGCCCAGCACTGATGCTACATTTACAATACGGCCGCGAGCCTTTTTGATGAGAGGCAGAAAGGTCATCGTCATGCCAATCACTCCATTCATGTTTACTTTCAGTGTGCTGTGGAAATCTTCCACTCTCATCCACTCTGAAGGACCCATCGGTAATGAGCGTCCAGCGTTGTTTACAATACCCCAAAGTCCTACAAAGAAAATGAAAGACCGACAGGGGAAGGACATAATGTGTGTTAGTGTTAATGTTAGTGTTGCCTTGTGAGATCTAGTTAGATGAGTTGCCTTACATTTAGCTGTACTGTAATGATTTTTTTTTCTAAACATTTTCAACTGTTTTTTTTTTACCTCTAATTTTGTGGACAATTTACTGTTATTTTAAATATTTCTCAAGCTTTGTGAAATTTCAGATACCACAGAAAAAAAGGTATTGATTTGCATGTTAACCATATATATTTGTTTTACATCATTTGATTGTGAAATTACACTTTTTTCTTTTTGTATTTGTATTTTGTATTGTTTCTTGTATTTAAACCAGAAAAAAAAACATTTATTTACTTTTTTGCTGTTGAGGATTGAAAAATGCCATTATTTACAATTAATTACTTTGTCCTAAAAACAGGATTCAACTGTATAGATTTTCCTCATCAAAAATCTATATTTTTACAAAAAGTAAATACTTCTTTTACAATGTGTGACCGTAATATCACACAAAGTTACTGTATTTAAATGAGATAAAAATTATTTTACAGATATCTGCTGTTATTTTTCACTGTTTTTACAGTTTTTTAACATTACAGTATTCCCCTGCTGTTGTTTTCCAGCACCCTTGCTGCCACATTTTCACTGTTTTTCACAGAATTTGTTTGAACCATCTCTCACCCTTTTCGCCGACCTCCTTCTTGGCCCACTCCATGGCTTTTTGGATGCTGTCCTGATTGGTAACATCCAGCAGGACAGTCTTCAAATGAGGCCCTGCTACTCTTTTGAGATCATCAGCTCCCTTTTCTGTGAGACAACCAGCCAGCACACGGAAACCTTTACGGTCAAGCTTCTTACACAGCAGGTTTCCAAACCCTGTGTCACAGCCGGTCACAAAGACATACTTGTCAGAGATGCCCTCAATCTCCAGGCTGTCTCTGTATAACCAAACGGCAAACCATAACACCACAAAAGTAGCGGTGATGTACAACCAAGCGTTTTCCCTAAAGGAAAAGAAAAAGAGGAATTTTAAATAAGAGAAAGGCAGGGATTGCAGGGTTCTACAAATGTCAATTCCAAAGGTAAGTTACAGTTAAATTAAAGTCCAAAACATGGCGTTTCATCGGTATTTCTTACCCTAAAAGGTCATAGACAAACTGTGTAGCCATGTTGCCGTCAGAAGTAGAAGGAGAACTTGGTGCTTGCTGAAAAAACATGTTGAGCAATGTTTCTGATGTGGCTACCTGCCAGGTTTCAGAGACTGGAATGAAAAGTAGAAATATGCTGATTAATTTCAGGAATCCTCTGTAATCAAATCCCTACTCAATTTCATAATAGTGTAGCGCTTTAGTGACGCAATGCACTGTAATGCAGAATATTTTTAGCAACTACTGGACACAATGAATTTGTTCACTGGAGGCCTTAATAGATGAGTTGCTTGGAGTACAGAACTGCTTTGAGCGCTTTGGGCACATGAGAAATCTTTGGATAATACTCTTAAGGAAGAAAGAGAGGTATTTATGAGGGAGTGAGAGCAGAGGAGGGTGGCGCATTGTTTTGAAGCATAATAATATTAATACCCATGACGGAGCTGCTTAGCCTGCTCACAGCTGAAAACCAATTAGTTTGTGGGCTTATTAGTGAGTAAAGCAACAAAAACACTCCCTTGAGTTATCTAAAATATGAAAAGATTGTCTGAAAAAAAAAAATCTAATTCAGTTGTGACTGACATTAGACATTGATTAATGCATACATTTTCCAAAAAAACATTAAATTCGGTTCATTTAAAAAAAGTTTTCTCCATCACATTTAGTTTCACATGACGAGCAAATAGCTCTAGAATACAGCGGCTAGGTTATTTATGTAAATTAAAATAATTTAATTAGACATAGTTAATCACACCACCTCATTCTTTGCTGTAAACTTTGGTTCTACACACGTAAACTAATTATTTCTCAGATTAAACTGCAGAGTTGTATTTTAACAAGAAACTGTGGAGTTAATCAGTGAAAGAATAAATCAGTTGAGAAAATACTTTGTGGTAATTCAGCGGTGAGGCAAATAGTAATATAATAAATGTAATATCCTACCTTTCACTCTTTCTGAGATGTGATGGATCTCCACAAGTTGCCCGTCCTCTCCCCTTCCCCTTTCTGGTTATTCTTCTGTCTTAGCTCAGAGAGGCTGGTCAGAGAGAAGCTTTATCCCTGTGGTTTATCCCTTAAGACAAGTCCGCTATTGGTAATCCCCAATCCGTAACCATTTCGTTTGTGTGTCAAAGAAAAAAACACTGTGATGGGGAACAAAGGAGGGAAAAAAAAAAAAAGAATTTTCTGTACAGTGCACTTGGATTTCAAAGAACTTTCTTTTTAGTGCCTCATATCTACTTTTAAATTACATCTGGTTCTTCCAAGAGGTTGACAAGAAAGTTTTTCCCTCATACATTTTCGGTGCCTGGCGGTTCTCAGGATATACAGGCATAATGTTCTAAGAGTGTTCATACAAAGTTGTGATAATCCCACAAATCGAAACCATGTGTAGTCTTAAAAACACGAGTATATTCTTAGTGGCTCACTGAGTTCACTGACAAATGATATCAGCGGGAAATCTCAAATAATATGTACCATATTCTGGAACTGGTTCTCCATATTTTTGATGCTTATTTTGAGGCTTACACAACAGAAATGCAGACTGTAAACAGGACGTGATCAGTGTGGTGCACATTGCTGTTTGTTTGTTTTTTAACCAACAAAATCCTGAAGTAGTAAGAAAAAAGTATTTTCTACAATGTGACTTGGTTGAGTATTGTGAACATATCATAAGGAGATTTTAGTCAAATTGTTGACATATATAAATTAGGACTCACTAAAGCTTCATTACCTGTGTGGTAAATTGAAAGTGTAGTTACCCAACATGCCTGTAGTTACGTGAGTGAACTTAACAGCCACATGTGACATAACTGTCCCTCACGTCACACATTCCAGAAATTGTCCAATCCCTCGCCATTCAAATATTTATCCAGTTATTGTATTTCATGGATCACAGATAGTTATGTTGCACAACTCCGGCTATAAATGTTAAGACATTCCACTTTTGTAAGAGGCACAATAAAGCCATCAGCCAAAAACAAAAAATAAAAATCTCTGACCCAGAAGTCCTTTGCAACCAAACATATGAGCTATGAGGGCATATCTTAAAGCATGAACTCTCACAGTTCTTCTCCATTTGGGTAATTAACATTTAATCTTTGCCTGCCCACTACTGACACCTACTGTGTGTATGGACATCCTGGAAAGATAATCCTTTATCAGAAGCATGCTCAAGGTTCTCATTTACAAATGAAGCTCTTTGTGCTTTTTTTCCCCACTTGTTGTACTTTGCAGTTTCTGTTTATGTAACAGCTGTTTACGTAGCATAACATGTTTCATAAGAAAAGACACCAATACATTTTCAGCAAACTTTATTAAAAACAATTTCCCATCACTAAATGGTCACAAAATTTAAAGTTGTCCAACAGAAACGGCACAGTTCTCATTGTGCATATACATTTTGTGCATAAACACAAACATAAATAATTCAGGTATCAGGTGCTGAGAAGAAAGCCTTTGATAAAATGCTTTTAGGGAGATACTACAGACTTAGAGACAGGTGGTAGCTTTTCTGTAGCTCTTTCAGCCTACTACATATATTCTCTGTACATGCAACTCCTTCACAAATCCACACTGTTTTTACTTTTTTCCTCCGTTCAATGACTAATTACTGATTGCGGGGTCCTGACTCTCAAAATGTTAGATCTAGCGTCATTGTGTCAATAATGGTACAAACACAAGAACTGAAGCAATTACCCATGTCAGCACTTAGTTGTCAAATGAAACAAACCTTTGCTGTCGGTCTGAATAAATTACTGTCAGCCTTGGTCCACTTACATTTGCAGGCAGAAAAGCAAGCTTTTGACCCTGATGAGCTGGATATCTGTTGACAGCAGTTAACTGGACTGGATTTGTTTTATTCCAGTGTATTTAGTTGTAGCTGTAAACATCCATGACACAAACCATGATGTTTATGAGCAAGTGGACTGAAGTTGACCCTTGTGTACGTACTCCAGAGCTGTGGCAATTGTTCTCATGTCCATCTCAATACTGCGGGCCCAGTTCTCCACATCCCCGATTTCCTGTTCAAAAGAGCAGAAAAAACTAAATGATTTGTTGCCACCTTGAACAACTACCACTCAAACTTATCAGCAGCAGCTTAAAGCTTGCCTTCATTCATTGACTGCTTTCACATTCATTTGTTGAAGGGGTAAAGTTTCTCTGAGCTCAGATCGAATCCCTGTTTAAGACGTGTTCTCAAAGGCATGATTTGCTGACACTACAACTAATTTGGAAGCTATCCAGTATGTATTTTACGCAAGCATGATGTGAAAGCCTGAAAAGCTTCAGTGTACATTCACAGCAAGTAGACGTTTGGTAGACATATTGTCCCTGGTTGTTAACATTTGAAATAAAAAAAATATTGGCATGTTTATTTGGATTTGGATTTTAATGAAGGAGTTTCTGAACCTTTTTTGATGAAAAAAAAAACAAAAACACATCAAGCACAAATGATTATTACAAGCATCCTACAAGCATCCTACCTTTAAGGCTTGATTGAAACCCTCCACCATACTGATCCACTGCGCAGTTTGTTTGGAGAACTGGCTCGCCTGCACCTGGAGAGTCTTCACCTCATGGTCAAGCTTGCGTTGGTTTACATATGCCTGGGCAACACTGAAGTGAAACAGGACACAACAATGAGCTTTACAGCATTTTAAATAGATGAAAACCTGGCATTATGTGATGTACAGCCACTGTGACATGCAAGAGCAAAATTGTATTTAGTGGTCAAGTGTCTTAGTCATTCATTTCTCCATTGACACAGATTGAATACAACATACTATTATATTCAATCTACTCAAAATCTTACCCAGTTACTAAAGGATTTCGTTCGTAATCTTTTGCATAAAGGCACAACACAACAAAGGTCTTTGCATCTTATTCTCATTCCTTAAGCTGATTGTCTACATTTCATTGCAACTTTCACAATGTTAACAATCTTACTGTACTATTTGTGGTAGTATTACACATGCCAATTCTATCCTGCAACGAATGGATTGCTTCAACGTCTTGGCTCAGAAAGAGTTTCAGCAGGTGGGAAACTCAAAGGTGGCAGCCTGACAGAAATCCGTTCGGAAACCACGTTACCTAGACAGTCTATACACGTGATTTTTGTCAGTCAGACATTGACACACTATTCTTTAGAGCATATCACAAGCAGGAGAATGTTACTCATTCATTGTCACCGGATTAAAACTTTGCAATACTTGATACGCAATAGGAACATTTATAATTTATCATCATGACATACAGTGCTGAAATCATGAGTCAATCAACTGAAAAGTAATCTTCAACTGAAATGGAGACTATTTGAAGACATACTGGACTTACGGGTTCTTCATTCCTAGCTTACATTTAGTTGATCAAACCCATAATAATAAATAAAATATATATGTAGCCGGTGCACAATACCTTTATCGAGGACACACAGACAGGTGCCAAGTTAAAGGAAAAGCCAACAGAAAGGGTCCCAATATGATTTTGGGAAACCATGTGTCACCAGAAAAGCTTAATTGTGCCTTAGCATTGACTCTACAAGTTTCAACTCTGCTGGAAGCATGGGACACTGTTTTTCAAATAAATATTCCCTCATTTGGTGTTTTGATAATCTTGGTGGAGAGGTGCTCTGTCCAAAATCTCCCACAGGCTTTCAACTGGGTTGAGATCTAGTGACTAAAAAGATCATACCCTTCATGATGATTCACATCATTTTTCATACTCAAACCATTCAGTAACTCCTTGTGCCCTATGAAGACAACTCCCATCAGGACAGAAATGTTTCATCACAGGATAAAATTGATTACTAAAAACAACAAAGTTTGCCGCACATCAGTACTGCTCTCCCTGCGCAACTGTAGCCACCAGCGGGTCAACAGATTCCATGTCTAAATCCTTCATAATCACCATTTTTACACATGGATAACTATGAAACGTCACAAGCTAGCATTTCATTCATACCCAACGTTAAGGTGGTCCACCAGGGCTTCTGTCAGACAGGTGGCTGCAGCAATAGCTTCACGTCTTCGTCTCTCTGTGCAAGAAAACACATAAAGAGAGGCAAATAACTTAAACTAGTCAGGGTATGGAGGAGGACAGAAGCCTTCCAAGTCAAACAGAGCTTTGTTTTTAGCATCGGTTAGCATCTTTGCTAGCTAGGCGCTGCTCTCACTCACCCTGCAGCTCCTTCCGCTCATTTTGCTTCGCCTGGTGCTCCTTCAGCAGACGAGACAACATCTTTCTTTAGTCGTCGTTGTGATTATGCCTTCTCTTTTAACGCATGTACATGCCATTCACATAGAGTTATTGACTATACGTCCAAAGCTAGCATAAGACGCTAGCTAGTGACGCTGTTAGCTGTTGTCACGAGACCAAACTCGAGGACGTCTGACGTGGGCGTGTCCACAAATGGCGCCATCATTTATCATTATCACGAGAGTAATAATATATGATTTGTTTGATTATAAAACACAATAAACTGGTGCTGGACCAGCTACTTAACTGCACAACAACACATGATTAAAAGCATATTGGTGGTCTTGTTTTATGGTGACGATGATAATAATGGCCAGCTTCAACGAAAGCTTCAAAATAAAAGTACACATAAATAAAGTAATAGACTATTGTTACTACTGCATGGCAAGGAATAATGCAAAGAGTAAAACAACTAAAATTTTATGACTCACAATAAGAAAATAGATAAATACAAGTGAGATGAATAATGTCGAAAACCACATAATAAATATAGTGACATATAGCCTCATCACACAAACGTGTCATAGGAAAAGAGGGATTAGAGTTGGCAAGGAAGGTATCTTCAGGTAACCTGTAGGTCTGTCAGTATTGGTCTTAAGGTTTTATACACCGTACAGTGGTCACAGACATGGAACTGAACAGGATGCATGAGTACAATGTCAAAACAATGCTTTTCCGGAGCTTTCAGCTGTAACAAAGTCCTCATAATACAATGGGTACAATTCGAACAACTACTGAACTTGCAAGTCAGATCCACCATAAACTAGCTGTCCCGATGGGAACATGGTCAGCTCCAACTGCTAAGATCAGATAAAATATACTTTATTGATCCCTGACCGGGGAAATTTATACATTACAGCAGCTGGGATACAAATAAAGCTTTGTAAGAAACAAGACAAGAAAGTATTATAAAGTCAATATATGTAAGAAAGACACTTTTCGCACTGAACACTTTTCACGTGTACATATAGTACATAATAAGGGATAATTGTACTCAGATTGTAGGACATGCTGATAATGACTGAGAAATTTTGTTAAAAACTCAAGAAATTGTTAGCAAGTTGACTTTGAACTGGAATTGTTCTACTAAACTGCAAAGAATAGACTTTATCAAGATTTTTTATGTGCAAAACATAGAAATGGCGTCTTATTGTGAAAAACTTGTACCAGGAAAGCTGTTCGTGTTCTAGCTAGCGGACACAGGTCTGTGCGGATGGCTGGTATCTACCTGTCAACAATCGAGACATCGCTGAAACTTAAGTCTCTGTGGCCCTTTATCGTCTGCTTTTGTCAGGTATGGACATTTAGTCTCTGGTTAAATGCCAGGTGTGAAATTTCCTCCACTGAGCTGTCGAAGCCGCTCAGTTAGCCGGGTGGTGTTAGCATTACTAACATGAGTTGCGGCATGGTTAGCTAAAGGCTCGCTGCTCAGGACGTCGCATAGCAAAGTTGCTCCAGATGGTTGAACTTATCAGCTTCTATGAATAATTAGTAAACCGTCTACACAATGGCCAGTAACGGCTTTTATTAACCATGTCACGGTGAAAACCGAGTCTCTTCAGAAGGCCATTGTTTAACGCTGTCTTGACAACATATCTGCTGGCTAACGATCCCGCTAACTGACAGTTTAAGCTATTAGGCTACATTTGAACAGCCTTTATGCTGCAGGAAACAGGTCGTCTCTTTGTATTTATAATCATTTCTGAATCACTAAATATCTTTGGGTGAAATTGTATGAATGTTTTGCTCTCGCTTAGCGTATGAGCTATTTTGTTTATTTTGTTATGCTAAAAGCTACTGTCAAAGATTAGCAAGGTAGGTTTAGTGGGACTTATTTAGCCAAGTTCAGTGTGGGATTTTCTGTTATGGAAGGTCCTCGGCGGCTCCTTGAAATAGCTAAGATTATGCCATGTCACTGCGTTATGTGCACTGTTGTGCACTGTAGCTGCATTTCACGTCTTTAAAAAGCATGATAATATGGGTTTCTGCTCTACAAGACAGAGCGAGGCAGTAAATAAAGGAGAAAACCTTTCCCTGAAGTATGTTCAGCAGAAATGATTCAGTTTGGAAGTTCGCTGGAAATGTTTAACTTAGGTTTATTTGTGACTTTAAAAAGTAATATCTAAATTTGAGTCAGCACCAAAATCATGTCTCCAAGTACTTAAAAGTATAATAAATACCCGGTTGTTTTAGTTAGACAGCTCACTTGATGCTTACTGGCCACTGCATGTAAAGCCAGTTTATATTTTCCACTGACTGTAGCAACCTAATAGCCTAATCGCTCTTTAAGTAGGTTACCTGCATCGTGTGTCCTATGTTTACATCTGATGTTGCTGGTTGCAGGTTTATCCATTGTAGCCGAACGAGGCTCCAGTGTTATGGATGAACCATGAAGGCCCAACTGCAAGTTACAGGTAACTCATTGTCACTGCAAGTTTGATCAAGTTTTTTTTATCAATCAGCAAAAATCAGGCAGAGCTTGTGTCCAAGTTATAAAGTTGTATTCACTATTACAGTAGTACATCTGTTATTGGAACCTACTGGGATCCTGTAGTGAAGAATGTTCAAAGAGCTGTCATTGACACTTGACTGTTGTTGAGTTTACTATGGAGCAGCTATAGTGTTTTAGAAAAATATTCCTAGGTAAATAGTTAAAAATACTATCAAGTTGCAGCATCTTTACCAAATGTAACTCCAAATAAATTCTTATATTTACTGAAAATTGTGGTGGGAATTCTGTAGTTATTGGTTGTACTATTTCAGTGTGTATTACATTCCTTTGTAGTGCATTAAAGAGTGTTCTATCTCTTATCTTCCCTTAATGTGGCAGCGTCAGCTCATAGGTTAGTTGGCCTTCGGTTTACAGATTACTGTAGATCAAGATATCTTCTGTTCTCCTCCGATAAGCCCCTATCTATTCTTTCATGCATGTACATCAGAAAACTGTGTTTTAGGAGGAATGAAGGAAGATAAGCATGCAGATGCAACTTTGGGAAATGAGAACTGGCATTGTGTCATGGGCTTTGGGCTGTATCTGGTTATTGAGGTATACCGGGTTATTTGGTGATTCTGGAAGTATGATTTTTATTATTATCATCAAAAATACAGATGTTTGTCTCTGTTATACAGAAATGGTGAATTAGGGTAATGTCTTTTAATGCACAGAGCTGAGACTGATAGCAACAGTACGGGGCAAGTAAAAAATAAAAATGCCTCTGCCGCTGTAGTATTTTGGGTTTAGTCCCAGTGATATAGATCAGCCAGCCAACACTGATGGCAACAAGTGTTACCAGGTCCTTCTGCAAAGATCTGTTATCATACGTGCTGTCATGACTTATATTATCAGCCACTCTGGGAGTGCTAGGAAGGGTATGAGAGACCGACTTTAAGGCATTGAGAGAAAATTTATTTTTTGGTCTTTCATGAAGGTATAAACCTCATATGCATCTGAAAAGCTGTGACAAAACTCTGAAAGACAACTGCCCTTTGAATTCAATTTATTCTAGAAATTTCTACAACACTGGTGTTTCTCTTTTCTAGTGATTTCAGCCAAGCTGAAGGAAAACAAAAAGAACTGGTTTGGTCCCAGTCCATACGTTGAGGTAGCCGTGGATGGCCAATCAAAGAGGACTGAGAAGTGCAACAACACACATAGTCCCAAATGGAAGCAGGCTCTCACAGTGTGAGTATGATTGTTTATCATAGGAGAGGAAGCTGTTTAACAGTGAGCCTTAATTACAGGATGATACCAGTTGGTAATGGAAAGATTATTGTTTCTCATCAAATTAAGTCTCCTTAGTGCATGTGTTTTATCTAATATATTTTAAGTTGCTTGTCGTAATCATAAAGTCTACCTTTGTTGTTTGCACTGGAGACACCTCTGAACCAGGCTTTTTTCTGGTGATACTAAGCTAGGATTATGGTTAATCGATCAGCAAATGTAAATATATACATTTGGAGGATATATTCTGAATCAATATCGGATGTGTCTGTCAAAATAGCAGCTCACAAAGTCAGTGCACCCAGTCCTGACTGTTTTACCATGATCTGACCATTGAAATAACAAATGCTGTGTACAAATATATTAGTCTCTGGTAAGAATAAGAATTCATACCTTATGAAAGGCTTTAAAGTACTAATATAATTAAAGCTGATATGACAATATAGGGTAGAAGCGTTAGACTTAGACCTTTAAAATTGACTTTCTCGGTACTTAGGCAAAAGACCAGTCTAGAAGAAAAAAGTACCAACATTGATTGATTGATGAATTTTCCCTAGCATTAGTGTAGATCATCCTTAACTTTATATTTTCTACTGTTTGCTCATACAGTGTCTTGTCATTTTCTCACGTTTCTAAAGAATTGTGACTCCAGTCAGCAAGCTGATCTTTCGTGTTTGGAGTCATCAGACACTGAAGGCAGACATCTTGCTAGGAATGTCCACACTGGAGATCAGCAAGATTCTTAAGGCAAATGACCTAAAATGTGAGTTGACCCTATCTTTCTTCTTAGTGGTAATAATGAGTGTTTATTTTTCTAAAGATTTTGAGTCCAAAAAATATTGCCTTCTTTTTTTTCATTAAGTAGCATAAGATAGCTATATTCTTGTTACAAAGCCACGTGATTGAGTTTGCTTACACTACTGTTTTTCATTTCAACCTTGGATATGACAAAGATGTGCTGTCCCAGGAGCTAAATATTAAGCTAATAGGCTCTATGAGTTGATTCCCACAGAATACTAAGAGGTACACAGGAAGAGCTTCCTCTGCATGGCTTATTTCATGTTAATAACAACTTGCATCCCATGTAATCTTACTTTCAATATTCATTTGGTTTCTCTCTGTCTATCAGCAGTATGTTTTTTTTGTAAAATGTTGCACACTTCAGACACTTGCTATCTAAGAGTGCATATCTGCCTGTGTTTGTTATGGGAATGTTTTATTGGGCTTTGATAAGCTTAATAGCCGACATGCACATTACTCAGTAGGTTTGTTTTGCGGGCATTACCTAAATTTATGACCATTTTTTTTACTTGAAGTGGGTTTATAACTCAGTGCAGTGGCTCCTGTCAGACCTGGTCAGCATGTTCAAAACATGTGACATTAAAGTCCAGTAGATATTCTGTGGTGCAGTCACTTGCTTCTAATTTAAAAGCAGCAGCAGGGCTGAAAACAGTGACCAAGTACCTTCCAAATCAGGTGATTTAAAACAATCAGTGATTGGGCTCCCCTAAGGAAATAGTTTGTCATTATTTGTTCATTTTAACCTCAAATATCTTATTAGGATAATAATGTACATGCAGTGGCTGTTTTTATAATCTCAATGCAGGCTTAGTATCAGCTTTCAGTCTTTTGCTGGCTTTCAGTTTGTCTAATACGTGTGTTTTTGGGATAATTTCTCCTGTCATTCAAATTATAAGCACCTGCTTAACACTTTATTCTGTCCTTCGTAGTGTGTGAGGTAGTGCAGACACTGCAGCTGTGCTCTGACAGAGACCGCCGGGAGGTTGTCGGTGACTTGTCAATCTGTCTGGATGGCATGCAGGTAGACTCAGAAACCTTTGCCTTGGCAGAGAGAGAACAAGGTGAGAGACCACACGCAGACACAAACTCTGTATACTATGTTTATCACACTAACAATCTGAAAACATGAACAACTCTGTAATTTTGTATTTGATAAATGACCACCACAGAAGAGCTGAATTCACTCAGATAAGTGACATGTCGCTAATCATTAGTTTTTGTGAAACGATACTAATAACTGCCAACATCAAGTTTTTAGGTCCTCTAATCAGAATTCTTTATGTACCCTGTGTAGCCCATTAGTATGGCTTATATCTTGTAACAGATGTATTTATGTTGGTGTGTATATTTTTCAATGGTGAAATGTCCCTTGTAGTACATATCTTGGTCATAATTCTTGTATAACCAAATTTAACATCTAGAAAAAGCTAAAAAAAAAAAAAAGATCTGTTGACCTCTATTCTATATTTAGTAAATGTGTGCACCCAAACTGTTAAAACAAAATTTTTTTCTTGCTTTTAGGTTTTAATTGTCGCTTTCTGAATTATTTAACATTAATTCCGTAACTTAACTTTTTTTCTGTTTCATTCTAGCTGCTCTTCCAAATGGAACTGCAAGACAAAATGGAGACACTGGCAACAGGTCTTTTAAACTTTTAATTATAGATTTGTACATGCTTTTTTTTATTCAAATGTTGATTCAGTGAATTTGCAAGAAAAAAAAAGCATATTTCTATATATCTATATATGTTGTACTTTTAGATCAAGCAGGGATACATCTCCATCCAGTGACTCAGACGAGTGGGTCATAGTACCCAATGGCCATGCTGTCAATGGTACAGGTTCCCCTTCCCGATCTCCAGGGGACTCCACAACCTCACGTCCTCCTAGACCTGCCAGACCTCCCCCTCCTATGCCACAGAGACCAGCAGCCTCACCAAGTAGGAAAAGCACGAGACATCAAAGATTTCTCAGTCTAACAGTAGCTCATGTATAGCTTAACACAACATTCAAATTACATGCCACCTTTTTTTTTTTTTTTTAAACATTCTCATACGATTGATTTCTTTCTCATGCAGAAACAATGTACTGACAGTAGTGAAATCAAGTACCCCTTTGCAAATTAATTCACAGACTTAAATGTTCTCTTCTCTGCCTTGCTCTTCTCCCCAGCGTCTTCTAGTAGCTCTTCCCCGAGTGAACTGAGTGAAGGCCCAGCTTCTGATGGTTCCTCTCAGGCGTCAGCTAGTGGGTGTTCCGATCAGCAGGAAGAATCAGGTGCAGGAGCAGCAACTGCAAGTTCCTCACAGACAGCAAGTGGCCCTAAACCAGCGGCCACTGCCTCAACAGCTCCGGCTGCAACAACACCCAGAATCACTCCCATTACCAATGGTCCCTTGCCACCAGGGTAAAGAGCAACTCATTATACATTTGTATAGCCTCTCACTCATGTTACCATTGATAGGCATATTATATTGCCTTTTTATTAAGATTTTCAGTCTGTGTTGTTATAGTGGGGGGGAATCTGAGACAAAATCCATCTAAATCTCATATCATTCATATTGCCTCTGCAGCTGGGAGCAAAGAGTGGACCAGAACGGACGAGTGTACTATGTGGACCACATTGAAAAAAGGACGACCTGGGACAGGCCTGAGCCTTTGCCTACAGGGTACCAAAACACATACTTCATCTTACATAGTTCTTTTTGTGTTGTGTTAGATTGTGCATTCAATCTATAAAATCATCTAATGTTTGTACAGACATATTTTAAAGCCACTAAATCCAAGGCCAGTGATGATGTTACAGTACAAATAGCTGTGTCTGTGCTTTCATTATCATGGTCAGGTAGAGCCACTAGACAAAATCTACATCATCAGCTCAGCACTGCCTTCTTTTTACTCTCCCTTTTTTTTGCAGGTGGGAGCGCAGGGTGGATCCAATGGGTAGAGTGTACTATGTTGACCACATAACCCGAACTACCACGTGGCAACGCCCCACACAGGAGTCAGTGCGCAACTATGAGGAGTGGCAGCACCAGCGCAGCCAGCTCCAGGGAGCCATGCAGCAGTTTAACCAGAGGTTCATTTATGGGGTGAGAGCAATCACTATCTTAGCTACTAGATATGTCACATTCACTGCACATAAAGAACATTTTGAACATTTACTTGTTTTGATTTACTTAAAGATCCCATCTAGACATGATTTATTATCTATAAATAAATATAACGCTGTCTGATGTAATTTTACCACTGAAGTGTGGCTCAACTACCCCCTCTAACTCCTGAAGCCCTTTTTATTATTTAAAAAAAAAAAAAAAAAAAAGTTATTTTTGAAAGTGTACCTGCCAGACATACCTTAATGTGAACTCCGTGTTCTGTGTATCAGAACTGGAGGATGTCTGCTTCGTATTTCTGTAATCTGCATACTGGATGTGACTGGCTTTTAAACTTGTTTTGATCTCACAAAATCACTTTTCTGTCTGTGTGGTAAATGAGGTGGAACCTGCACTCTCGACTTGTGAAAATAAATCTTTCCTCTGCACACTGAAGGTCAAATATGCAAAGAAATTAACAAAAAACAAAACACAATTTTGTGTGGATTGGAGGGAAAGGGAAAAGCAAAAAAACGACATTTCAAAGAATCTCCAAATATGAGTTATTTAGTAATTTAGTGGAGAATAATTCTAGCTTCAAAATTTCAAAAGCTGGTATTTGTGGTGTTAAAGCTGTATAACACAATATATTATTATTATTTTTGAACCAGTTTTTATTTTACAGGCAGTGTCATTCTCTAAATCATTTCACAACAAAAATAAAACCAATCCATAAACATCTTGAGGGTTCCCCACCATAGGAAACACTTAAAATACATCCAAATTACTTCTGTTGCTTTGTTAGTCTGATTTTATTCTGATTTTGATCTGAAATGGGCTCAGATGAGTCTGACTCTGTATGAGTCTGTGTGATCCAGATTCTGGATAACTATGTTTTTCGTCTCATGGCTAAGAAACTTCAATGAATTAGTAGGCAGTGGGAACAGACACTGAAATACTAACAGATATTATGAAGTTCTATGCACTTCCTTGATTCTAACTTTAAAATGAAGCACAGTTCTGTGTTTAAACAGATTGTGACAAAGAAATTCTTTTTTTTTTTAAACTTGTCTCATTCTCTTCCAGCTCCAAGACCAGTTGGCAGCAACAACCAATAAAGAGTTTGACCCACTGGGGCCTTTACCACATGGTTGGGGTAAATATCTTTAGATTAGACAAGTATTTTACTTTTAGTTACTGAGATGTTCAGAAAAACACAGTAAAGATGTGTTTTACGACTATGACTGTGATGGTAGTAGAAATGGCAGTGAACAGGCACTGATTTGTGCATATGAAATGTGTTGTGTTTTATACCAGAGAAGAGAACAGACACAAACGGCAGAGTGTATTTTGTTCATCATCCAACTCGGACAACACAGTGGGAGGACCCAAGGACACAAGGGTGAGTGTATGCCTGCTTGTGATTGTGTTCGTTCTTGTATATTGTGCCATGGAGCCTTTTTTTTTTGATAGGGATATGTCTCTGTCAGTCCTTCTGTCATACTAACTGCAGTTGATTCTGCCAGTCCATTAGCTGTGCTTTTCTTTTATTGCCAGTGAGAGGCACTAACGTGCCACTGTTTCGTTCAGTATGAAGAGCAAATTCAGCCCTATCTTGCCCTGAGTTCTGAGTGACACATCTCGGTCCTTCTTTTGTCAACTTTCTTGTCCTAACTTGTTGAGAGTTTGCAGCAGGCGGACAATGACAGGACAGGCACGTACAAGTAATATGGGAGGTGTGGAATTGTACTTAATTTAGTACATGTATAGTGAAGTAACAACAGGTTTTTTTAGAGATCTTGATTCAAACATCTTGTGACAGATTTTTTTGGGGACAGTTGCTCAAAACTGTGTTTACATAGGACCATTAGGAAAGTGCTCCTAATGAGAAAGTTATGAGTGCACAAAGGAAAGAGATTCCTGCTAAACCCTGCTTAATGTAATTAGTTAAGGACTGCTTGATAATATGGAGTTCTTATTTTTAAATTTCAAGGGCATGAGTTTTAGCTGTTACTGGTTCCTGTTTTTAGGTGACATAGTTCTCTTGATACTTGTAATGATATGTAATTGTGTAGTTATGTGATTATAATATTTCCAAGCTCTTGAATTATTGTAATAAAATACATTAAATGTCTGTCTGTACTGTGTCATAAAAAACAGTCAGATACTCTATGACATGATTTTAATAACTGAAAGCCCAATTTTGAGAAATTCTGCTTCAGGGCAATCATTTATCATTTTGAGGAATTTGCAACTATAATATATACTGTAATAATATCTGATACCTTGAATTTTAATTTGAGAAATAAATAATTCTCAAGTCAGTGGAGGTTGGTTACAATTTAATTCCTCAATTTCACTTTAACACTGTAACAGTTTTATGTATATTTATCTGCTTACTTGATTTGCTTTGTTCAGGCTGCTGAACGATAAGCCCCTGCCTGAAGGTTGGGAGATGAGGTTCACTGTGGATGGTATTCCCTATTTTGTTGACCACAACAGGCGAACGACAACCTACATTGACCCTCGCACAGGGAAATCCTCGCTGTAAGTAGCTGTGTTAAAATATGTGAATTAACAACAGCTGTTGGAAGAGGAGAACAGACTGCCAGTCATCTGACTTTTGTTACAGAGATCTCTTTTTCTGATCTTTTCCACAGTGAGAATGGGCCACAGATAACCTATGTCAGGGACTTCAAAGCCAAAGTGCAATACTTCAGGTTCTGGTGTCAGGTATGTGCTGTCTGGATGTCCCACATGCTGATCGTTAAATACTGTATCTTCATACTTGTTGATGCTTAAATATGCAAAGGTTGAAGTAAAAGTTGCACAAAGCATTCCATTTGTCTAAAATCTGATTATTTGTGTAATGTTTTTTTTCCCTGTTAGCAATTGTCGATGCCTCAGCACATTAAGATTACTGTCTCACGTAAGACCTTGTTTGAGGATTCGTTTCAGCAGGTAAATACAGGAGCATACTGTCTTCTTATGGCCTTTCTGTGTTCAACAGAATTGTCGTGTCTATGCTTAAGTGACATAACTGATTTAATTCTGTGTTTGTTTGCATTCGAAGATCATGAGCTTTCACCCTCAAGATCTGAGGCGGAGACTGTGGCTCATCTTTCCTGGCGAGGAAGGATTAGATTACGGAGGTGTGGCCAGGTAATTTTAACTGAATTTGTTTTGTACAATTGTGTTCTATGTCATGACTTGCAAGGTGTGTTTTGTCCTCGTTCGTACCTTTTTTTTTTCACACCACCCACGCTTCACAAGACACAAACCCTGTTGTGATAATAACATCGTGTGATTCTCATTTAAGTCCTGATCTTCAAGATTTTTCAAACCTCCTCACTTAACCAGTACAATCACTTCCACCTAACATTTTCTGTCCTCTGTGGTTGTATTTTCAGAGAATGGTTTTTCTTGCTGTCTCATGAGGTGCTGAATCCCATGTACTGTTTGTTTGAGTATGCTGGCAAGGACAACTACTGTCTTCAAATCAACCCGGCTTCTTACATCAACCCTGATCACCTCAAGTACTTCAAGTTCATAGGACGCTTCATTGCCATGGTACCTGCACTACGTGTCAGAATATACTGACTGTGCTGTCAATTTATGATTGAAATTTGCTGGTATAATTAATTAGGTCAGCTGGACTGATGTTTATGCTGCAAAATGTATAATAATCACGTGTGGATCATGCAAAATTGTACTGCATACTGATATATATGGAATTCAGAAGATGAATATACCTGTGAAGTGAATTAATTTATTTCATAGACTTACGTAGTATTTTTATGACAGAGTGATCAGTCACTTTAAATCTTTAGATGGCTGTCTTGTACTGTGTTGTATTTGGCTGTTGTGTTTAAAACATCTTTTCCCTTATGTTTATGCATTGTTCCTTTTTAGGCCTTGTTCCACGGCAAATTCATCGACACAGGTTTCTCCCTGCCCTTCTACAAGCGCATTCTGAACAAACCCCTGGCTCTTAAAGACCTGGAGTCCATTGATCCAGAATTTTATAATTCACTCATTTGGATCAAGTAAGTCTGCCTAGCTGATACACATGTGCATGATGGATAGGGCTTAGGTGGTGTGCTGGACAGACTAAAATGACATCATGGCCATCTGCTGCAGTGTAACCTAATTTATTTTTATTCTGAAAGAACTCATTGGGATACTGTCCGTTGTTTGGTTGTAGCATGTGGACCAAAATATATGCTATTCTTATTATACTTACATGTTAAACAATGTGCTACCTGATATCCTGTAAATATATGCTAAAATTCATCAGTGTTGTTAAATGGAAGTAGGATTTTCACCTGTGTTTAATGAGAGAATGAGGAAAAGAAGTCAAACATGTGTCTGCCATGTAGGCCACCAAGTTTATCCCGTCACCACAATATTTTGTATGCATGACTGACTCAAGAGAAGAGAAGGTTGTTGCAGCTTAATGACCCATGACTATATAAATTCAGAGTAATTTCATTTGCATAAAATTGTTGTATCTAGCAGGTAATGAATCTGACTTACTGTGCCAGCCTTTTCATTTTTTCATGTACAAAGTCCTAATGTTCTAAATGATTGAGATATTCTTGAGTTATACCACGTGAATTCTGATACGAATCCTCATGCAGATGAAACAAATCTTAACATTAATTAAATGTGCTGAATACCTAATGTTCTGACAAATATAAAGTACAGTGTAGGCTTACTGGATGTGTTTTCTCCAGGTTTTCTAACTGTATTAATAATTCTATTGATGGTCTGTGGCTTATAGGGATAATAATATAGAGGAGTGTGGTCTGGAGATGTTCTTCTCAGTTGATAAGGAGATCCTGGGGGAGGTCACCACCCATGAACTGAAACCAGATGGAGGGAACATTCAAGTAACTGAGGAAAACAAGGAGGAATACATCAGGTACAGCTGCGTTCTATTAAACACAACACGAGTCGTCTTATTCAGGCTTGCAGTAAAAGTCTGTAACCCCAAGATTTTCATTGTCAAGCTCTGACAGTATTGTATTTAAATTAAGTATTCCCATTTTCTTGTAGCATAGCGGTAATAGTGGAGAAATAATGATAATCATTCAAATAATTAGTTGTATATACACAGCAGTAAATTGGCTGTTTTTAACCCTCGGAATCCCAAGTAGTTTATGGGCTTTTTGCTCTGGTCATACTTTTACTCACTGTGGGCTCATTGTTCACTGCAGTGTAAGGTCCGATATGTATATGGTAGCAGGACGACTATGGCTAGAAGATGAGAATCAAAGTTGTCTTCTGTGCAGTGCAACACAGTTAGAATCCCACAAACTATAAAAAAAAATAAAAAATCAGCAACAAACAAAGCTGAATTTCTTTAATTGTTTACTTTCCAAAAATTGAAAAAAAGAAGAAAAAAAAACAGCAATAGATTAATGGTGTAATCTTGGTGTTTATTTATTTATTGTTAGACGATAGCATGCCTTTCAAACCTCCCTGAAAGTTTTGGCATTTAGAGGATTAGAAGATAGTTAATGAACACTGACATTGTTACTTTAAATATGAAATACTGTGTTGCACTTTTTATTTGATGTAAGCGCCATATTTTTAAGCAATCAAGAATTTTCATACCTTTTATGTTAGATTTTGTTTTGAATTTTGTCCTGTCTCTCTTCATGTCTCTGTATACAGACTGGTGGCAGAGTGGAGGCTGTCCAGAGGTGTGGAGGAGCAGACACAGGCGTTCTTTGAGGGCTTTAATGAAGTTCTTCCCCAGCAGTACCTTCAGTACTTTGACGCGAAGGAGTTAGAGGTACTAAAGTAACCAGACATATTATCTTTGACCTTTACAAAGTCTAATGTTGGGGGTTGTGTTTGCCCTTTAAAACATTGTTGTCATGCATTCTTCTTGTCTGTAGGTGATGCTGTGCGGGATGCAGGAGATAGATCTGGTGGACTGGCAGAGAAACACAATCTATAGACATTATGCCCGAAGTAGCAAGCAGATCCTGTGGTTCTGGCAGGTAGGTGTAGAAAAAAACATTCATATTTTTGGAATTTTGAGACTCAAACCATTGTTATTGAAACAGCTTTAGATAATGCCTCAATGAATGTGAGCGTCTCAAAACTACAACAACCACAACTGCAACTACAATATAACTACATCTTGGAATATAGTGTAACATGGTAACATTGGTGGAGCAATGTCATACTGATATCGTCACAAAACTATCCATTAACAGTTTGCGAAGGAGATGGACAACGAAAAAAGGATGAGACTACTGCAGTTTGTCACAGGAACATGTCGTCTTCCTGTGGGTGGCTTCGCTGACCTGCTGGGTATGCAAAAATGAAAACACATTGTACCGTGGTCCAGTGTATCATATATATATATATATTATTTGTTTATTTATTTTTAATCTGTATGCTTATTTCTAATTAATATAGGAAGCAATGGTCCACAGAAGTTTTGCATTGAGAAAGTGGGCAAAGAAAACTGGCTTCCACGAAGCCACACATGGTAAGGCCAGTTATTCCACTTGTACATTTGTAGAAATCCTTCTACTTCAGGTGTTTGAGAGGATGTGTGGTCAAAGCTGAATGCAAGATTAACTTTCAAGGCCAAACCCTCTTAGTCACTTCTGATTCAGCTGTCTCACACCTTGATGTGTTTTTAACCTTTGATGTGGCATTAGAAGTTATATAATACTGTGAGATGCATTGTTGCTGTTTAAGTGTTTAACAGATGCTCCTAAAGTATGCAGCACCATAGACATTACTGCAACAGCAAAACAAGTGAACATTTTTCATTAGATATCTTAGAATGTGGAAATACTCAACAAGGAGCAACATTACAATCTATAATTTTGTAGTAATTTTATCCTTACAAGATATGCAACCTCCAAACATGTTAATTCATTATTTGTCCTGTTTCTTTCACATTTCTCCACTAGCTTTAATCGTCTGGACCTCCCTCCTTATAAGAGCTATGAGCAGCTGAAGGAGAAACTCATGTTTGCGATAGAGGAGACAGAAGGCTTTGGGCAAGAGTAATGCAACAAGGCTTGCAGGATGTGACAGAGCATTGGTGGTCTTGGAGGAGCCATATCCATTTTGGACAAGACCACTTTCCAGCAGATTCTCCTTGCAGCCAGGAGCTGTTTATAATCTGGTAGATAGACTTAATCTGTGTTGTCTGTCACAAAAGCGTAAAAAAAATTGAAGGCAGTTTCTTCATCAATTCACGTGAATCGTCCTCACCCAGTTTCACTCTGTGATCAGTTCCTCCCTAATCCAGCTGGTCTCACTTTGTCCCATTCAGCCCACTATTGGGCGATAGAGGCAGAAAAGATGCCTTTCTCATCTGGTCATGTCTGCACTTGCTGTATGTTGTGCAAGGGCAGTTTCGACACGTACATCTACCAACCTGTGCAGTAGATACTTAGGAGTTGTCTTGTCGGGCCTATGCACTACTAGTTAATAATTTCAGAGGGGAAAAAACATGTTATCTGAAAGCAAAATCATAGGCTCACATGACTTTTGGGGTTCAGACTTTTTATTTTTCTTTTGTCGGAAGGATGAATGAATGGATAAATGATTTTTTTTCAATAGCTGACTGACTGTACTGACCCTCGTAGCACATATGCAGTTTCTGTAATAACTTTGATAAATATTATCATGTTAATTGTAATAATATTTCCTCTTATTTTGGCAGGTTGATTTCTTAACTTTCTAATGAGTTAAAATGTTAAACTCGTTTGCACATGGTGATGTAAGCTGTAAGACGGTTGTGATTGTTCTTAAGAGAGGCTGTATTTTTATGTGCAATAGTTTTGTAGAAAACATTTTTGCCAATAATAGAGCCAAACAGTGATTTGTTTGATCATTTTTATAAAACTTTGGTAAGATTAAGCATTTACTATTGATTTAAATTCCAATATGAAGTAGAGAACATTTGCATACTTTAAGTGTATTTGGTGAAACTGCTTTGGTTGTGATGTGATTTGATAAAGTTTGCCTTCCCATAACAGACACTGCTGTATATAATATGGGCATATTTGACCATGGATGCTCACTTCATTTGTCAGTCAGGGAAACTGAAACTGTGAAGGCTTTTCTTGGTAATTATAAGCTGTTACTGATGACGTGGGAGCATTGGGATGTAATGTATAGTAGAGAGCAATGATTTGCTGAATAATGATCAATTCCCGCTGAATGGTAGCAAATTCTCTGTTAGTTTTCCAGAGTTAAGTATTACTCTTACAGTGGCCCTGAGAGCTCAAGGCACTGCAACTTCAGAAAACGCATGCAAACCAAGAAAATATCTTCATCAGTTCAACAACACATAATCAAACTAGTGAAAGCGTTTTCTTTATTTACTTGCGTCGACCTCTCAGCCACGCTGTATATTCAAGATTAGTAGTAATGAATATTTTAAATTCTAACAGTTTAACCTGTTAAGTGACTAATGCAGTTTATGTAAATATACTTACAAATTAAAAAAAAGTAAAAAAAAAAAAGTGTTTAGTATCTCAGTGCATATAACACATCCAAGCAGTGGACCCCTTTGAGTTGCAGGCAAGAAATGAGATTTAAATTTAAATAATAGCAAGTGGCCCTAGTTTTATAGGGTGTAAGGCTTTCAGATTTGTACAGTGATATTGCATTTCTTGTCTTTTCCAAAAATCCTCTGTTAACATCAAACTTAAAGTTTATTTTTTCGAATTAGATAAAGTACCGTTAAAAAAGAAAAAAAAAAAGAAAAAAAAGAACCAGTCTACCAAAGGAGCTTAATGAGTTAATTGTGTAAACTTACTGACTTAAACGTTTAAGTCAGCAGGTGTAATCAGTTGTTAACATCCTCTAAATGATTACACATTTGACATCACCTGTCCCTATTAGGTTATTGTCCTTTATTTGGTCACTGTAGGGTACAAGAAATGTAAACACAAAGGCTTGCTCCACAATCTCAACTTTGAATACGGAATTCAAACAAAATCTCTGTAATATTTAATGTTTAAAAAAACTACAGATTTTGCAGTGTTAAGGAATACGTTGTCTTAATCTCACTTAGAAATGTATTTCACTGTTGATTTTTAATGTTTCTTTCAAGTTGTTCAGTTATCCAGAGCTTTAGAGTCCCATTACAAAAAGACCTGTTTATCAAACACTTCGAGTGGAAAACTGACTTTTAGCAGCTTCTGGGAGTCCCTTGTATTTGTGCAGGAATGACAGATCGTGTACCTGACAATTCAAAGTACTTTATAAAGAAGTCACTCAGGTACACACATTCAAAGTCCGTTGCACAACAGTCAGAAATTATGTCAAAATTCTGTTCAATATGATGGAAATCTAAAGGTTCATATTGTTAACAGAATTTACTAAAACTGATTCGTATTAATACACAGTATTAACTTGTGTTACTGCTGTATATCTATATGGATTTGCTGCTTCATAAAAGCAGATTAAAATTTGTAATGTGATATTTTACGATGAGCTGTCATTGTCCAAGCGTAAAGCTGTGGTAATGTGCATGTGTAGGCAGCGTGGTGTCAATTATGTGCTATAATTTCAATGTGTGCCCCAGACAACTGAAGATGGAAAAACAATCTATGTCAGATTTTTCTCTTTAAGTTCCCCATTAAAATGTAAAAGGATGGATTCTCAAAATTAGCTTGTGAATTTGCCCATGTGTGAGCCGTGTGGCTGTTCATTTCATAATGTCAGTACTGGTACAGCATAGAAGAAGGATGGTTATTCTCACTGCCTACATTGAACTGACAGGTATATTGACTCAATCACTACATCTACAACTTCACGTACCATTTACTGCTCACTTTATCCTTAACTGTGTGAAGTGTTTCACAATATAGCACATATATTCCCTTACTGGCAGTAATTCAGTTCACATACACAAAGAAAAAAATCATTGTGTAGCTACTGGTGTGCAGACTTGTGAAGAAATTAATGTAAAATAAATACGTTAATAAAAAAAAGGTTTTGTGAATACAATGTTGACTGTTGAATATTTTAACAGGTTAAAACTATGTAATAATAGCACCTTAACACTCAAGCTGATTGAATTAACCACTCTTCTGTTTAATCACCACTGTGTTCCAGATCTTGGGGCAGATAAATATATAGAAATATGCAAAATAGTGTTTTAGTTGTACTGATTGCATTGTACTTCATGTTGATAGTGTAATCACTGTTTCTTTTTCTTTTTTTCTTTCTTTGTTTTTTTGTTTGTTTTGAAGCTGTTGCTTTTTTGATAAGTGCAGTTAATGGGTGAATACTATTTATTAGGAGGATGAGTTTCCTGTAACAGTGGATTGGAATGATTGAGGAAAAAAAAACAGTAATAAAACAATTAAAACACCCAAAGTGTGATAATTACTATCACCCCAACATTTTTTTTTTACACTTGCACTGCAATCACCTACCCACAATTCATTATTGTTATTTGAAAATGTCTTCTAAATTAACGCAATGAAACAATTCCGTTGCATGTTCTCATATTATTAGAGGAGCTAAATTAAAAACACAGAGCCTACCATAGGAACTCAGTGCTCCAACAGTCTGTACATCTTTTATTGCTGAGATTCAAAGCTTTTATTTTTTCAGTATTTGGTATGATTACCAGTCATCTGGAAAGATGTTTTGTTATTCTTCAGAGATTTTTTTTTTTTTTTAGCTGGAAGGTGTTATGTTGCTTTGCTTTTCTCTAAAAAAAAAAAAAATCCCCAGAGATTTTCTATTTGATTTAAGTCAGGCGACACATTTGGCCTTTTCAGCTTCTTTCTCTTTTACAAACACTTGCGTGATTTTGGCAGCGTGCTGTGTATCATTATCAAACTGGAATATTCTTCCTCTGCCAAGTTTCTGCAGCTTTGGAAGTCATCTTGTCAGCCTGTATTTTAATATATCTGTAGGCGTTCATGGCACCATCGATAAATGTTACATCCCTGACAACTTTTGTACTCATGCACCCCCACATCATCACACTCCCACTTCTGTGCGTCACTGTCAGGACTATGCATTCACTGTGGTAATCATGGTGGAAGTCATGCCAAACTTGCTGGACTCCATCTGAGCAGAATAAATTCACCTTCATGGTTTCATCTGACCAAACAATATGTACCCAACTTTCAGCTCAGCTTCCAGCTCATATTCTTTTATCTTGCATTGTGGTTCCAACCAGCAACTAAGGTTTTTTTTTTCTTGGACGCCATTTGTGAAGGTTAACATTATGCACTGTTTACACTGTCACAGAAATTCAGATTTCTATTCTGTGCCAAATGTAAAGCACTCTCCCACCTGTTTTAAATTGTTAAGTTGAGTGAGAAGCAGTCTATCTGGCATCATTTTAGAAGGATGACCACTGCGGCTCTGATTAGTGGTACTAATGCTTATTCTATCCCTATTTGTATGTTTCAGTTCTTCTGGCCTTTTTTCCCCATGCAGATCCATGATGCAAACATGCAGTTATCAGTCCAGGCTACTGAGGAAGTTCTGGTGTTCACACGCCCTTTCATTGCCAAGTTCATGCAGTTAGGCCAACAGGGAATTGCATGTGTAGTTAGTTTTGTTTTGATAGTCACAGGTTTTGCAACTTGTGTTACAGTAATCACAAGTACTTCACTTTTGTTACAAAAAATTTGTACTTTGGGGCCTGTGATTTAAATATAGTCTCTCTAAAGTATTTGTTTTGTTTACCCATAACACTTTTCTACTTGTCAAATTTAAAACAATGCAGTTGTTGAGAAGTGATGCAATTTGGAATCGTTTGGCATTTAAGTGATATTATGCAATGGTGGTGCTGCAAGGTGCAGTTGGTTAGCACTGTTGCCTCGCAGCAAGAAGGTCGCCGGTTTGGGGACACCGGAATCTTTCTGCGTGGAGTTTGTATGTTCTCCCCGTGCAGCGTGGGTTCTCTCCGGGTTCTCCGGCTTCCTCCCACAAGGTCTAAGGTTAATTGGTGATTCTAAATTGTCCGTAGGTGTGAATGTGAGTGTGCTTGGTTGTCTGTCTCTAAGTGTAGCCCTGTGATAGACTGGTGACCTGTCCAGGGTGTCCCCTGCCTTCGCCCTAAGTCAGCTGGGATAGACTCCAGCCCCCCCACGACCCCAGTAAGGATTAAACGGTGTATAGATAATGGATGGATGGATGGATGAATGTGCAATGGTGTACTCACTTCTGTTGTATGCTACCTTTTCCTTTTATTTCTAAGTAACACCTGTGTTTAGCTCCTATTTCAGGTCAGAATGGTGACTGAAAAAGGTCTATTTATAGTGGCTGTTGAGCCTTAAAGCTGCATACCATACTTTGAAATTTAGCTGCATTAGTCATTAAACTATTGATGATTACATAATGTCAGAGTGGACACCGGCAATACAGTATCTGGGGAAGAATATTGCTCTTCATTAATGACACTGATAAAGGTTCTGTTTTGTAGAGCAGAAGAGTGAGAGTATAATGTAGGCCCACACCAGCTGGAAGCCCCCTCCTTCTACAGATACTGTATTAGCTCTTCCCACGTTATGTAACTCGCAAAAGTGACTAATGCAGCAAGGTATCAAAGTCTGGTATGCAGCTTTACTGCCTAACAAAAGCAATGGATAGACGTTTTTCAGAGCTCCCATTCTGACATGACACTAATCACATTATTAAATGGTATGTACCTGTGAATGAACCTTCAATATTGTAAAAAAGCATAAGGAAACACTTCTTTTGCATTTTGTTTTCTTACAGTCTGGAAAGTACAGCTTTTGAAAAGTGTTAAGTACTTTTTTATGTATGAATTCTTGATAATGAAGCGATACATCATACAAGGTGTTGCGTGGGCCCTTACCAGTTAGAAGCCCCTTCGCAACAACCTCCTCCAGAAATTTAGTTGTGTCTTTATTTTATGTTATTGACAAAATGGATACATAAATATGATGAAATATTGACTATATTGAAATATTGACTATCTTAGTGTTTTTTTTTTTTGTTTTTTTTTGGACAATTTTCTTGACTTAGCTCCTAAAGATTCCACAGAAATTTTGATGGGAAAATGTTTTTGTTTTCACTGCACAACATTATTTAAATTGAGTACCAATATTTACAATGTACATAATACTTGGATAATCAAGAAATTGCATACACATATGTAATTAAACATGACACGACAGTAAAAACAAATATAAATTTAGCTCCATCTTGATCAGTTTCAACAGCAGGATGCTTACATATTTGTGTCACAGTTAGTTACTAATCTAATTGAATAACTTCAGGCATATTTAGCTGCTTTCATGCTTTCACTTTTTAAACTGTGCTATATTGCTGCTTTAACCTGATCCAAGTCAAGGATGTGAAAACGTATTTATTTTAACATATTTATTTAAATGCCAACTACTAAGCGCTATGAGATGACTTGTTGTTGTAAATATGCGCTATACAAATAAAATTGAATTGAATTGAATTGAATTACTAAAGTGATGCCATATTAAAAATAACAAACAGAAGATATGATGTAGAGCATTAAAAAATGACATTGATCGGGGAGCAGTCTTTACTTGGCTCCACTCAGCAAATTATAGACTTTATTTGCCGTTTTCAAAATCTTGAATGATTCGTGACCTTCCCAAAGTTCGGTGGTTTGTTTCCATTCTTCTGAAATGTTTCACAAAACATAATCCTCTCTTCTTATGAGGCATCCACTTTCACATTATGCAATCAGCCATAGCTAAATGACTAATGCAGTTACACATTAAAGTCTGGTTTGGCTCAGCATGCCTTTCTCGCGTCAGCCCTTTTACTAAATAGTAGATTAGCACACGTGTAAGTAATGACATAAACTAAGGTTCTGGTGTATTTAGATACAGTTTTAGTTTACTCACTATTCAATGTCAAAGCGTGATAAAGGTGTATTTGTTGTGTCATTTAATCTGTAAAGCTACATACCAGACTTTGATTTATAAATGTCTTACTCATTTAGCTACTCACGTTAAAAGTGCAGTAATGTTTTAGAAACACAAATTTTAGGCTTTTGAAAATGGGAAAGAAATAGAGGACATAATTATTTGGGCAATGCAGTCAACTCTTTAAAATTTCAAATATTTACGTTTAAAACCGTGGAAGGACTTCAAGCTAGACTATCTATGCCTATTGTTTTTTCTTGTAATTTTAAAATTAATTTACTCAAATTTTAAATGCCACCAAAACACAAAAAGTAGTTCAGGTTGGAACCTTTAACTCGGCGCAGCACCACGGCAGGTTTTCAATGTGACACATTCTGTAACATGAATTTGCTTCCCCTCGGTTGCACTGAAAGTCATGGCAGGTCCTGATCTGATAAAAACTCTCCTGTACACCGTCAATAATCTGCTACAGCAGGAGAAGTACAAAGCTGCGCTGGCTGTGCTGAAAGGATTCAGAAACGGTGCCGTGTGAGTGACCACAGTTTAATAAAGTAGCCAGTTAGCTTAGCTAACTTCAGAAACTCACAGCTAACGATGCTAACAGCTCTTCGGCTAATCAGCTGGAGGTGTGCAGCTGTTTCCTGCTTTACCTGTCATTCTCCTCAATACATACGTTATTGGATGCCACCGTGTGAACTCGTGCAACAGTTCAGCAGCTGGTTGTGTTGACTATAATAAGATAACTGATGATGTTTAACTGTTAATTTAAAAAAAGGATATTAGCCAGCTGTGTCTCCATTGACATCATTGATGTGTTTATTTCTCAGATATGGGGCCAAGATCAGAGCTCCACATGCCCTGGTTATGACATTTCTGTTTAGAAGTGGCAGGTGAGAACTATAATTTATTTGTATAAACTGCAGTTGCACTATTCCCCATGCCTCTGAAGTGTGAACAAGTGTTTTCCCTTCTGTTAGTTTAAGAGACAAGCTCAAAGCCATTTTGAAGGCCACATACACCCACTCCCGAAATCTGGCGTACTTTGTGTTCACGTACAAAGGACTGCAAGCCTTGCAGCAGAAGATTCAAGGAAAGAGTTTGCAGTCCCACTCCTTTCTGGCTGCCTGCGTCGGAGGGTGGTTAGTGTTTGGAGACAACAACAACATCAACAGCCAGGTATGACCAGACACGGACTCAGCCGCTGATCCTGTCTGCAAAAGCACATCATTGTGAATTCAAGATTCTTTTCTGCTGAAGTAAAATTTCTTTACTTTTCTCTCCAGATCAACATGTACTTGCTCTCCAGGATCCTCTTCGCTCTGTCTCGGCTGGCTGTAGAGAAAGGATTCATCCCTCAGCCCAAGCAAGACCCCTTCCCACTCTTTGCCACGCTGGTTTGGGGCATCGTGTTGTGGCTGTTTGAGTATTACCCACACACCCTTCAGCCCTCTCTGCAGTCCTCCATGACCTACCTTTACCACGATAGCAACGTGTGGCACGACATCTCAGACTTCCTTGTGTATAATAAACCACGGACTGCTTCTCAGAAATGAAGCTTTAGGTTTTGTCTCCACTGATTATTTCTCCATAATGCATAATCATAGCATTGTTTTTTTTTTATAATGATCAAATATTCCAAATATGGTTATGAATGTTGCCTTTTAAATTTTTTGTGGAATTATTATTTGTTTTATAGGAAATTTATTTTCCTGTTTTAATTCAGTGACATTTCTTTTGTGCCAACTTGCACCAAATTTCCAGCTGAAGAGCTATACCATTGCTGTAAAGCGCATTTAAGTCTACCTAGTGTTATTTTCTCTTGTTTGTATTTTGATTATTCGCCTAATTTGTTCAATTTTCCGCAAGTGTCAGGAAACACAGACAAATGCAGATCAATGCAATACAGACTGAAATGCTGTTATCTACTGTAAACCTGTAGCTACAAGAGACACAAAAATGTCAGTATGGGTAATATTATACCAGACTAATGTGTTGAAAATAAAGGCATTTGCACATTTTGAGATGCAGGTTGAGATGATGACAACTAATGAAGCACTACATATTAATTTTTTTGTGTTTGTGAATGAAAATGATGATTTCTTAATATTACAGGACCCTCTGTCAGACTGCGAATCCTCCCACCCCACAGCACATACACAAAATAGTGAATGTGCATGTCCAAGTGTTTGTTATTTTATTTCAAGTGGCTAAAGGTGTGCCTTTGTGCTTTATTTGAGGGTTGAAAGAAATCCTGTTTCAGTCGAACCTGTTTCCTCTTTTCTGTTAAAGGCTGAATCATCGCTTTTGCAGCAAACTACCTTTTGAACTGTGGCAGCGGTCCACTGTGTAAACAATGATTGTTTATTCTTTTTTCTGGGATGATCTACTTGACTACCTAAATAGTAATTTAAATATTTGTGGTTGTCATGGACGCATTTCCTCAAGTTCTGTACTAAAGTGTGTAAAGTTTTTAAAGATCTCATCCAGCCATGATTGAAGACATTCACTGTAAATATAATCTACTTTGAAATACATTTTTTGTCTGATTTTTTGAGCTTCTTTCTTGAGGTTTTTTTTTTTTTTTCATTATTAAGTTCAACTGGGGCTGCAAGGTGGCTCGGTGGTTAGCACCGTTGCCTCACAGCAAGAAAGTCGCAGGTTCGCGTCCCGGTGAGGACACCCGGGATCTTTCTGCGTGGAGTTTTACACACCACAGCAGCATCCAAAAATAAAGAAAGTACAAGAAAATAACAATAATTAAGTAATATGCATCCCCGGTGTCAGCACACAGCAGGTCCAAGGCCCCGGGAGACGGAGCCTTGTGACTGCGCCTGGAATGGTCGCACGTGCGCCCGGAATTTCGAGGGTGCGACTATATTTGAAATTACGGTCGCACGGTGCGCCAATAGAAAAATGAGCAAAAATGAAGGCCTGCGCCGAAATAATGGCTGCAGGAAAAAAAAAAAAACAAGCCCCACGCCCACTGGCTGACTGAAGCGCGCGAACCTACGGGCATGGCTAGTGTAACGATGTGGAAAGCTCGGACACGGATGATGAGCCCCCAGCCGAACCTTTTCTTTTAAAGTTCAGTGAAGTTTCGTAACCGCTTCCTAAAAAGTGTCATGATGGCTGTCAAGAAGTCTGTGGTTGTAACCAGTGGCATGCGGTCAGGGGAGGCAGGTGAGGCAGAAAAAAAAATAATGACAAAATAATTTTAATGGTTATGTTTGTCCAGTCAATGGTGCTATAAAGTATTTATTTTTTCATTTAGCCTTGTCAGTTTTGATTATTTTGAAATTCAAAATTGCAATTTCCCATTCAAATGATTGGAAGAGAAGCCGGTGAGGCAGCGCCGGTCGGCAGTGACAGCCTGCTGCATGGCAGCCAGCGCAGTGAGGGATTGCGCAATCCCTTGAGAGGCAGCAGCGAGCTCAGCGTCACTTGGATTGCGCAATCCCTCTCTAACTACGCTGGCCACCTGCAGTGACAGCCTGCTGCTGTCTGGATGTCGCCAATAACATGGTTCAAACACATTTAATATATGAACTGATTTTTCATAGTTCAGCTGATGTATATGATTATGTACTGTGTTTTTTGTCACCAACTGTATGTGTGTAACGTGAGAAGAAACATGACACCTAAACTGCTGCCAGTCAAATGGCAAATATGCTACTGTGTAGAGTGCATATATTTGTAAATCAGATTCTGATGAAGTCAGTGCCTCACCAGCCATGAACCTCATCACACGTCACTGGTTGTAACAAATGGTGTGATACGTCTTTTTTCTCCAAGAACCAACAAAAGTTATATACCACACATTGCCAGTTGTTTTCCACCTATCAATTTAGGCTTTTTCTTTTAAAATCTATTTACGTACTTTATTCCAGGTTGTTAAAATTGATTAATAGGAGTATTACTTGGTATGGACAAGAGTTTTGCTTGTGCTCCCAACTTTTTATAGTGGTGTGCCTAGATTTTTGCTGGTGCTCCTAACTTTTTTGGGTTAGGAGCACAGTGCTCCGAGGTCAAAAAGTTATTCTGGAGGCCTGGGCAGTATGATTAAAGTCTCCAGAGATGACAATCAGAGAGTGAGGGATAATGTGAACGTGAGTGTGCTTGGTTGTCTGTCTCTAAGTGTAGCCCTGTGATAGACTGGCGACCTGTCCAGGGTGTCCCCTGCCTTTGCCCTAAGTCAGCTGGGATAGGTTCCCTTTAATTTCACAGTGCTTAGGCATCTTTAGTAGTAACCAAATGAACAAAAATCTAACATTGGCAGGAGCTGTTCTGCACAATTCTGTTTATTTCTGTACTTTTACATACGGCTTTCACTTTCTTGTACTTTGTGATGCTTTCTCTTCAGTAAAGGCAGGGAGTGCTTTAACATTGTATGCGTGTGTAAAAGAAGAAAAATAGAATATATGAGTGCTTTAGGGACTAAAATGAACCTGTCACTTTAATGCTAACTGTACTAGCAAAGTGGTAATACCTTTGAGTGCTGTTTACTCTTAAATTGGCACCATTTGACAAAGTAAAAATTCTGACCTGATGATAGCACCAGAGCTACGGGGTCATTATTATTGCAATTAATCAATAATTGTGGAGACATTTCCCTCAAAACCACAACTGTGAACCTCACTGTCAAAGGGATCGGTCAAGTCACTATGATTAAACCTCTGGGATTAATGAAGGTCTCCACCAAATCCTACGCCCTTCTGTGTAATAATTATTAATATAGTCCATCATCAAAACAAATGTCAGATAAACATCAAGATCCATACTCTGGACATCGTAGATATCTGTATCAAATTTTCTGGAAATCCATTCAATCCAATATTTGTCAAAACCTTTTACTAAAAAGCAAATAAATCTCAGCCCTTTGTCATCCATCAAACCATACAACCTGAAAATAATTATTTTCATCAACTTCTAGAAAATGCTTGTAATCAAGGATTGATCCTATATTTCTCTTAACTGGACCTTTAAAAATAAAACATTATATTTAACATGGGGATGTACAGAGTAACAGCCCCCGTCATGACTGCAAGTCATCATTAATTATCCAGAAATGTATCCCACCCAGGGTGCTGTACATACCTGTCATTGTAAACATGTGACTACTTCTACACTGGAACAAGATTTACGCAACAAATCCAGTTTGTTCTAAAGACAAGCCTTAATATCAGTGTGAACAGTAATCAGCTGCATGTAACCTCCCACACATCTATTCTGGGGAAGAAGTCATTGTGTCTTTGCAAAACTCTTAGCAGGCTGCTAGGAGCATGTTTGAAGCATCTTCCCAATCAAGTGAGCTAAATAAATTGGATCAATGCCTTTTTCCTTGTAGATTAAAGTCTGTTTAATACAATCTACATATATTTATGAGCTTTTAACATTATGCCTGACTTATGACACATGTTATGACACAGTAAGCAAAAAAAGTGGCTTAAATTGTGCTAGAAGCACTTGTGACAGTAATGTCAGAAAAATAAGGCACATTTCCAGATGTTTCATACAGTACACATATTACACATTAGTACACATATTACTATTACAAACGGTACCTGTGGTATTCAATAGTATAAACCATAGCTAGTTTTTAGTATATAGAACTACAAAGAATCTTGTTCATACCAAGTGTTACATTGTTGTTAAATGTATAAATGTTATATAGTGTAGTACATATAATGTGTGTTTGTCATTGACCAATTCCGAAAATGCTTGGAAAATTCATACCAAAATAGTAAAATAGCAGTTGTTGGTGCATTATTAAGGTTTACACAAATACTCCAAGTAACTATTGTGGGAAATAAGGAATCAATATTTACTTTTTAATTTTTTTTAAAATCATCATTATTATTCTTTAAAATGATGTGCGCTAAGGTAAGCAGCTTATGACGCTTGTGCGTCATTCATTCAAGATTATCAGCAAAAAAAATCTAATATATACAGTGAATAATTGCCCCAGGGTATCCAAGCTGCACACATATTGTACCGCAGGCAATCGCACCCAGCACACTGACGCAATCACCCCGGGCTCTGTTCTTGCGTTGAATGGGTGAGTCAGATTGCTCACCGAAGGCCTGCTGTGCAAATGAAACTGTACAAATGTAACACAGCCTAGAAGAAGGGGCGTATCCTTTACGTGGATCATGTTTTGTTACACATGACTTCGAAGGCCTTGGTTACCATTGAAGAAAACCAGTTTGCTTTCTTGCCGCCCCCCAGAGAAATGCTTTCAGAGGGAGGGGCAAAGATTTATATAGCTGTACAGTGTCACAGTAGGGGCATAAGAAAGAAAGAGACAAAGAAAGAAACACTAACAAATGGAAGGTGAGATCTGTCTTCAGAAAAGATTTTTTTCTCTCTCAGTTCATTGTTATTCATTGCTTATAGAATAAATGTACTTTAAGTTTGTACCATCTGACAACTCAATGCATTTTACTGTTGTAATGTAATACATTTTCCTTTCTTTTGCAGATTTAAAATTACAAAATGTCAATCTGGAGCTATTTGAAAACATGGAGCGCCACAGAACAATGGGCTTCATCAGCTCCAAAGCTCTGGTGGTGCGGAGAGGAGCCCCATTTGCAGTCAGTCTGCAACTGGGAGGCCGACTCCTCAACCCCAAGACTGACTCTCTGAGGATCAAGATCATGCTAGGTAGTCTGGATGTAGAGTCATTCAAGATTCTTGTGGATGAATGCCCATGCGGGAACATGCATGGCCAACATTTGAAATTAAAACTGACTTTTCCCTTCTTTTCTCCTTAGGTCGCCTGTATGTGGTCATGCCAGTCACTTTGTCCAGGAAGATTTCCTCCTCCCAATGGAAAGCCTTTATGGACCCTAAGGACTTGAACCTCCAGAACCCCACGATCTTCATTTCCTCTCCTGCCGCTGCCTCAGTGGGTCGCTACAGATTTCAACTGTGTGTGTTCAGTCAGAGTGGAAAGAGGAGCTGTGTATTCGGCAAATTCTCCCTGCTCTGCAACCCCTGGTGTTCTGGTGAGTGCAAGTCAAACCAGTAAAGCGGTAAAAATGGTAACACTGTTAACCAGAATAGCTGGCTTTTGGTGGGTAATGTTGCAGCAGCAGTGACTCACTTAAAACAGAAATGTACATATAAACATGGTTTGTGTGACTGAATAAGTTCCTGATTATGGACTGCTTTCACTCATCACATTACACACATCACATCACAGTACAGTAATGGTACACTGAGCTTTTGTAAATCATACCTGAGACATGAAGAGTCATCATGGAAAATGCCTGACACCAACTTAATCAAATAGAAAGACTAAAGACAGAAAAGGCAACAGAAGTTGCAGACATTATTTATGCTTTACACCAAATTGCAATTTAAGATAAAAACACACTGGACTGTACTAAATGATAGTTTTTTTTTTTTTTTTTTTTGCAGAGGATGCAGTTTATATTCCATTTGAGGACCAGAGAGAAGAGTACGTCGAGAGCGATTCTGGGTTGCTGTTTATGGGGACAGCAAAGAACGTCGTGTCAAGACCGTGGTCCTTTGATCAGGTATGAGATTTATACAAAGTTTAGTCAGAAAATGATTATCAGGTTGTTTATAGAACATGTGCTTACTCAGCTCTCTCTATACATTATATCATTTGCGCATAAAGGTTGCATTTGCCAAGGCACCATTGTGCTGGATTGCTTTTATTTTACAAGTTATGTCCACTCACCATATGTGTTATCAGTGCTTGAGTTTAATTAAACCATTCTATAAAGGAACAGTTGAATCAAACTCAGGAATGTCAAAGGGATGAAATGGCAGAAGATTTTCACTAACAAATGTTTAAGTCGAGCTAAAACATCTAATTGTGCAGTTGAACATTCACAGATGAAAAAAACCTTTCATCTGTGAATTTGCAAGTGTGACCTCAAACGCCACATGTTGGTCGCTAGAGAGTAAGTAAAGCATGTATTTATTAGAATGTTCTTCATGTAACATACAACCAACAATCCTCTTCATCTTTGCCTTTGCCTGTAAAGTATGAGCCTGGTGTTCTGGAGACGTGCCTGAATCTGCTCCAAGTCAGCCCTCAGCACAACAAGAACAGAAGAAGGGACTACCTGAACCGAAGCAACCCTGTCTACATCAGCCGCGTTGTGTCTGCCATGGTGAGTGTGAACAGACTTGCCAGCTAACATCACAACCTGAACACAAATGCCAAGATGGGATCAAATCCCTGAATAGTGTTCTTTCTCACTGTTTACTTTCTATGGTGTGAGAATGTGAACATCATAACTGCTTATTAAAACAAGTTTTGGCGTGAACTGGGAACACTGTGTTCTGCAGGCTGTAAAGATGAATACATGCCTCCTGCATGGTTCTGAATACAAAATGTCACGTGTGGGGATGTTGCAATTATACCTGTAAAACAGTCAGTCAGAGCTGTTATTAAGCTGTCACCATAAATCTGTGATACAGTTTTGCATTTGTCAATAACATTACTTGTCCATGTGTTTAGATCAACAGTGAGGATGATCGTGGAGTGCTGAAGGGGAACTGGTCAAATAACTTCAAACAAGGTGTCCATCCCTCCACGTGGACTGGGAGCGGGGACATCCTGAAACAATGGGCCCAGTCTGGTTACCGCCCAGTCAAGTATGGACAGTGCTGGGTGTTTGCAGCTGTCATGTGCACAGGTAAATTAAACCTTTTACAAAAACATCAGCCACATACTTGATTTCTTAGATATGCTTTTGGCATTGTCTTCAATCTAAAATAACAAACCCCTAAAACATGTCATCGTGATCGACGTCCCATCAGCTATGTTCGGAACATTTTTTTCCGTGACACAATGTTCAGTCATCTCAACATCTGCGTCTGTGTCTTGATTACGTCTCTCAGTGATGCGTGTTCTTGGCATTCCTTGTCGTGTCATCACCAACTTTGACTCCGCTCATGACACCAATGACAACCTGGTGATTGAGGAGTACTACAGTGAAACAGGGCAGAAGCTGAAGCGCAGCAACGACAGCATATGGTGAGTACTGACAGTAGTGGAGTCTTTTTTTTTTGTATTCCTCATAAAAAACACTATATGAGCTACTTTTAAGGCACTCGTGATGTATATTAAGTTTTAGGAAATAAAAAAGCCAATTATTGTGTGTTCTCAACAGGAACTTCCATGTCTGGGTGGAGGGCTGGATGACTCGCCGGGATCTGGGAGCAGAACTGAACGGCTGGCAAGTTCTTGACCCGACCCCCCAGGAGAGGAGTGGAGGTGTGTAAGAAACGCTTCCAAAATTTGTTGTGTGACTGCTTTAGCCATCTGTGAACTTTCCCCTAACCTTTTTTTTCTTTCTTGCAGGAGTGTTTTGCTGTGGCCCAGCTCCTGTCAAAGCAATCAAGACTCAGAGTATGGACCTGCGTTATGACGTCCCATTCGTCTATGCTGAGGTGAACGCAGACGTCCACACCATCATCCTGAGCCAGGGAAGGGTGGTCAGCATGAGCAAAGACACAGAAAGAGTGGGATCTCTGATCTGCACCAAAGCTGTTGGCTTCCCCAGAATGCAGAACATCACAGGAGACTACAAATTCATCAAAAGTATGACCCCAAAGCAGAAAATATTTAGCGAAGTGAAATAATGTTCACTCAAACAACAATATCTAATCTGCTTTCTTTTTTCTTCCTTTTCTTTTTTACAAAATAGGTCCGACTTCAACACTTTCATCAAGAAGTTCATCAACAATTTCAGATGAGTCAACATTAAGCAGAGGTAATTTAAAACTTTGAAAAAATAGATAAATCAGAATGTAGACTTTGAATGCATGTTATCTCATGGACTGCTTTTCTTCATGTTTATTCAGAAAGCTCATCCAAGGCAGTGCTTGTCTTCCTGAACCTGGATAAATCTCCAGTTGCTGGGGAGCCCGTCCGCTTCACGGTGCAGGTTGTGAACAAGCAGAATGTTGCCAAGATGATGAAGGTGCATTTCAACGCCCAGGCCAAAGAATACAACAACAGCCCATCGGACACCTTCTGGGAGAACCACGGTGTCATACAACTGGCACCTATGGAAGGTAAATTTACTTTACGTTATCTACAAACAAAAAAATTCACTTCCGACAGACTGTTCTAGTTTCATAATTCAGTATTATGCATACAACGGTAAATTTCACACACTCTCTTCTGTCTGTTTCTTCGTCCCTGTCTTCTTCCAGCCAAGACACTGCACCAGGAGATCTCTCCAGCCCAGTATGAGGACGTGGTGGGAGACGACATGATCAACCTTGCAGTTGTCATGGAGGACATGAAAAGTGATGAGCGCTTCCTGGCCTCAGAGGAGTTTAACATTGCCAGCCCAGAGCTCATCATAGAGGTACTTCATAAACTTAACCCACCATTAGTTTTAATGGAAATTTAGCAGAAGATACAGGGAATCACTGACAATAATTGTTCAGAGACGTTTAACTGTACTTTAGATTTTAGCCAAAAAGAAGAGAGAAAAATCGTAATTTTTAGATGCCCAAAGTATAATGCTAAACAATAGTTCACATGGGATCTAGAATATTTACTTTATCGGATGCAATGATGCAGCAGCCACAGAAAATTGTACCTGTTGTCTTGAAAATGTATATGAATGAAGGCTGTACATAATAAACATAGATTGCATATTTATTCAGTTTAAAGTTATGTAAATGGTAATTTAAGGGATTATTCTGGGTTCACTGACATGTTTCTCCTTCAGATTGCAGATGAAAGCTCCATCGCGCTCAACAAAGAGCAGGTGGCCACAGTGACCTTCGTCAACCCATTTTCTCACCCAGTCAGTGGAGTGCTGACTGTAGCTGGGGCCGGACTGATCCAGGGCAAGCTTCAGTTCAGGTAAGAACCACGTTCTCCAGTCTTCATTTTTTGTGTATTCCTTGTATGTTTAATATTATCAACTTGTGACATATCAACTTCATAAATGACTGCAAAGGAAAGGGTGATGGAATGTTCAAACAAGGAGTGTCACTGAACAGTACATTTCAGAGCAGTTTGTCTTTTTAGAAGGAATGTGTTCCTGTTGCTGTGGCATGTTTGTATTGTTCTGACACAGCTTGATAATAAAAGAAATGTTTCTCTGCTGTGTGCAGATCTGGGTTAGTAATTATTTATGAACATTGTTATTTAGGGCCATTACATTAGGTGTGCAAAGCTTCGACATCAACAGGGTAATTGTTTTAGCTTGGCTATCATTATCTAAAATTGCTCTGACTCAGTCAACTCCAACCAGGAAAACAAGTTCCACAGTACCTCTTTGACCAGAGAGACACTGTCAGCCATTCAAAGCTACTGCATTTAAACTTCCACATTTTTGCAAACATTTGTGTAACATCTTTTCTTCTTCCTGCAGGATGAGCCCACTGGCTCCAGGAGGAAAAGTGGGGCAGCGCATCACGTTCACCCCCAGCATGGTGGGAATGAAGATGCTGCAGGCCACCCTGTCATTCACAAACATCAGAACCACTATCAGAGGCTTCAAGATGGTCTCTATCAGCAGTGTTTAGCTTCTGCAGCTATTGTTTATCTATTTATGTGAATCATGCATATGTAAATGTACAGTTTATTTATTTATTTTGCTATTTATTTGCATTTGCGCCTTGAAAATTAACATTGTGCCAACACTGTATTAATATTTGAAATTGTAAAGCTTTTTTATGGATTGTTGTGCTATTTGGGTGACTTGAAAAATAAAATCCAATAATGTATGAACTATTTGTATATTTCTTCTGGTGGCCATATGTATGAATGTGGATTTGTTATTGCAGCCCTTTTTTTGCCCTGAAGAGGGAGACATTTCCTTACATAGAGAAAATGTAACAGAGTATTAATATGCATGAAATGCTTTTCAAGTCTCTTGATATTAAAATGCAAATGGCATCGGGATTAATAATCACTTATTTATTTATTTGTTATTTAACCCTTTTTTGTGCATACCTCCAGGTTCAGTAAATGTGTGAAAAGAAATGAAACTCAACTCCCCTTTCCCCACAATGCAATTAATTTATCTTTATTAATCTACCTTAACTGTCTGTCAAAACAAATCGACAATAAAGCATTATATACAAATCATAGCTAAGCTGACAGGCAGTGTAATCGGCACATGCACAACCACACCAGTTCATCTATATTACAGACAGGTTATTAGGAAATTTACCAATGACAGAAAGAAAACAATATACAACCCAGAATCAAAAGTCAGGATTTGAGCACCAGCCTATAATACAGCATCTTCAAGGTAACTTCTTATCAAAACATTTTTACAAGAGCATGTTATTGGTATTTAAAAGTTGTTGTTTTTTTGAACGAGCTCCCAAACCATATATACCTCATTGTGTTGTAGACTTGAACCAAATAATAAATAGTTCTCATTTTAATGGAAGAATTCAGACTATTTTAATAGCCTCTAACTATGAGGAGAATGTTATTTGACATTTATCTAGCTGACGTATTACTAGAATTATTCTAAAATAATAGTGGAGGCAAAATCTACCGCACGCAAGATCACAACTCGTGTTTCTAATTCTGTCTTTAAAATAGTATTGGCCAGGGAAAAATGATTTAAGTCTCAAAACACATATAAAGACACAGCAGAACAAACAATTTGTACTTTTCATCCATGCAGACACACTCACTGTGGTCATTAAACAGTATGTAAGAACTCGCATTCAGTGCAACACTTTTCTGCGTACAAAAGTGGGACACCATTCATAAAGTTGAGATGAACTCAATTTAATAAAAAGGAAAGGTTGTTATAATATATATATTTAATATTCAAAGTATTAACCATTGCTCTCTGGGGTTAGTTAGAAGCTTTGGTCCCTTTTTCACTTTGGTCTTTTACTTTGGTCCAGCACTTCTGGCTTCATGTGTGTGTTGTAGATGTGCTGCTGCCTCGCTTCAAAATCCCCCCAGCTCCTTTGGCTTTGTTGTAAAGTTGTCCGTCTGTGGGCGCGCTCAACAATAGCAATACTGACTCTGAATCAGTCTCCTGGGGGCACCTTTCCCCCTTTAGCTGCACTCAGGAGTTCAGGAGCTTCTCATAGCTTGAGTGGAATAACAGAACGTGACGGATGGTGCCATCTAGAGGTAGTCCAGCTCCAGTGCATGGCTCAGAGCCTCGAGATCGGCCCGACAGGACACCCTCCAGAATGGCATGTTCTTCTACAAAACCAAGAATGAATCAATATTAAATGCAGGTTTAATGTACACCATGAAAACCTAAGGATAGCACATCATATCAGCCTGTAGTGCTTCTGCAGATGCACTGTATGGGGGACTGTAGGATGTGACAAAGTACATCTGGATAAGATGTTGGCTTATACTCTGAAAAACCACAATGCAAAAAAAAAAAATGTAAAAATCTGCCAAAGTTCCAAATACAGGAAGAAAATCTGCTATGTCAATGCAAAGATTAGATTAAAAAAAAAAAAAAAAGACTGATACAGATGCTGCTGAAATTGAGTGTGTCGTAAGGTTAACTGATTAGTTGTGGCCCATTTTTCAGAGTCAGAGACATAAAAAAACAGATTGAGTTATACCTTCTTGGCCACGGTCTCCTCCTCGGCTCCGTCTCCTATCACTACATACACTGCTCGCCGACCAAACCTCTGAGAGACACGTTCAAAACAGCTCTCTTTGCCTTTGAAAAAAAGGGAAAATGTGACATTAAAATATTAATACAAGACCTTTGGTGAAATACTCCAGAATGGAAAATAAATGTACTGGCATAAGAAATTATGGAAATAGGGAAATAAAGGAAACTAAGTGTGTGCTAAGTAGGAGGATTTTCATCACCTGTCTTAGTGGCACTGTATATATTCTCTATGGGGAAGGCTGAGCCCAGACCATACAGTAACACCTTGGAGAGAGCCGGGATGAGCTGGGTGGTGGTCACCAACACATTCACACAGTTGGGTCTGGAACACGACAGGACAGACATATTGACACGATGGTTAACTTATGTCATATGCTATATCAGGAACTTCTGGAGATTTGTTCAATTCATGAAGAGAAATTGAGAAAAATCCTAAAAAATAATAAACCCATTAAGCATATTGTTACTTCTCCTAAAGATGCATATTAAGCCTTGGTAGCATGAAATAACCTTGAGTTGATGAGAGCCAGGGCTTTGAGTGCTTGAGTCAGCCACAGATCAGTCAGGACTTCCATTTCTCTCCTCAGTTGTAACCACTCTTCTCGCTTTGGGCTGCCCAGCAAACCTGCCCATCAAGGAGAAACACAAGCTTGACTCTCAGTCTTTGAATTAATTCTACTGAGATGTTGCAATATCTTTTTTGAGAGCAGGATACGAATGGACAATTCTGACACAACGTTAAAACCATAGACGCATGTTTTCCAGCAGAGTAAAAGCAGCCACCTGTAATCAGAGGTTGGATTGAAGCTCTAACTGGAACTTAAGGAGAACAAAATGTTCCTTCTAAAGGTCCCATATTATAATTTGACACCAGAAAAACTTTGTTCAGTTTCAGCTTTAGCTTTTGTGGTCCAGCAGCTCATAAACATTTACATATGTCTAGTAAAATCCCATTATCTCACTCTTACTAATTTCCTATTACTAATAAATTTTTATATGAGCTACAAAACCACATATGAACCAACTTAGACTTCAGAGAAATTGAGATTATCCATATATCTAGACTAAATGTACACAAAAGCATTCCATAAAATGGTGGAGTGGAACTTACCCCCAACATTATTCTTGTATGTGTTGTAGATCTCCTTGACTCTGCGGTATCGGAAAGCCAGTTTCCTCATCCAGTCCACCCCTCCATGGACCCCCGACCCCAGGCACAGAGAACCGGCCCCTGCTGGGCTCTGGAAACCATCTGACCCAAAGTTGTAAGTGCTGCAGGATCACAATACAGGAAACAGCCAGGATATAGATCATAAAGAAACAAACTGTGTTTTCCAGAGCATCTTACTGTATCGTCAGTTTTTCAAAGGTGATGCTCTAAGAATCAGCAAAACTACATTTTCTTTTTGGCTTTAGGAACTGATTCAAACAATTTGGGGTATGAAAAAGAAAGCAGTGCTTGAACCATTCATTAATCTAGGGAAGTATGCCAGCACAACCAAAAGAATTTCAGGGACAAGAAACCCTTTAAAATCGAATGAAGCTGTGAATGAGCCTTTGTCAGTGAAAAATAGTATATACATACAAAATGGATAGGATAAATATAAAAACATCTTTGAATGAAAAGGGCCAGGTTCAATAAAATAAATATGTCAAAAAAGTACTTTGGTACAGTCTGGCTCTTTCTCAAGTCACTCCTAAAAGTATCCTAAAGTGCTTCAACAAGTTTATGCAATAAAACGTCTGGACTGAGGGAGACAGAGGGAGTGAAAAAGAGATATTTTGATGAGAAATGAAAGCGCTGGATAATCCCGTGACATATTATATGGCTGTGGAAGTTGGGAAAATAAAAGACATGCACATGCTTGCATGCATGAACACACATGGATGCACACAAATGCTCACACTCCCCATCTCATCTCCCTGCTTTTTTCCTCCTGTGCACTAAAACCCAGAGGGCAAGTCTGGTTCACAAGCCACAGTAGAACTGCCAGTCTTTCAGCTGAGCTTTAAGTACAGTAACACAGTGGAGGCTTTACCTCAGGTCCTGTCCGTTGTCATCTGATGCCACGTCATCAATATGAACTTGGTCACATTCCTAGGAAATGAAAAAGAAAGTGGATATATCAAGAGATCCATTTCAGAGCGCGGCCCTGTACAGGCAGGTCTTTCCTCTGTAGGGAAGCCTCCGGGAGCAATAGCACAACAACAAGAAAAAAAAGAGTTAAAATAAAAGACAAGGAAGGAGGAAATAAGGTATCAGGACACGGGACAGTCAGGCGCCGGAGATACAAGACAGTCAACACCGTGGTTTAATTCTTGCGTAACCACGCTGTAAATTAAAGTAAATCTGTATTTTTTTATAGTGTGTCCACAAAAAAAAAATCCTCTTAAGAATGGGCCATTGTCTTCCACAAGTACAGTGGTGTGCATGTTGTTCTTTTCTATCGGACGCTAATGCAACCAACCCAACCGCAGGGATTAAAAAAACCACACTGTAGCTTAAACATGTGGTTACAACCAAAACACCTTCAGCAATATGCAGTGAAATCAGAAATTTGAAAACAGTTATTAAGACTGAAAATGTTGGATGAAAACAAAAACAAGAAGCACAAGTCAATTATCACAAAGAAAGAGAAAATACAATGCACAAGAGCAACAACTAAAAAAAAAAAATCTTGGTTTCTCTGTGCTTTTATCCAAAGTTCAGCTTTGAGCATCTAAATCGAATAGAGTTTCACATTCACATAATACACATACAGTGATATACACAAAAACAACGCACACATACGAGCAAAAACAGAATCCCAGCATAACTCCTAAATGTCGCGCAGTGACCCAGGACAGACAGGCTCTCCTATCACCTTTCAGTCGTCCAGACGGAGACACTACCTCATCTTCCTTACATTACGACATAACTCAATTCCCAGGGGCTGTAACCCACCTCCCACTCAGGTGTCATCCGCCTGTGCAGAGCTGCAACTACTGACCATACAAAGCAAATAATGACCCGATAGTGTAGCACACATTGAAACTCTGACCACTATAGCAGTAATACATTTTATGTTATTTTAATTTGCTGGAAAGGAGGTGAAATATAGTCACAGTGATCTACTTACATAATTTTTCAATCAGGATAATTTCAACTGGAAATTCTGGCTTTTGATGATGAGTGAATTTCTGCCGGTATTACAGTCATGACAGCAGCAATAACACTTGTAGCCACTGGTGTAGCTACTGACACAGCAAGGACAAGATAATTGTACCTCAAGATTTAACAGGAGTTGTCAGGCCGCTGGTGGGTACTGCTTTAGAGCTTTACTGAGTCCTGACAACAAAAGAGGGGATAAAAACCGGGTTTGCAAATGGCTTTGTTGGCTCCTTTCCCTCTCCTTGACTGTTCCTCCTCCCATTTGACTAATTTTCCTCTCAGATACTCAGACACACACCTATAATTACGGCACAAAGTGTACTTGTTCTCTTGTGCTGCGTCCCTCTTTAATCTTTTTTTCTTTGTCAGAACAAGGCTGAGGAATGTTGGATAAAAAACATACACCGTTCGGTCACTAGCAGGTACTAAAACTGCACTTTAATGACTGCTTGGAGTCTTTTTTTTTTTTTGAGGAGTCATCACTTTTAGAGGTTGCATCAATACCCATATTGACTTTGGTGGACTTTTAGAAAGCACATTAGGTCTAACTGTAGAGCACTTATTCCAGCAAACCAGTCCTTTTAATATTCTCGCTGTACTGTCATTCCAGGAAAGCAAATTGTTTGGAAAATGCTAGATGTTGAGTGAGGGGATTTCTACAATGACTGCCACTGTGCTTTATGCCAGGTAAGGAAACAGCACCCAAATGTCAAACCTCTTGCTCGGCTGTTGCAGGGGGAGTTTTTTTTTCTTTTTTTCTGGTTAACAGTACGCCAGCTTACACTGCTGGATATGTTCTCACTGCTCCAGCTTTTCCAGCTTACTGGAAAAAGTCTCACAATTATTAAAAAATAGTGACATCCAGTGTACTGTGAGGTGAATGTGAAATAAATAGGTGCGAAGATTTTTGAGTGAAGGAAGAAAACAAAACTTAATCCTGCAACTTTCTAAATATTCTTCAGTGCTCCTTTTTTTTTTTTTTTCCTGAGCAAAGTTAACACACAAACTCACCTCCAGGTCATTGAAGAAGAGTCTGGAGTCGGCCAGATTGAAGATCATTTCCTCCATCCACAGACCCAGAGACACTGCTTTTGAAGAGTCCTGAAACAAACACAGAGTAAAGTTATTAACTTGCATTTAAAAAAAAAAACAACTGTTAATTTAGTTTATATTATCTTCCTATGAAGCTACAAGCAAAGTGAAATGACGCTGTGAAGAAGACTAACATCCTCTTACTGGGTGAAAAGTTACTCTGTGCATCTCTTAGTCTGACCTAATTGCAAATAGCTGAGATTTTAAACACAATTATCACCACATTTTAATTCCTATCAATAAAATATACATCTTAGCATGCATCTACATGTACAGTATTTGTCTTATCACTCTTTCATCCATAGTCACATTTACTCAAGCACTTTAAGACTGCTGGTTTACAAACTACACCCAATTCATAAAAATAATGTCACATTTTTTATCATGTCGAGGGCTGCGCTCTTGTTAACTTACTAAAAATCAAATCGTGCACTTAGGCTGCCGTAAGATGTTTGGTATTTAGAGAATAATCACATTATTTAGCATAATTATTCTTGCCATTATGTCAGTGCAGCTGCTTGCTTGTCTCTCTTTTGTTTTTCGCACTTCCTCTGCAAAAACTTATCAACTGCACTGACATAAACAGGTTTGAGGGAGAGGCAAGTCTTAATATTGATCTGTCAATCAAACTTCCTGCTCATCCTTATCTCCTACGACCTCCTCTCCAGCTTGTTTGTTTTGGCTCTCATTAATCCTGTCTGGGTAATTATCCCAACTGTTCTCTGCTTTTCCACTAAATTAAGCACAGAGTCATGAATTTAGATGAATGTAATTTACAACAGAGTCTCAGATTAAATCCTGAAAAAATATATATAGAAAGACATTTTTATTATATTCATCTACAGTTACAGGCTTAAATGACCACATCTGTGTTTTTGCAAGTTTCGACTAAACAAAGAATTTCTTGCTTGTACCGTGATGAATCACACATCTCTAGACTAAACTATTCGGTTTTCAAATAAATTAGCATATAAAAGGATGGAAATCATTGACGAGCCAGAATGGTGGGATGATTACATCCAAAAATATGAAGCAAATGGTACGCTGTTGTCCCTTGAAATGCCCATTTTACTTTATTTGCCATGAATAGCTGCAATGGTTTTATTAACTCAATAACAGGTATCGCCGACGCCACCTACGTGAAAAAGTATCTATTCTTTAACCTTCCTCCCATCACACCACCCAACTTCTCAGGTTTTCTTTCTCTCATATGGAAAGAAAAGCAAACAAACACCCAGGTGTTGCATTACACCACCTTCTGTTTTGTTTTTCTAATAAGCAAATTCTAAATCATCACCCAGAAAAAAACATATAAATCACAATCTGCAGGCAGTCTGGCTGACACAGCGGCATGGGCGTGCTGTCGCTGGAGACTACAAAAGCAGGTGTGTGTACGTATGTGTGGTGTATTGTTTTGATGGCAGCGCTGGCTCCTCTTTGGCAGCGAGACAGGCGAAACACGGGGATGTCAGCCAAAGGTGAACATTTGATGAGTGCATTAGAAATGACAAGCAGGGCTGTCTCCTGGCTCAGAGCGGTAATACGGGCTTGATGACACAAGTAGGGTAAATCATGACAATTACAAAATACCCTTTCAAAAGAGGGTGTAAAGAAAAAAAAAAGGTAATTGAGGACAAAGAGCAAGAAAAGTTCAGTAGAAGGAATAGGTGGATAAGGGAGAAAATGATGAAGGGGGAGGATTGCTAGAGGAAGAGCTGAATGGAAAGGATGAAGAGGGAGGGGTTAAAGGCTTAAGAGAGGTTTGTTCTGTTTGTCTAATAGCTGAAATAATTATCTGCAATCACCTTCCTCTAAAGGCGAGGGCTGCTACTATTCAGAAGGACAAATAAAGGGCCTCTTTCTTTTAATCCCAGACGAGACGAAAGACAAAAAAAAAAGGAGGTGGAAAACGAAAAACCACCATTCAGTTCTCACCTATACTCTTACGTGGGGGATTTTTTTTAATATGAAAGACAGAGCTGGGGGAGAGAATTCACACACTAGAGGACAGAGTAGGGGTGCTGTATGACAGATGAGATAATGGAAGAGATGTTATGGGAGGAGGGGGTCAGCTCCTCATGACGATCTCCGTTCACCTTTGGCTCACCAAGCTGGTGAAAACAACTGTCTTTCAACACGCCCATTAGTCTTCCCACAGACTGGGCCCAAACTTGCCTTTACATTGAGGTCCAAACATTTGTTAATGATAAGAGTTTAATGGGAGAAGAGCCTGGGCTGAAGAAAGCGGGACACAAAGTGATGAAGCAGGGATAATTATTGCCAGAAATAAATGTGTTATGGCTGTCAGAGCGCATGAGTTAGCTGCGAATTAGGGAGGGAGAAAGAAAAAAAAAATAATGTTGCTACATTGTAAGCCGTCTTCACTGGTTGGACTGCTAATCTGTTTTTCCGCCGTCACTCATTTAATTCCTCTGCTGCATGTCTGAGTTTTGATGTCAGCGTCTGTCCAACTGAGCTTCTCTGGATCCAGCGGTGGGGTTGTTGGGTGGTGGGAGGAATCAGGCATTTTTGGCACATGAGTCACATTTCAACACATCCACACAGTTTAACTCACTCCCTCTCTCTCCCTTTTTTGGCTCTTCCTCCCTTTCTCCCCTCGCTCCCCTGTTCCCCCTACCGTGGCAGAAAAGAAAAGAAAAAGAAACAACGGCATGCATGGCCCGCCGGGGGCTGAACCGATCAGAAACGCTGCTCTCAAACTCCCATCAGCCTTGTGTCAACCCGCAGGGGGACCGTGAGAATTCAAAACATAGATCCCTGGCCAAAAACAAGAAACGCACCACTGTCCGCCCCTCGTCAGCTGCCTGTCTGTTATGTAAAGGTCCCGCTGGCTGTCAATCACGCCGCAGGTTGTCGGGGTAGCTAAACAATCCTGGTGCATTATGAAAAGAAACAAGAGGGCAGAAAGGCAAAACAGCCAGCGTGTGAAAATGCTCAGGGATGAGACCCAAAGGTCACGGACTTGTCTCAGGCAGCCAAACCTTTGACTGTTAGTCAAATAAGCACTTGAGAGAAACACTGAGAGGTTTTACTAGAGCAGGATTACGTGTGTGCTGTGAGGATTTGTGCCAAACTGTGCCTACCTACTGTATAATAAACTGTTGTCAGTGTCACTGGCCACAGCACATGCCTTCTTACAGTAAATGACAAAGGGAGGGGTCATGTGGACGTACCTTGCCAAATCGTGAGGAGAAAGTTCCCGTGAGGAGAGAATGGAAAATGATGATGGTTTCATCCAGATCCCAGATAAACACTCGCTGCAGTGAAATAACAGATATGTAATGTTAACCACATGACAGTTTCTGTGTGTGTGTGTGTGTGTGTGTGTGTGAGAGAGAGAGAGAGAGAGAAAGATAAATATTGTAGAGAAACTCTGATAATTTCCAACACTGTGTGAGGGTGTGTTTACCTCTATATCAGAGTCCAGAGGTGGAGCCGGGTCACTGACTCTTTTTCTTCCTCTCAACTTGCCATCTGACCCCCGTCGTGCTGGGACCCCCTCCTCTTTACCAGGTGTGGGGGGGCTTGGCGGCGGGTGGTACTCCCCTAAAACACACACATAAAGCAAAGTCCCTCATCAGTCTTCATAAAACAACACTTTGTATGTTATAAGGGTGAGTTCTCTGATTTAAAAAGTCAGAGTCAATTTTTTGAACGCAGAGAATGCAAGAGTTTGACTGAGAAGCATTGTGGGAAGTGTAGGACCCACGGGGTTTTGGTGCATTACTAAGTACAGAAATTCCGAATATCTTAGTCTCTGCTGCAACAATTTTAACAGTCTCTACACAGCCTATATGTCATGCACAGTGACAAAACGATGACACATAGTAGCAATAAAGTGCAAAAAATCACTCAAGTAAAGATGCTTCAAAACAGCACCTACTTTGGTCTACTCCGCTGTGACAGCAACATGAAAATTTGCTGGTATGATATATATATATTATTCCTTCTGTAAAGCTTATAATTTCTTTTTTTGCTTTTCATGGCCCTAACATTACTTTGGCATCAGTTGTTTAACTTAAAATACTGCTCAATAGTAGAGAAAGCTGTTTGAGGTTGTCAAGAAAACTACAGCCTTTTTTTTTTTTATTGCAAACAAGACAGTAAAAAGTTACAATGTCCAGCAGTTTATCAGGTGCTCTCTTCTGTGTGTGCATCTGTGTGTAGTACTAGTATGCTTTTTGTGTACCTATTTAAGGGGCTTTGCTTTTTGCAGCTCATGTGCTTCTGCTTACAGCCGAGAGATCATAAAATTTCAAAGGGCTCCTTACCTGTATGCGACTCTGGGCTGTGATTGGGCACCATAACGGGGTGTTCTGGGTGCTGATAGGCTAATGGTGCTGTGATGGCCGCGGGGCTGATGTTGCTGCTGGTTAGGTAGGGGTTGTTGTAGTGATGTGAGTTATAGTACGGAGAGTATTGACTCTGACTGTAGCTTGAATACGCTGAAAACTCCTGAAACACAAGACAAAAAAGTTAGTCAGTGGCATCGAAATCACTCAATATCAGGTGATAAATGAACATATTGTCTGCAAGATTGCTGCAGCTTGCTTTCCAGTCTTCAAGAACAGACTAACTGTGGAAATTCTTCAAAATTCTCTCTGAGCTTATACTACTCACTTGTTGGGTAGGGTTGAATGGGGTTGAACTTGAGATTGCATGGGTGCCTTGAAAAATTCCAGATGAAATACCGCTGCCTAAGAAATGATAGGAAGATTAAAGGTCAGATTTTCAGACACTAATCAATCACGCATACTTAAAGAAATAAACAAAAAATATAAACTGGTGGGATATTTCACTTTGTTCCATCTTGTATTGATGAACCAACTCCAGATATAACTTTACAGTGTCTGATCTCATCCGTGAGGCTGCGTGAAGGAAGTACTGAGCAGTAAACTTTGACTCTCTCCTCAGTGACAGCTCAGCGCTGCAGGAGCTTACAGTGTGATTTATGATTGACATGACAATACAGGTGGGAAAGTCTGCAGCTCCTGCTGCTCCTGCTCTGGGAATCTTCTAATCCAATCAAGCCAAGGCAGGAATGTCTTCCTCCAAGCAATTCCTCCCCACAGTGACGCTGTCTCACCCTGCATCTTCCTGTCAAGACTGTTTGTTTGTCTGGTTAATTAATTCTCCTGTAATCTTATCATCTCTACCTACGGCACTGGACAACATCTCGCATTTTTGTGCCATTCCTTGTGTTTGACAGTTAGCTGATGTCTCAGAAGAATGCAAACTAAATGATTTTTTAGAAAAGCTGGCTACTGGCAAAAAAAAAGAACTTTTGACACCAATTCTGCAAACGAGTGCACTGTGTGTGGTTTCTTGTAACACGCATATACTTTCCCAACAGCTTCATGTGAGATAATTACAGTTTAAGAGCTCACAAGCAGATAGTAGAGCTCTGTGAGGTTGTACTTATTCCGCTAAATATTAAAATCCTCATGCTAGACTTGCAGTGACAAAGCTCACACGCTGATGTTTAGCATGTATGGTGTTTACTGTCTTTATGGTCTCACTTTAGTGTGTACGCTTGATAACACTTGCTAATTAGCCTGAAAGACAAAGTAACATAAAGGCTGATGTCATTACTTTTACAGCTATTTAGTATCAAAACAAAATAAGAAATCGTAATTTCAACTTTTTTAATTTCAACTGTAGCACAATGTCTCCTGTGGGAACCTGGAATGACATTAACTAAATTTCATTGACATCTTTCCAGAAAGACAAAAACCAACTTCATTCTAAAAGTCAGTTGAATTCATCATCTGTAAACCATGAACGCAAGTACAAAACATTATGACAATCAATCTCAAAAATTCTAAAATATTTCACAGGCCAAGTGAACATTTTATGAGAGGACAGCCAGAACCAGGGGGAATCATCAGAGTTATTGGGATTCATCTTCTGGGGAACATGAATGTGTACACGAAATTCTAATGGCAATCCATCCAATACAACTATTGACATACTTTGTTGTCTTCTGGTAAGGCTGAAATCCTTCAAAGTAGCACCAGCATGATCAATGCATCTAACATCCACTGAAATGAAATAAATGGCCGATTAACACCAACACATACTGTATCCTGATAGTTTCCTATATGATTGCGTGCACTGCTATTAAAGTTTATGTGGCGTTTCTATGCTTTGTTTCCACTTGTACTCTGTATTGAATAGATTGCTTTTTGCTTCAGACAGTAGAACAGTTTGAGGAGACGGTTTGAAAGTTGATTTAGGGTTAGCTTTCTGTGATTGACCTGCCCTGTTTGTTTTGACTACTGGCTCTATGACAACTTGCCCTTTGGGGATAGTAAAGATTTACTCGTCTCTTCTCTGTCCTGACTTAAACTGTTCTGAAATAGGTTTTAAGGGTTCATTTCCTTAAGTCTACCTTGCATTCTTTGATCAATCCATCACTGGTTTCTCTTGACCCCATTTCCTCCTCTCCATGCCACAATGCATGACAAACAGGAGAGCAATGACTCACTGGAGGAATCACACTGAAATCTCCCCGGACAACACAACAGTCTTCACAGTGACTAAAGGAAAAATACAGGAGGTCTTTTGAGTAAACACAGAAACAAGGCTCCCATCGTCCCCATTTGGTTTCAGTTGTGCACACAGTGTACAGTAAATTTTTTGAAGGCTTTTTGTGGTGTGTGCGTCTGTGTGCGCGCGCTTGTGTATTGTGTACAGTATAATGGATGACATGGAAACATTCTGAAGTCCAACAAACATTTGGATGTTGTGGCAGTTTATTACCGTTTGAAGTTTGCAGTTAATGATTTATGCATAAAAATATTCAAACAAATTTATTTTGTTTGGGAACAGTGTCCTTCAAACTCCAACTACGCTCTGTTAAAAACTGTTTGTTGGTTCAACAGTGGTGCTCTGACAAAGTACAGTCACTGAAGGCTTTTCAGTTTGTGAGAGGCTTCATCAAAAGTGTGTTTACATGAATATTTACATTCCCAAGTAATGTCTCACATCTGAATATTCTCTTAAAGAGAGAGCAATATGGAAGACAAGAATCAAACTGTCTGGGAAGGGCTGAAAAATGATTGATCTGGAGTCAGGGAGCAGCTGGAGAAAGATCAAGCATGACATTCATCCTGGATGCCAAAGACAATTTTGGAACAAGTTACAAATATCGCCTCCTAAAAAAAGACGAAAATCTTTTCTAATTTTATGGTCTGAAAAACTAGACTGGCCGTTTTTGTCTTTTCCACCTTTCTACTGACAAAATTGGTTCAATACTTGTCTGCTAAACAGTCACACTCAAGAACTGTCTAGCTGACAGTTGGTAGTTGATTTTATAATTCGTTAAGAACCATTAAAGCAATGCTTCAGCATCCTGTCAACATGATGAAATTCAATCTTCTAACCTTTTCGAATCAGGGCGTCTCATATATGTAGGCCAAAATAAAGGCTCTATATGTATATTAAAACAGTACAACTATAAAGTCTGAGAGGCCACAAAGCAGAAAGCTTTTATTATTATTTTGGAAAAAAACATGAACTTTAAGATGCTACTATGCACTCTGGAGCTTTGTGATGAGCACTTTTTACCTTTTGTTGACATATTACAGACAAAATGAATAACTGGGAAATATATTATCAGCAGTTGTATTAATAGTGAAAGTAACCAGCTGTAAGATCCATGTTGTAACAGACCAGAATAATATTAGTGGGCGGTGTGGAGCTGTAGCAATTATATTATTTACTTCCCTTTTCCCAGATGCCAACAGTCAGTTTTTAACTTACACTGTAGAGACATGAGTTCTCACAAAAGCAGGACAACACTATAAAGTTAAGAGTTTATATTTAAACTAGTAGAATAATTAAAATAACTGCATTTCAAATGCTTGACTTTACAGTATGCAGCAATATCTGTTTACTGTTCTATACTGTTTTGTCTCTCCTTTGTTTCACCCATACAGCGAAAGCAGCTCATGCCCCCTGTGCAACACTAAACCTACTCACCCCTCCGTAAAATGCCCCTTAACCTCTCCCCTCTCACACACAAGGTCAATTTCACGCTGGTTTCAAAGCCATAAAGTCGCACTGAGCGAGTCATGCTTTGGGCGCCGGGCGACTGAGGAATGTGTACAGCACAGACACATACACACACACACACACACACACACACATACATACATACATACGAGGGCCTGCACAGAACACCACACCTCCATCTAAGCATCTGTGTTTACCAGCAAGACCTTCTGCTCCTCTACTGCCGTGTCCATGATTTCTGTTTTTCTGTATTCTCTTCCTCTCTGTCTACATGTTTCTCACTCTCTCTTTCTTCAGAGAAATGCACACAAGAGCCTGCATGCTGTGTTGTTGGTCTGAGTGGAGAAAGGGGGCCTGACCCCAAGAAAAGAGGAGGGGTGGAGAGACTTTTGACGCCAGGAGTCCAGACCGCAGCTAATGGAGAACAGGTGTGGCATCGAGAGAGGAGGGGAGAGGAGGGGAGAGGAGAGGAGAGGAGAGGAG